CCCCCCCCAAAAAAAAAAAACAAAAAAAAAACATTTTCTACTATACAAAAATCAGATCCAGAACGAAACACAATGCTGTTTTGAAAGTGATTGAGATAGTATTAACCTGTTTTTTATCAAACACACTGTTCCTAAACACACATTTAAAACGCAGACAACATGTCGATATTTAAGTACAAAGGACAATTGGATTCATCAAATAAGAACAAATATCATATTTAGCATCAAAACATACACCAAAGATTAAAAAATGTACTTAAAGGATCGGAAATATATCATTTGTTATACGAAATTGTTTTTTTTCACAGCCGCTATATGGCACATTAGACACTAATGTGCCAATAAAATAAATGAAATGGAGACCATTTATTTTAAATTTATTTATTCTATACGGACCTATTAATACGGATAGAATCATTACTGTGCTATTATGACAGAAACTTGTGTTTAAGTCAAATGGGTTGTCATATTTTAGTATAATGGAATGAGTAATGTTTAAATTAATGTGGTACATTCTATATGTATACTTTTCTATAATACTTACGAGGCAATACTTACGATTGCTTTCATGAGTACCTTAAAATGAAAGTACACAATAACTCAGAACATTTGACTTAATTGATCATGTTTGATGAATGACAGATAATAAATGCTTCAAAAAAACACCATCAAGAGAAGAAAAAACATGTTTTATAAAATACGGACATTTGCTTTCATCGGTAAATTACTACAATAAAAGATATCTCTTTTTTTACTAATTCCATGATAAATACAATTAAACATGCTTTGTACAGGATATATTTAGATACATTGTTTTAGAAGATTAAATAATATGAGTTTCCACATGAATCTTCTTTATTAAAAGACAACACTGTCATAAAAATGCCACATGCCTTTTGTAAGTAGAGTGTAAATGATAAAAATGCTATAAAGAGGTATATTCAAATTATCATCGATTTATGATCATTAAATCAATAATTTCAAGATAACGTATTATTAATTTGTTATTAATCATCCCTCTAGTAATAAAAAAGGTGAGGAAAGATGGAATGAATGAATAAGTAAAGCCATTCTATGTTCTCATTATCGGTTTGGTAATGAGAAGAAAATCTATATATAATCATAATCAGGAACATTCTTATAATATAAAATAAAAATTTATACGAATTTCAGAACTGTTGTAAATGTCTATCAGTTATAAATCAAAGAACATTATGTCAATTATAAAATCACCGGAAAGTATTAATGATCAAATATGACTGCAAACCATCTACCGACATTATACCAATTAACACTTTAGACGTCTCTGTATTTCATATACATACTATATTTTACTTATTTGCCTTTCTGATGTGCTGAATGAAAAAAAAAATCATTGAATTCCTCTAACTCGGTCATTTGATCAAGAGGAAAGGAATGTCATTTATAAACACGTTCAATTTAACTCAGTGTAAACAATCTTTCATTATGTCAAACTGGTAGATATCCAGTTCAATACTCAGCTAAGTATCCTGCAAACTACAAATTTATTACTGTCACAAGTGTTATATGGTTGTAATGTGCATAAAACTATAAATCTGTTGCAAAATTTATTGCTTGAATAAAAAAACCCCGAATACTTCTAAATGTTTGTATGCGATAAATATTGTAGAAATTGCTGTGAAAGCGGATGTCACATGCACGAAATCATTGCAAAACGTATAAAATCCCACTTTAAGTAGCATAATAACATTTGACCCAGAACTTTTAATTCATTTCACGTACAAGATGAAAGTATTTATCAGGAGTATCTAATTAGGAGTATTTAATTACAGCGGGATTCTATATCATAACTATAATATTATAGAATCAAAATACCGTAGACAGAATATGATTTTATATGATCAGAAAGCCATTTACCCTAAAAATACACATTCGAATGATATCGATGTTTCCAGTGAATGCCTTTTTCTATACTCCAGTGTCTCTGTAATGCGATATAAAGATCAACATTATGTGACCAGTTGTTGTATTTACATGCGACAAATGTTGTAATTTATCATTCAAGTGCCGAATCGTGTTTCTAAATGGTCGATATTGTTCCCGTAATTTCTCGTTCTGTTAGACGCTCCATCAGTTTTATCTTGAAAGCGGATGAATTTGCAAGTTTTTCTTGGCAATGTGTCTACATTTCCTTACCATTCGCTACTGCAATATCCTTAACTATTTTTAAAGTCGCATGCCGTCATATGAGTAAATTTTACATAATCACATATATTTATTTAAATTCAAACTAAGAAATTTTCGTTTTGGTTTTTTTATTATTATTATTTATGTATTTATTTATATATTTTTTTTATTTATTAGAAAAGTTCTTATTGATAAGTTGAAACTATACGTATAAAAACATTCAATAGTTAAAACAATTATTGAAACACTATTTTAGAACCTTATGTTTAGTACCATGGATTTTTCTGCATATTCTGACATACTTCTATAGTTTCATGTAACTGAGTGTCAGTGTCTTATGCTAGCTTAGGTAACTTTACTTGTTCACTTTTTATCTTCTTATGATTTAAAGCCTTTCTTTTATTTTCATTAGAATTGAATTTAAATATGTAGGCGTTCCGTTTCGACGTCCATGCATTCATTGTCAATGTAAGTATTATGCATGCTAAAGCTATTAGTTATTGCTTTAAAAACAATGCAACAGCCATGCGTTTCGAACTTGAAATTTCCTTAAAGTATAATCGTACGAACTGTTGGTCAGAATAATATGAAAATGCTAAACTTATAACATAAACTATGACGCTCTATGAAATTTGTACTTCCAGTCACAAGTCAGGTTTTATTGTGAATTATCGGTCAATGGTATGTAGTTATGTTTTGGAATTACCAAATTTCCTGTCGCAGTTACGTATTAACCATTACATCAACTGATTGATCGACATATACTCACATTATTTTGATTTGACCGGTACGGTGTACTTAAATTCTTGTGATCATGCCATAAAGGTCTTCCGGTCGTTTATCATACCGCCAATGATCGTCTAGAAAATGATTATGTCTAGTGCAAATATATCATTTTACACAAAAATATTTTTTATTTATTAAGAACAATAGCGGGAGTTCCCAAAACGAGTCCATCCTGAGATAACAGTTATATCTTTGACAAAGTTTGCCTCACATTGCTTACGTAGATCAAATAATTGTTTGGCAAAAGACGGTTTTTAACATTTTAACGTGAATTCCTTATTTCATCTTCATGAATTCACAATTTTAAATTTCCAACATACGGAATTCACGAATTCGTGATTTCAACTTCATGAAATCATGATTTCAACTTTAATCAAACCGAGTCTGCACTTTTCATGTAATTTTAATAAGATTAATGCTTCCGAGGAATCACTTTGTTTCCAGATTTTTACACTTCACTAATTCGCGGATTATGTACAGTTGTGCAAAGTGGTCACATTCTATAAGTGTTCCTTATAGCATATACTGTCATTCTTTACATACAGAAAATAATGTAAATGACGAATTAAGTTCTTAACCTCATTAATTAATAACCTTATTGCTTCAACGTAATACAATACAAAATGAGAAGAGAGCGTAATTGAATAGATAGTAAAAGGGACAAATGTTGTGCCTCAGCACTGCTTTTATGTTTATTTTCAAAAGCTCTTTAATTTTGTACTTTTACAATATCCCAAAAGTTATTGGTAAATTTCCTGAACCATCTTTTTCATCCGTTGCTTTTTGGCAATTAGTACACTTAGAGTGAATAAGTATTTTGTATGGAAGTCAAAATAGTACGTTGTTTACATTTTACTACCTTAAGACAAATGAGCCGCGTCACAACAAAACCAACATAATGGGTTTGCGACCAGCATGTATCCAGACCAACCTGCGCATCCGCGCAGTCTGATCAGAATCCATGCTGTTCGATTACCAACCCTATTACAAGTAGATAAACTGATAACGAACAGCATGTACCCTGATCAGACTGCGCGGATGCGCAGGCTGGTCTGGATCCATGCTGGTCGCATACGCACTATGTTGGTTTTGTCGTGACGTGGCTCAAATTAATTCAAATTTATTTCTACTTTCTTCAGATAACAAGCATTCTCTAAAACCATTATTTCAACATAAAAAAAAATCATGTTAACTCTTACTAGAGAAGAAAATTTTTATTTATTTCTTGGCTTAATGTTTCTTCAAAGATTGACAGAAAAAATGCCTACAGTTGGAAAGAGAAATTCCTATAACTCGAATTGTCTTTTTTACAATAAACGCTATATAACAACAGTTTAAAAATCTGATAACATAAGAAGATACTATAAAAAATTAAAAGAGATAAAATATGTATAATTTTATCATACACACGTCTGTTTAGTGTATACCCTTTTATCGATGAATCATTTATTGTTAGTCATTTTTATATTGACAATATCCGGTTTTATATGGCAATTTATGACCGTCTTCTATTTACACAGATTTGCAGTCTTATCAATGTTCATATTGAAAAAAAGTTGTTTTTTATTTAATGAATATAACAATATAATCACTAGAACAAGATGATTATATTTGGTGCAAATTTGATTTGATATACATAATTAAAAATTTCATGATATAACTAGATACAAAGCTAACACGTTTTTAAAAGGGTTTTTTATATCCGCCAAATTACTTGTACATGTAAATACGATCATCATCGGTAGTTTGTTTGATCAATATATGAGTGATAAAAGGTTATCGGCCGGTATGATAAATAAACAAATTGTTGTAATCAGTGGATTGATTTATTGATTTTTGTTTTATGAATATTATTATTATTGACGTCGTTGTTGTTGTTGTATTTTGTTGTATTGTTTTTGTTTCTCTTTTAGCATAAAACATAGTAACAATGATTTATAATGATATGAAATATGATACAAAATATGCAGACGACATTTTATGAAAACATTACGGAAGTTATTTGAGAATACCACAGGTATGTTATCATTCGGGTCGTTATATTATCGCTCTGTATGGCGATAAATAAGACTATGTACTTTCTATTTATAAATACAAAATAAACCGATGATACTGCGTTTACATATACTGAACCGTACTGAACCTTACAGTTTTTAAGATTTTATAAGTGTAAATTATGTTTTTAAAAAATTGTGTCAATAACGTGTGATGATATTTTAAATTGAAATTTGTGGGATACTTGGTTTTTCATGTGTCTCGGAGGATAAAACAAAAAGCTTTTCTTTGAGAGGTATATAATTTTAAACTTGACAAACAGTTCGGTGGATGTTCCTGGAGTGGGTTTAAAGTTGTTTCACACCTATATGAGGAGTGGGTGAAACCGTTGACCAAGACTTATTAAATGGAAACAATAGAGACAATGGAAAATGGTGTGGAAATACGAGTAAGGCCTAAATCAAAAGCGGAAGAGAGACCCAAGCCCGTGTTAGATAGTCTTGAACTGGGTAATTTGCTTTCAATTAGAAATGATCTTGATTTTTTTTACAAATATTTTAATTTCTATTAATTCGTCACCGTTCAACGAACAAGTGTTAGTAGGTTATGCAATAAGTGACAATTAGGTTTGATGGTTACTTTTTGTGCTGTTACAGTTTAAAATTTATATGTCTATTTACTAATTGACCCTTTATCTTATATTAAAATAAATGTAATAGTACATGAAGCAGACGTGAACAGGTTAACTACACGTTGTAAAAGTTTGCTTCAATAGTTTTTATTTTTAAGGAATGTTATATTTAACAATCATTTGTTAAATAAAAATAGTTCGCATATCAAAGTTGGGGCGGGGGCGGTATAAAAACACGTTGAATGTTCAGACTCCAGATAGATAATTATTAAATGATATAATAGATAATCAAGAATACTTGAGAAACGTCCTAAAGGGGTTTGTTTTTGTCTTCCTTTTGTGTAATACGGTGTACAAGTACGTGTATACCCTGTAGATAAATAGCAATAGTTTACAAACACAAGTAGCATATTTTAACCGAAAAAGTAGGTATGTTTATGAAATTCTTAACTCTTTTTATGAAGATAATAGTAAAAAGAATGTAATGTTCGGATGTATTCTATCAGATTTATTCCTTTATCATAACAACTCATACTAGTTGACTTTTGCAGAGAACGGTTTGGATGATGAAACAATGGATATAACAACACCAGTAACTGTTTTATTGTGTTTTGTATTTTTTACCAACTGTAATCTGCGATATATTCACTTCACTTCCATTGCACCTATTTTAAATTTCTCTTATCTAAGTTTGTAATTATATTATATCACACATTTAAGAGATAATTTTTATGTGAAAAAGGAAGATATAAATCTTTTAAACTTCTCAAATTCAGAAACAAATCTTTTGGAGACAATTTTTGCACTATCAAATTATTTAGTATGCCACTATTACAAATATTACTTCCTGTAAATCTGAAGGATTCTTCTTTTTATTAATTTGTTAATATCTTGTCATTTAACGGAAAATATTTAATTACCTTCCTGTTTCATTCAAGAGAGACAAAAATCATGTAAATGAAGTTTGTCAATGCTTTGATTGTGTTTATAATTAATAGCAAGCAGTTTTATATTTGCATGTGCCTATTATAAGTAATAAAATGTACCACTATTTATATACCCAGTTAGCGTCTTCTTCTAATAATGTCAAATTTAATCTAAGTCTAAAAATTGAAAAGAGTTTTATCAAAAAGTGTTTGTTTTGTATTCTTACCAGCAATATATTTAACAAAATCTTGAAAAAAAGTTTGGCCATTGTTTTACTTCACAAATTATAGATCATTTTATCTAAATCAGTTTAATTGCCAACTGGGATATAAGATAGATAATTGCTCAAAACTTTTATAAGGCGTGTAACCATATGCTGTATCATCATTATTTGAGTAGTTTTAAGAAAACATTTTTTCAATCATATATAATTTCAATAAGATCTGCAACATGAAATGAAACACGAATTGAGAGCTGAACAAGGACATGCAGTTTTTTATGACAAAGAAGTTTTTATCAATGAAACTGAAACGAAAGTCAGTAATAGCACGTGTGCCAAAGTTAGTGACGACGAAACCAGTGAACTGGAAAGTAAAGCTTACTCTAAAGCGGAAAATTATTCAAACGATCAAGCTGAAAATGTATTTGACTTCAGAGAAATAAATGATTCATTAGTCTTAGCTAGAAAGACGCATCCAAGACAAAAAGACGACCCAAAGACCAACATTTCGAAGTATGAAACTATGGAAATAGTTTGCTCACAGAATCTTTCTGCAAATGGTCCTGTAGATGTGAATGATTACCAGAAATTATATTGCCATAACACAAGCAAAACGTTAGAATCTGCTTATCATAATAATGAAATAAATGATAACATTGTTGCAGATGATAAGGCAGTCTTTGAAAAATGTAGAGATAGTGACATGCATTTAGTAAATGATACAAAAGGAAACAAACATTTAGGAAATGAGAAGACATTCGGACCTCAAATCAAAATAAATACTGATTCAGAAATGGAGTTATATAATCATGCAAAGCCAGATAATTTGTTTCAGAAAGATAATGGACATAAAGACCACGGTAATGTCGATGCTCTAAAATATAATGGAAGAGTAGATACTTCTAAAAAGTTGATTACCAAAACTAAACAAGACCTGCAAAATTATTCTTCGAAAAATGAGGAGGAGTCGATTTATTTAGACATGAATGGCTTTAGTAAGCGTAATGAAAATGTTGATGACTTTTTAAGATTGCATGTAAAAGTGGACGACCATACCCAAATATGTAGACCCAAACAAAGCACTTACAAACCTATTACAGCTACCACCACACTTAATGTAAGCTTTTTGGATTTAACCTGTGCTAACACAAGCTTATTATTCATTTTATATTTAACATAATATTTCTGACAATTAAAGGTAAAACAAAAACTTACATCTTTGATTTTTTAAATTGTAATATTCACATAAAAAGAATATTTTTATTCGTATTATACCACAAATTCTACATCTTAAATATTTCACCGGAATTATAATGTTAAGCGTTAAGGAATTTAGATTATAGATTCATTAAATTATCGTTATGAATAGTTATAATGACGCATATACTTCATCAAATTATTTGACGACTTTTAATAAGGAAATACATTTTATCGAATGTATAAAATCTTGAATTATTGAAATACCTTACTCAGGTTTATTGCGGACTATCTTAATTTACGTGGTGGTTTCCCAATATTTTCGTTTGTTTGCCTTTCTGTTGTTGTATTTATTGTAATCTACTTGCTTTTTAGACTAAGATGATACAAAAAGAGGGATTTCTTCAAAAGCAAGGAGGGTAAGTGAGTTGAAAGAAACAGCAAGAATACTGAAATAGTACAATATATTGTAATTCTTTCAAAGACTGTTGTATTTAATAACATGTTTTTATTGTTATATGTCATATACTGCGCGTTTGGATTGTCTACATACAGGACCATTTCATGTTCATTACGTATATGATATTGCAATTATGGTACGAAAATATTTTCTTTTTCGTATAATTGTTAAATAATTGCTTAATTCTTAATTGCTTTATCCTTTTCTTTTTTTCATATGATTTCTTCAGCGTTCATTTGTGTATTAAGTAGTTAGTAATTTGCCTCTGTCTCTTAGCTCGGTGGAAACGACATAGAATAGAAAGAATGTAACTAGTTAAATTCAAGGGGACAAGGAACTTATCTTTTACAATGTAATAATTATTTATTCGAGTATCTTGGCTTACAGGGTAGATCGAAATCAAGGCTGGAAAAAACGTTGGTTTGTTCTTGATGCAAAATCACTCAGGTACTACAGAGATAAAAAGGTAAATTATCTCTCCAGATATTTAATATCATTGTTGAAAAGCTTGGCAAGATAATTTAACAATTACTTTAAACAAACCATTTAATAATAAAGATAATCTAAATGGTCTTTGGCGGATATATATACATAAGCGTAAGTATCCAGTTACAGGAACTTATAATGGGTATTTTGATTAGTATAAGATAACGTATGCATTTACCTAGCGTCCAATTTGATTGGCTGGTTTAACAATGACACTATGTAACATTTTTTCACGTGTATTTTATACTTTCAGGAGAATTCCGTTGGACTTTCAATAAAACATGATATATAAATTTACAGTTCTTTTTATTTTGTTTTTAAATGTATGTTTTGTATGATTTAGTAGTTTTTTAATCAATTTTGAATTTGTACATTTTACGTTGTACTCCTAAATAAATGTCGTAAAAAATAAAGTTATGAATTACTGTTAGCATAATTGTGTGTTCTTATTTTATAATGTATTGCTTTGTAGAGCAGTGTATCTCTCAGAATAATTCCGGTGGCTTTGATGAAATCTGTATCCCCGGTAAATGTAAGTTGTTTAAAATCTAATAAATCTTCCTTGTATTGTGTGTATCTGAAACTAGGAAGTAAGTCATTGCCTTTCTTAACAATTATCTTAAGATTTTATATGATAGTATGTTCATATATCTTTTTCTCTTGTAATCTTGTGAACTTCCTGGTTTTATTACAGTCAAATGCGTTATTGTTTTACAGTGTCTTATCATACAAATTTCTGTCTTTATTAGCAAGCGAATATACTCGTACTTTTAACTAACTTACATAAGTCGATCCAAATGCAACGCTGTTATCACACTATCATTGACTTTATATACGTATATACCCCGTGTTGAAACTGAATATCGATATATTTTTTAAATACTAATTTAAATTTATACAAATACTTACCCTTTTCCATGATCCACTATGAGAACAGATTGAAATGAATATTTACTTTTTTTCTATGTTAGAAACCTATTAATAGTCTGTTTTACTCTCGGTTGCCAGGATGGCTTTAACACAGTGTTCATTGATTCAAACAATCTTAGGATCTGCATATTTAACAAGATAAATATACGCTATATCCTGATACGGAACTTAAGAATTACTATAAGTTTTCTAATCTTTTAAAATCAATGTACATAGTCGTGATAACACACAAACACTTTATAGAATTCAAATATTGAAGATGTTTTGTTTTGCTTTCCATGTAACACATGGTGTATACATGGTGTATACATGAAGTAAATATAAGACGTAAAATAATAATTGTCTTCTAAATAGCTTTACTTGGCTAGTGTGTAATGAACGCACGCATTTACCATAACAAGTATCAAAATAATTATAACAAACCTTTATTCGTACACACACACTTATCAGTCATGTGTTTTTATTAGTCAAAAAATATTGTCAAAAAGTACAAAATATGTTTTACTATTATTTCTTTTTAATTCAATACTATATAATATTTCTGAATTAGAAATGTTTTATATTTATTTCTCAAAAGCCTTTTCAATTTGGTGTTCTTCTATAGTTTAAAAAAACACCAAAGTTACTCATTTGACATTATTCAAAGAATCTTTTCCCTCTGTTTGCTTTTTGACACTCAGTACAGTTAAAGTGATAAAGTATTTTGTATGAATATGCAATTATGCTCCGTTTACATTTCGCTTCGTTTATGACAAATTGTGTCAAAATTAGCGTTACTCTTTGTATGTAACAAACATCTGAAGTGCTCTTAAGCCAGTATCTTCACTTAATAATGCTCATGTTTGCTCTTTCTAAAGGAGTATTCGTTTCTTAGGCAAAATGAAGGTAATGAATTTTATATTTTATCTTACAGAACAACAGACCAACCAGTATTACACCCGTAAATGTTTCAGACCTCTTTTCGGTAAAAACATGTTATTATGAATAAATTATTTCTAGGTTAAAATATTTTACAGAAAAAAACAGTGTTATCAAACATTACTCATGGGAAGCTATGTGAGCTTGTTACTTAACTGAATTGACATTAATTACTTTGCATTAGAAAAAAACGCTTTCTCATCACTTTACTAAAATTCATATATAAACAAGATTTACATGGAATTGATTCATATTTCCGAAAGTATTTCGTAACTAACCGTGTATTTCTTTCTATAGAAACATTTGTTTTTTAAATATAACACTGGTTTTGGATGACTTAATATATGATTTTCTAAATAATTTATTCTTCAGAATTCAGGTAGGCAGTATCAGTTCACATTGGAATGCAAACAACGAACGTTTCTATTTGGAACAGACAACCTCGGTTAGCATGTTTATATAATTGTGCCTTTTGGTGGAAATGATACCTCTATACATTATATAGCTGATTACCCACCTTTACTTTGTTTGTTAGTGTGGTTCGTTTTTGTTTGTTGGGTACTTTTGTGTTTTGTTTTTTATGAGTGCATTTTTGTATTTTTCACTATTAAGCCTTTTTTATTATCAATCAATTATACCATATCATTCCATTTGTTTTTGTTTTGTTTACAGAGAATTGTCAAAAGTGGCAAAGTACCTTGATGCTGGCGATTATTGATTACCAAAAGGTAATATGTATATGTTTTTGTAAAACTACTCGAAATATGCGTTGGTTTTGTACACAAAATACAAATGTTTTAAAGAAAAATCACATAACCTAAACTTATAGTATGAAAGATAAGATAAATAGAGAAGGGTGACGTTCATGGAACAGCTTCCAATGATCTCGGCAGCACATGATCAGAATGACACTCGTCTAGGCAACGATAAAAACTTGTTAACACAACTTAAAGGAGAGGAAGAGTACATTCAAAAAATATAATGCTATAAGGAATAAACAAATTTGAACAAATTAACAAGATAACGTACGAACCCTGATTTAACGTGCAAACATAAAGGGGGAATCAGAAGGGACGAGGAAAGTTGGGTAGGGATTAAGGACTCTTTTCTTATGATCTGAGTATTATTTACATTACAGTCATTATTGTATCAAATAAAATATGTTCCGTGTATAAAGATAAAATTATCAAGTATACTTTTAACTATGATATAAGAAGTATACAAATTAATCTTATTTTAGGTCGACCATTGCATAATATTCATTTTAAGGCATAACTGTAATTTTTTCTCTGATAATGATTTAAGGGAAACAAGACTGACATACCATATGGAGGTGAAATGAATTCGCCAGATATTTCTGTGAGTAAATCATTTTTAAATTCTTGCACGATCATGTTTCGCAATGTTTGCTTCAATCAGAAACAAAGGAAACATTTGATCTCTTATACATATGAAAAATCTCTTAGTCATTTTATAGATTATATAAAACAGAGACATAACTCTTACATTTACTATTCAAATTCAAATAATGTTTTCATTCACTTGCTTAAAATAGATAATTTCGGGTTGGCAAATGTGCCTTACCCAGGCAAGATAAATTGGCATTGATTGTGAAACCTACGGAGTAAGTGATTGAGACGGTATCCGAGAATGATATCTTTATTATCTAGATGCTTATACTTTGTCAACACGAATGCATCAACTTGCAAATGTAATAGTATTCGTCTCTCGCCAAAAGATAATGATCTTCATCAATTATTATATTGGTCATTGAAACAAAAATATAATTTTAACTTTATATCCCCTTTACGGATATTGTTATATCATAAATACCCGTAGACAGACACAAAAATAAATCAGATTTCAGAAATGGGTTGTAAATTTAACAGAATACTGAACATTATCTTTTTTAAACAGGGCCCTGTGAAGTTTGACAATAACAAGACACGGTATTATGTAGCTGTCAAAGGGAAAATACTCCGATACTACCACAACATCGAGGTTTGCTACATGTGCAGAAGTTATCTCCCATTTCGACATTGTTTTCATAAATGATCAACTGAGTGGCGCACATAAATTCACATTTTTTATATTTTGTTTGAGTGTACATTTATATAAAATCGTAAAGGGTATAAAGCTTTATCAGATGAAATATTTTAACAGAGTTTGTTTTCATAATTAATTGACCATTAATTTCACAATTAAAGTTTTTTAACATGCATGCATTAAAATGTACGAAAACATGATAAAATATTGCGGACCAAATATTATGCTGCTGTTTTAGTCGAGTTTAAACAAGATAAAATATTGCGGAACAAAATATTATGCTGCTGTTTTAGTCGAGTTTATACTGTTTTAGTAAGGATTTTATGCATGCGCCATTTGCAAAAAAGTAAACATACCGACATATTGTTTTTTTTTTCATTCAGTCATATCGAAATTATCCTCTTTTTTTTCAAAAATTCAAACAAAACAATTACAGAGATATAGTTTTATACAATTTAAGCTTTACTTATTTTGAAAATATATTCTCCTTTATTTCTAAATTAAGCAAAGTACCAAATGAATGTACGTTCAATTGACAATGTCACATTTCACTTTTATTTTCCTTCTGTGTTTTAATTATTTTCTATCTTTTTTCTATTTGAATGAACGTAATCGTGTAGATTAAGCTTATATGAATCCAGAAGTGTTCCTATGCATATTTGAATATTCCAGGATTACTCGGTAGACTGCCCTATTCATGAACTATCTATGGATATGACTTCGGTCAAAGAAATCAGAAAAACATCACTACAGTTAGACAGTCCCCCTGACCAAAAATTTATGTGCGTGAAAATCTTTCATTCATGTTTAAATATTTATTCAGCTTAAAAATAAATTTATCTTAATGTTTTATATATGAATATCCTTATATAAAGTGAAAATTGACCTTGTTTAAATTTCTCAAATTTTTAAGTTAAAACATATTCGTATTTTATTTCAACATATACATGTAAAATATAATACAAATGATAAGTATATAACAAAAAGCAAATTGATTGGGCAACAAGTTCTAGCAACATTAGATTTAACCTTTAGCCATTTGACATTTTATTGCTTATCATAGAAAAAAAACTATATTGTGTTCTGTTCTGTTTTATTAAGACTGACTTTTGAGCAAGAGAATGATACACAAGAATGGAAGACCTGCCTTGAGGCAGCCAAATTAAGAGCTCTCGGTGACGACAAAGTAAGCGCTAACATGATTTAAATTTGCTCTTCTTGAAAGCACGTCTGAACAAGGTTGTACTGTTTATGCAAATGTAACTTGTTTACACATAAAAAAAACAACGAAAATATATTGATATTAAAGCAATTGATTTATTATAAATAATTTTATTATTTTAGTTCATTTTTTATTGATTAATATCCATGTTCAAATAAATGTGTTGATATTTTATTTTACGGATGATTGTTCTTGATATAAAGAAAGCAATTGCTTTCTTTTGATAAAAATGTCTTATTTTCTAGTCACAAATAATTTATAAATATCAGGTTATTCTAAAAGTTTGGCAGAACAATGATAACAGAATTTGTGCAGACTGTTATGCTCCAGGTAAATGTAAATGTTTATATTTATTTATTTGGACGACTTTTTTTAGCTTAAGTGGTTACCATAAATATGGTATCATGTATTTAACTTATTTTTAACCGGTATAATGCAGTTTTAACACATAATCTGAAAAGAAACTTTATATCTTTTCCATACATAAAAGTATCAAAGACAGAGTACTGTTGTGTGTTTTTGTGTTTATTTTTTCAAATAAAGATTTATCGCCGCCCACTAATACTGTCGCGCTTTTAAATTGGCTGCAATTGATACATTTTTTTTCAAATTAAATTAGTTATTGCTTCAAATGATATTTCATCATTCTGATACCTCTTAAATGTCACTAATGCATCACAGTTTATACGTAATAAGTAAATGAATGATTTCAGACCCAGAATGGGCGTCAGTCAACCTAGGAATTGTGATATGTACGAAGTGTGCAGGTATACCTCTTCTCTTACTAAGTCTGTTTTGTTTGTTTGTTTTGTTGTTGTTGTATTTTTAAAGGAGGGTGTTGTTGTTGTTTTATCATTTATTTTGATGGTGTTGTTTTTTGGTGTGTTTTTATTGCGGACTTCCTAACTCATAGATATCTAGGTAATATAGAAGTTCTTAGCATTGCTGTTTAAGCACTTTTAATATTTTGAGAATTTCGTAGCCACATAAAAGAGACGAAACGAAAAGCGTCAAAGAATATCTGGTGTTACATATTGTTCCTATAGTCACTTAAATGCCCATAGGTTGACATATCATTGCTAATAAAAATTTACAGAAAATTCAGGAATGATTTATATTAAATAAAGTATCTTGTTTAATTAATGAAGTATGAATACAACCTTATTAACTTAAACTTGTTTTTAAAAAAAACGTGTTCAGATTTTAAACCTATTTACTGCTTTAGTTGTACCTGACACATCAAATTTACAAATATTATGACAATTAAAATTTTCTAACAAAATATGACAATTTATTTTAGCTTATTTTATTTATATTAATCCGGTTCCTTTTTGTAGGTCCACACAGAAGCCTTGGTGTAAAAAGATCCAAAGTGAAGTCACTTCGAATGGATAATTTATCTAAAGAAAACGAGAATATATTAAAAGTAGGTTTACAAATAATAATCAAATATTTTATTATGATTATTTTCTTAGGTTATATTGGAACAGGTAAAGGTTCTTTGGCTGTAAATTGGCCTTAATGAGCTATGCTATTTATAGAACAAGATCTGTCCTTGGTTTAGTTTGATAATTGAAAAAATACTTTACACGGAATTTTGTTACTATGCTACTGCAAATGAGCAGACGTTAATACCTGTACCAGGAGGCATGCTGGAGGTCAGCAAAGGGTCACAACACCAGCGCATGATCAGTTTTTGGTCGTTTAGACACGCCTTGCAAGGTTTTCAACAGCAACTTATCTTCGAAATGATATTGCTAATGCTGCTAGGGTCCGTGTTTCAGCACAGACGGTACGGAGAAGGCTACATGAAGGTAATTTGCGGTTAAATAGACCTTGAACATGTATCCCCTTAACGCGTCGACATCGCCAGACCCATTTGGAATGAACCATGGAGCATACATGGTGGACCGTGCAACACTGGAGACACATTCTGTTCACTGAGGAGTCCAGGTTCTGCTTAGACTTCACAGATAGGCGTGCTAAAGTCTGGAGAAGACAAGATGAACGGTTTCAGACTGCAAATATTGTTGAGCATGACTGCTACGGAGTTATAGTATTAAGAGGCATTTGCTAGGATGGACTAACCGACCGTGTTGTGCTAAATAGAGGCACATTGACAGAGCAGCTATTCATAGACGACATCTTAGACAACCAGGTTAGGTTGTATGCTAGAGCAGTTGGCGATCAGTTCATTTTAATGAACGATAATGCTCGCCTCCGTGGGGCCAGAGATGTCAAGACTACCTAGAGAGGGAGACTATTGAGCGCATGGACTGGCCACCTTGCTTACCTGACTTAAATCAAATAGACCACATTTAGAATGAGCTGCAGGTTAGAATTTCAGTCCATCAGCTGCAATCAAAAACCATCCGGGAGCTTGAAGCCATGTTGATCTAAGAATGGACAGCCATACCTGTAAGAATGATCAGAAACCTAATAGGGAGCTGAAATATTCAAAGAGGGGGTCATCCTCCTCTCTATTCACAAAACCAGTGTAAAACGCATTGATAGAGTTAAACTCGTCCTTAAGCTGAAATGATAAAACAGTCAATCAACATTTTAAACATTTTGTAAGGCGTTAATAAAATTATCCCAAAACATATCAACACTCAAACATAGTATAAATAGCAAAAGTTGAGTAGTATACTAGTATATTTCAAAAAGTATTGACTGTTATAATGGTGATTGACCAACAGTTGATTTTGGAAAATTATTAGGATAAAATATAAGTCTGAAATACAAAAAAAAACTGCTTCACATCTTTTTTATTATTTGAACGTAACAGTGTAAATTCCAATATTTTCTTGGGCCAATCGAGTTATTTATCGTTCATGCGAAGTGAATAACACACATAAAAGGAATTATGTTAAAATGTAAACATTGTTGCTTGACGTTCACATTTTCACACACTATTTACCCCTGGATGGGCATAATGTTACTTTAAGAAAAAAAGAAAAAGAACTTAAGATAGTTTTACGAAGTAACTTTCTTTCAAGGTATTAGAAACTATCGGAAACAAGAACAGTAACCTATTTTGGTGTAAGAAAGTTGAAGACTCTTGGATTGTTAATGAAGAAACTCCTTCAATAATTAGGCAGAGATATGTCGAAGAAAAATATTTGAAAAAGACATTCGCCGATATTATGCTTGTCGATAGTAAAGAGGAATTGAATATGGTAAGAAAATTATTTATTGAGTGAAACATGAACATATTGAATCACAAAGTAGAACAATATTTTATAGTTATTGAAATACCAAAAAATGAAATAATTGTGCTGTCATATTAAGCATTTATGTTATGCGAAACATGCTGAAAGAATTTATCGTTCTAGGTAATTTTAAAGTGTTTCAAAATATGTTTTATGTTTTTTCTAGATACATATTTTTAGGTAAAGTTCCCCTCTGAAGTCTTCAGAAAAGATAATGTTAAATATTCTAGATCCAAATGGAATCTTTGATATGTTATTTAAAACAGCAGACCGGTTTGAAAAAGTCTAAGAACATAGTACAAACACATTTACATTTTATATGTGTATTTTTAATTCTCTAGGCACTTTATTCGGCGGTAGCAGCTGAAAATATCATAGCAACAATGGTGGCACTGTTCTCCGGTGCTGATGTATGTATATATAGTGTCATTTATAAAGCTGGCAGGTTTTTTAAAGAGGGCACCAACTTTACTGGTCCCGTAATAGAGAATGTAGTTTCTCATACTTTTTATTCAAATTAACCATATTTACCAGTGAGAATTTCATAGATTGCAAGCAATTTCTGTGATTGAAATATTTTACTCAATGATGAGCATAGTTTATCTTTAAGCAAGTTTTGCTCTTATTGCAATTTGGTAAGTTCATTTAAACCTAGTAAAAGTGTGTTATTTTTTAACATGATAGTACAATTATAACGAATATTAACTGAGATAAATAACTCTTATACATGTGATTTGTGATAATGTTTAACTTTTTTTCATTTCTTTTAATTTTTGACAGTGTAACAATACTATTACAATGAAATGCTTTTAAATGCCTATAAATTAAACAATACTTTTTGATACAGCACACTATGTAGAGTAACAGTAACTTATCAACTGTTACAGATGTTATATTATCATATCCGCCTTTTGCAGTAAGAAATGTACATATTGTTACATATTTTGATAACGTTTCAAGATTGTATTTCTAGAAATCTGAGTATATAATTTTAAAAGTGAAATGCCGTAAGTTAAAGAGCGGCAACTATCTCATGCTCCATGTATAACTTTCTTTATTATAGATGAATTCGATATGCCCTGGCCAGAGTAAATCTAGTAAGTTTTCTTATATTGCACTATACCTACATTAACATATTCAACACAGATATCGATTTTGAAAACTAAATAAGTAATAACTAGAATGATGGAATCAATATGTCATGACATACATTTACATAGTTACGCTGCAATGCAAATTCCAAAAGTCTAACATAAATAAGACAATTGTATCAAATAAAAACTGTACACAGAAAAGTTAATAAACTTTGGTGTTTTTTTTTAAATAATTTCACACACATGAAAATATCTGTAATATTTTCAAGCTGTATATTTCCAGGCACTTACCTGTGTATTTCTTAATCCTACACCAGCTGATCTTGTGCAATGAACTTGTCATTTTTTATTTTGGACAATCCAATTCAATTTAACGGTTTTCAGTATTAAAATACAAAATTGAGCTAGCAACAGTATGGAACCTTGCCAGACTGCATGGAAAGATTGTAACATTATAAGTTTGCCTGGTAATTTACTAAATTAATGTTTAAAGCTAATCTTTTTTGTTCTAGCAGCTTATGCGTTATTATTTTTTCCTTCATTTAGTTCTTGAGGTGGCAAACGAAACAAATAATCCAGTTTTAAAGGTGAGACAAACCTTTTTGTATTTGATGAAAAAGATATACATGATAATATTTACAAAAGATAAAAGTACTCAACACTCAGAATTTGAAAAATATAAATAAATAATATTTCTAAGAAAAACAGTTTTAAAAAAAAGCATTTAAATAATAATCATAGAAAGGCACATTTTTAAAGAATTATAAATTTTTATAATTTCATTTATGATAATGTACTTTTCCATTTTTTTCAGGAGTTCTTAGAACAGAATAAAAACACCGGTAAGACAATTTTGTCTAACACCTTATCATAGACTTAACCGACATAATATAATAGTATCTTAAACATGAGAATATTTCAATCCGTAATACCTTTATAGCTAAGAAGGTGTATTTTCCTTCTTATTCTTTTAATTCGTGGTGTTCTTGTCGTTGCTCTAAGTGAAGGACCAGGATATATAAAATACATCAGATTTTTAGATATGTCTTAGAAGTCAGAAAGTAACAACAAAATGCAAGAGAAGTAAAATATTCCAACAAACTTAATGCATTTCATAGATGAATCGCTTATGCTAGTTTTAACTGATTATGTATTGAAATATCTGTACACGTCTAATAAGTATACAATGTGTTAAAATGGTACCTCTTTTTTATATTACATTATGGTTAAATCAACGTTTCATTATTTCAAAATGTTATAAGCAAAATATATTGTTGTATCCTTTTCAACAGACTCAATTTCTTTGCACAAATGTTTAAGACAATTTCTGAAAATCAGTCAGGTTTTAAGGCTGATAGATAACTGTAATTTGCTTTTGTCGATTTCGAAAAGTGTTTTGACGCTATTAATAGACAGCATTTGTGGGATATATTAAAACAGAAAGGTATCTATCAAAATCACTCCTGAGTATGTATGAAGGTGTGAAGGCATGTATACGCTGTAATGGCTCAAGAACTGGTTGTTAACAGTACTGTGGGGGTTTGAAGCAGGGCTTTTTGGCAAGTCCGACTTTGTTTTGTTTTTTTATTGATGAACTGGAACAATTATTGCCTAAGAGTAATGTACAAGGCATACAGCTTCATCCTAATATGCTTCATTTATATATGTTAATATTTGCTGATGATGTAGATTTAATGTCCAACACTGTAGTTGGTCTACAAAAACAATTATACGTTTTATCAAACTTTTGTACTGATTATAAGGTCAAGGTAAACGAAGCAAAAACGAAAATTAAAATCAAGACATAAAAAGTGGTTTTATAGAAACACAAGATTAGAAGTTGTTAAAAAGTTTTGTAACGTAGGTTTAATACTGACACAAAAATTCTGAATTCTATGGCCCACGAAAAAGCAAAGCGTGTATTGATAACTATTTGTAAATTCATTGTATCATCATGGCCAGTTACTGTCTCTTTAAAATTTTTGTTAATGATATTTTTTCTCAACTATCATATGGATCTGAAATTTGGGGTCTAAATAAATTTTATAAACTTGAACGGGTACAATATTATGCTTGTAAACGGTTTATGTGCGCAAAACAAAAACCATCAAATTGTGCTGTTTTAGGTGACTGCGCTTGGTATCTATTATATGTTAAGACTTACCAAAGAGCTATAAGATATTGTTTGAAAATAATAAAGATGCTTTACAAAGAATTGTAAAAAAATGTTATATAATGATGCTGAATGATGTCTCAAATGGTTCTGTCAATTGGGATCATCAGTGAAAAACTGTTTAGAAAGATACGGATTTGGTTTTGTGTGGCTTAAACAAGGTGTACAAAATGAAAATGTATTTTCAAATGTTTTTGTAAATAGAGTGAAAATACAAGCCTTCAAGAGCGGAATATGAATGTTGACGATAAAAGTTACAAATTGTTTAAAAATGGTTTTTCTTTTGAGCATTATTTAAATGTTTTGGATTTGAAAAAAACATCGATTTGTATACACTTTGAATTGGCAGTCTGGATATTGAAGTAGAAAGGGGAAGATATACACATACCCCAAGAAATGAACGAACTGCGATAAAAACAGTGTGGAAAATCAATATCATTTCTTACTTATATGTGACTGTTATGATGATTTACGCAATAATTACCTGCCAAAGAAATATTACATGCAACCAAACTTGAATAAGTTTAACATAATTATGTCAACAACAAATGAATATCTTATTAAATCTGTCGCTGTTTTTTTTTGTATTATGCATATGATAAAAGATACCAATATCTGAAAAATATATAATATGATCAATGTTGTAACAATATATCTATAAATAACAATATTAATAATAATGTGTTGTATTAAATGGTTAATATGTGAATTGTTATGCACTTACTATCCTCTGTTAATACGTTGTGTATTATATTTTGCATTATTATGGGCTGCAAATAAATTTTGTTATGGTCATTGTCATTAACTGCAGTGTATAACGATTTTTTATAAGAAATTGTACATATGTATTTTTCATTTAGATGTAGCCACAGTTGTATATGTGGACAGTGCAAATGAAAAGGTATGTGATAAATGGAATACCGAAACCTTATTTAAACTAGTTTTTCCATTGTAATATTAATATTCAGGTAAGTTGAAATAAAAACGTTTTATAATTAAGTATTATCCTAAACTGACAGAGAAAAGTTTTATAAATAAGTATTATCTCTAAAGGAAAAAGACAAGTTTCATAGTTAGGTATTATTTTCAAATGAAAAAGAAAAGTTTTACGATTTGTATTTATTTTATATTCACAATCGATATAACATGTACATGTTTAATAAAGTTGATATTATAGAACTAATGAAATTCATCAATGTGTTGTTTCAGTCATTCTCCGATCTATCGAAGAAAACAGCAATCTACCGAGACGGCTATTTATACAAGACAGGACCTAACCTCAAATGTAAGTGCCTTCTATATTTAAAAATAACAACCCGATGACATTTATCAACGTTATGGGAAGAAATCAAACTTGTAAAAATAAAAAATTTGTAATGGTCAATTTTGTCTGTACGAAAGCCGTAGAGTATGGTCATTAGATAAAATAATGAAAAGGGATAATAACGTGAACTTAAGTAACATTCCATAAGTATTGATAAATTGCGGTCATACAGGATTTTAATGAGCATATCTGTATGATTAGCTTCCCTTAGATTATATGTTGTCTTAACTTTGGTTCCAGTCTGTCGATTTTTTATGTGCTTCTGTTCGGAAAATCAAAATAATCAAAAACAGGAACGATGTATGAAATAGCGCGTATGTTATGAATAAGCAAAAATATCAACGCCTGAATCCCAGGCTAATGCTGTCTATCAATGTTGACGTAAATACCATATAGTTTAATAGCCCAGACATACTTCTAGGTGTGATGTCATTTATTATGTCATCAATGACTGTGTATTATTATTCCGTGTAAACAAGTAAGGGATAGAAAAGTTCAAGTCTTGCCACCTGATAAGAAGACTGTTATTGTAGATCTGCAATTAAAATGATTTAAACCAAATAAAATATGTGAGACATTGGATATAAGGTATTTAAAACTTTCAAAAAGAACTTAAATCACCCGGTTCTGTGGAAAATTAATCAAGAAGTGGCAGACTTGCATTACTGACAGGGAGGGGTTACCGTGTTTTAGAAAGACTTTTGGAGAAGAACAGGAGAAGTACACCAGATCTGAATATCATTTAAAACATTTGGTTGTTTACAAAAACTGAAATTCACAAAAAAGACTGACATTTATTTATCCTTAGTGTGATCTTTTCAAACATTTTCAAGACATTTAGACCAGCATTTCACCTGAGCACATTCAGAATCTGTATAAAAGCATCACAAGAAGAATTTTACAAGTGATTTCTTTAAACAGACACCTTAAAAAGTATTAAGGCAAAAATTGTAAATGATTTACTGCAAATGTTGATTTAGTTACTGCCGTTTTTAAATTTTGATATCACTGTTTACATGACCGCCGTTATAACCATTCCTTATGGCATGTTACTGTAAGGCGTAATGACGCTATTCAAGGCATTAAACGTGAAAAAGGACGTTTAAGTAATGGAAAAAAAGAGTTATAACGAAAAACAAAATGCGTAGTAACGCATAACAAAATGCAGGAATCAAAGCATAACTACGCGATTAAAAGTTGTAAAAGCGCGAAAGAAATAACGTTTTGAACAATTTAAAGTTCAACTATTAGATGGAGTATTGAATACAATATGTTTACTAATAATTTACAGCTTACAAGAAAAGATGGTGTGTTCTACATTATGGCAGCCTAACATACTTCAGTGACAAAGAGGTATTGCTAACATATCTTAAGTATTGAACAATCTCTGGTATATATTTAACACTTCTTCCCATTCTTATCTTTGAGTTCAAATACCTCATAATTATAAGCTCTTATTGTATACAATGTGATACAGAAAATAAAGCAAAATATATGTAATTGATTCTGTTAGTTTTTGTAACAAGTCTTTAAGGCTTTTAGTATGCTACCAGATAAGTATCAGACAAACTCAAACACTTTTTTCGGGGGGCAGGGGGGTGTGAAAGAAAAGTGATTTACTAGTAAATTAATATTGTTTACTATGCGTAAGATGGTTTCAAAACAGTGTTCCGATTAAGCTTGGGACATTTAGCACCCTCAATTATCAATTGGTAGTTCCAAATAGTCCATTACACAGATTAAGTGGGATAATGTGAGAAATTTTTCCTTTCCTAAATGTAATCAGTGTGAAGTACAATTTGGTATAATTTTATCATTTTTATTATCTTTCTTTTTCGTTGTCTTGATTTTTGTTTGTTTGTTTTTAGTTTTTTTTCTGTTTTTGTTAGTAGAATATTCTAAGGACCATATTCTTTTGAAATGTCATTCTTTTTCTATTCATAATTTCACATGATAGGGATCAGATCGGGGATCTGTGAACTTAGCTGATGCAACGAGTGTATCCATAGTTACAGGACAGAGGTAGGCAAACAACTTAATGAATAAAGCAGAATAAAGCTGCAACATATCATACAAACATATAGATAGAAATAAGTCGACTATAACAAAATCGTTATTTCACATTAAATGCCAAAAAGCGTTTCTTTTGCTTCAAATACAGAAAAGTAATACAAATTGATTCACGAATTTCACGTTTCATTATATATGAGATATATGTACTATAGTCAAACAATTTTCGTTGATTGTTTGAACGATTTACTTTTATAATAAAAATATTTAAAATGGATTGTTTGGTATGTGCTATATTATTTGATAGCTTGAAATATTTATTTTTTTGTAGAAAGTACAGTTTTGACATCGACTTGCAAACGAAGAATCGGACATATCGTTTTGCTGCTCCAGATGAAACAATGTTTGGAAAATGGCTGAACGTTGTTATTCAGGTTTGCCAAAATATTGTTATTGAATTTTCACTTAGATATAATCATATGAAATAAGGAACAAATTGGAAATTTGTAAATGTAACTGTATTCTCTTGCACCTCATATCTGATGTTACTCGAAATAACTATTATAACGAGGAAATCAGCAAAGATGATGTTTCGACTGATAGCTGCACTCTTTTTAGAGCCGATATCCATCATTGTCTTGCATGTTAAAGACATGTATCTGCACTAATTCTATGAACAGTTGTTGATAAGCGCTAGCGTTGCTAAGTAAATTCTGTTCTTACAAAATGTTTGTAATTTTGATCCAGGTCATATGTCCGTATGAAAGCGAGGGACTGGAGCGAACCTTAATTGCTGGATACTTCTACTTTAAAAAACAGTTGACATTTTGGGCAAAAGTATGGCTTGTCCTTGACGCACATGCCTTACATATACGACACAGAGTAAGCAGTTTAGTTAATCAGTTTCGTAATCAAATCATTCGCCGAGGAGAGTTGTGGATTTTTTAAATTCAGCATTACAATAAATAAGTATTGTTTATACATTTATTTCGATTGTGTAAGCTGTTTTAAACTGACAGACACACTCTCGAACCAACTACTAAGCAATACATTAAAGAATTCTTGCTCAAAGACTACATAAAAAGTTTTTTGTTTGCCTCTTGTTAAGTTTGAACCACCCATGTGACAATCATTCCTTTGATTTAAATGAAATATTTATTAAATAAGACTATGTGGTGCCCATTTAGTTATCATTTTACATACACATGTATTTTTACAGGACGACTCAACTGTTCAAACTATAACAATATCAAGTCAAATGAAATGTCTGCTGTTCAATGTAGGAAAGCATTCAGGTAATTATGCATGGGTCATGCCTGTTCTTGATAGTACTTCATGATAAATGTTGTCCATTTATTTGTATATGCTTGTATATGATCCAAATAAGAATCATTATAATAAAAGTATGAAATATTTTCAGATCAATTTAAATATTTGACGTGTATAACGTCACTGTGACGTGTATAACGTTACTGTGATGCATCAGTAATGCTAAGTTTTTTGAAAAACTTTAATTGATCTTTATTTGCTTTCATTTCTTTGCTCTTGTTGGTTGTAATTGTAATGATTTTAAATAATAAAAAGAACCTGCATAAATATAGTGCACACTGGGTATTCATATTTCTCAAATACTTATGATAGCTTTGTGTTTCTTCAATTTGATTTACGGAAAATATCAAATAACTCGTTCATACGGAAGCCACTGATAAATAATCATGACAATGATCATATTACAAGAATGATTTATTGTTAATAATTATTTTGCCTTCAATCATTATACAGAAAAGACTGAAGATGTAATAAGACAACTTGATACTAACCAATCCATAGAGCTAATATCAGCTGAAGGGTAATATTTTACATTAATTTACATTAACATTGTTATCTTTCAATGATTTATATGGAGTTTAAATCCGGGTGTATAGCAATCCTTTGATTAATAGTCCGTCGCGTGTACAACTCGGTCTCATCAGCACATTATGAATTGTGTAAGTATATTAGATAGCATGCCAAGAGCTTTTAAAATTTGTTATCATATTTGACATGAATTTTTAGAGGATCTGAAATAAATTAAATATTACATTGAAGTACAACTGTTGACACGATATTTATAAAAACACGTATGTAAATCCGAAATTTATTACATACTATAAGCAAGTAATCCTCGAATCCATTTCGCACTTTGATATCTACATGCAAATTAATGTACTGCTAGTTTTAAGACAAAAGTTATTGTCTATATCAATATTTCTTAAAATTCTTAATGACATATAGACATATATGTTATGATAGAACAAACATAAAAAGATGAACTAAAATAATATCATTTGACACAGGTTTAATTCAAAATAAAATTATATTTCATCATTTTCGTTATTGCATTCAATTTTACTATTTTTCAACTATTTTTAGGCACGTCGTGGCTTATTTTCAAGGAATGGCTCTCAAAGAAACCAAAAAATTGTTGTGCTTGTTAGAAACGGCAATATCAGACCATTTATGACACAGTCGGTTACATGAAATGTGAATATAGAAGAAACGTTCAAAACTATGTTTTCATTTCTTCTTAGATGTAGACAATCTGATAAAACTCAACTCGGCTAAGGCTGACACAAATAACAAAGAAACAGTTATATGTCAATGTAAATTAGTCAAATGACTTAAATAATATTCTTAAAACTCCTATAAAACATAAATAGTATTATGAGACAACTGATTGAAACTATTTTTAAATAATCACGTGTATTCATACGTACTTTTATACTCATGAAGATTACTTTAAATGAATCGAACGTTTCTTGCCATTATAGATAACGAAAGAGAGAACTAGTGTGCTCTAGGCAGATTGTTCGTTATATGGCTAATTTATTTTTTACTTTGCGCCATGGACAGAATATGTAGAAAATTATGTTTGTTTTATGCTGGATTACAAACCCGGCGAGTGTTGACCTAAGTGGGCGGATTCAATCACTTAGCATGTGGACGATTATAAAAACAAAAACAACATTTAAAGGTCTAGTTTCGTTATTATAGACTCTTAAAGAATCCACTTCTGATAAAAGTGTCTTACTTATAAATATTAATTGCATTAATTGTTTCAAATGAAATATACTTGATAGTAAATTGTATGGGGATTTTTTTTAATATAAATATTACGCCATATATCGTTGTTAAATACATACACATTATACTTATGGTTTAATGTGGGTTATCAAACCGCTGTTTCGTTCATGGGTTCCCTTTGGAATTCATAAAAAACAAAATATCATTTAAGTTCAGTTTCTTTATAGATTTTAAGATTCTATTTAATATGTTTAATAAAAAATAAGTAATTGCATTTATTTATTTCAATTTAAATTTGATAGCGAACCTGATCACGTATTCCTTGGGTAAAACATTATCTTTTTCTATTAAACTTTTAATATCTATATATCTATTAAAATAATAAAAAAGTAACATAGCACAGCATTTTAAAGTAAATCTTATAAGCTTTACATGTCGAAGACGATCAAATGCGGTCTTCAGTAGTTATGTTATGCTTAAACAGAAAGACATGTTAAATTAGAGTTAAATATAAGGTGAAATCTATTCATGCTGTTTGTAGACCACATTGATATGGTTCTGTCCTGTGCCTTTTACTTTTCGAAAGAATCTAAGTATCTAAATTGTGCTGATTCAAATTACAAGTTTAAACAATGAAGTGCTCAACAACAAATAAATTGAAGTGCTCATAAACAAATAAATAAGGTTAATAAGGTGACACTTTGTAAGACTGTTGTATACATTTTTGTAGATAACTAAAACAAGTTAGGCAGACGTTATCATCGTCAAGAATATTGCAAGTGCCATTAATGTGGTGAAAAACAAGTAAATTATAAAGAAAATAAAGTCTGTGCACGACACAATATCGGACCAGTCATGCCCATCTTTGCCGGAACTGTCCGTCCCGATGCTACTTTCAAGACTTTCACTCGATTGTTCCTCACTCAATTGTGATTCATTGTCTTCATAGTGCAATTGTTTCTCTTGCTTTGTCTCATCATCATCAAGCAAAGAAGCTGTGTTGTAATGTTGGCTTAATACAGACGCTGGCCTTTTGCGACTAACTATAGACATAGGGCGTTGTGTCAAAACTGAAAGTGCTCGGCCATCCATTCTTGAACCTGGTCGACTTGTTCCAACCGAGATTGCTCTACCAGTTCTAGCTGAAGTAAGTCCACAGTCCTCTGAGGAGAACAATCTATTGACAGATAATGGCCGATATTCTGCTGATGATTCCGGTCGATTCATTTTATACTCAGTAGCTGAAGTAGCTTGTAAATCCATTATTTCATCAAATATGGAACCGGACTGATGTCCTACGCCTTCATCTGTGTTTATCCTTAAATCTTTAGAAGAATCACCTCTAGTTTGATGTGTATCCTCTGTTGGTTTATCAAAGTTTTGCGTATTTTCTTGTGATGAATCTTCTGATTTATTGTAATTAATGATGTTTAAAACATTGTTTTCTTTCATATTAAAGATATTAGGACTACTTTTATCCTCGGTTTCCTTCATAGTGTTTTCATTCCTTCCTGTATCGATAAGTGTGTTGTTTTCGCTTTTATTTGTAAGATTATTATCCAGAGCTACTGGCTTCATATCTTTTATTGTTTCTTTATCTTGTGTTGTGTCAGGAAGGGATTTTTCTTTAGAGTTACCACTAGCAGAGCACGTTTCTTTCTCAAAGTCTTCTTTAAAATGCTCCAACTCATAGAGGTCATATTCAGGAATAATGTTATCCATATTTTGGTTCGCAGAATTGATAAAAATATTGTTTTCTTTTTCATCTTTTTCGAATTTATTTTCTATTTTTCTATCAAACGGAGGTTCTGGTACATCGTTTAGATCTTCAATTTCCTTACGTACAAACGTTATGTGTCTTTCTTTTTTATTTTTATCATTAAAGGTGTTTCGCTTATCAGACCTGTCAGGTTGCTCTTGTAATTCTTTCGATACAGCTGTGGAGGGCCTAATAATTGCATTTGCTTCAAATAAAGTAGTTTCGCTTTCAAATGAAGGTCTTCTATTATCACGTTTTCGAGGGATTACAAACCTGTCATTTTCCTCTGGGTCTAAATTTTTCTCATTGTCTATCTTAAAAGCAACAGTCCTTTTCTTTGAAGATGGTGAACTATGGTAGCCACTGCTGTCACTAGTACTTGCTTCGCTGTCTCCTTTCGGAGTGTGTCTATTTTCGTCGATGTCTGCGTTCTTTATGCGTTTGCGCTTTGAATTTTCACCTTTATTAGAAAAAGGTAAGTATGCCCGAAACTTCAATGTGTAGTCAATCATTTTTCGAAGCATTGTGGAATCGGATACCTTCGGCTAACCAATGTTATAGCTCTTATTTGCAATACGCTTATCAAAAGGGCAATTGCGCTCATTATGGTCATTGTCAGCAGAAATGCAGCATACAGGGAGATGGTGTCAGAGTTGTCTGGCAACGATTGGTTGTTGATTATCAAGAGAACAACAAAGGAAAGAAATATCGTGACACTGAACCCCGATTTTTCTCCTGATTCAGTAGGAATTATGAACGTAACAACATTCATATAAGCCAACATTATGACAGGGATTGTCATATAATAGGTCACGTAACGGGAATAACGTTCAATAGTCAAGTAAAATTCTACAACTTTATGATTATTGTTTATTTCTTGTTTGGTTTCTGTAGAAATTAGTTTCCAATTAGAATTCTTTTGAAAGTTTGGATGTATTTGAAGTCCAAGCGTTCCAAGCTCTGTAACAACTTCACTGTCGTCGCTTGACCAAGTCCCAAACTAAAAAATTAATACACTATCTGATGCTTATAATTATTTTATGCAAAAATAAATATACTAAGCTTACGTATTGAACACTTTCATTTTTTGAATTTAAATACCACATTTATCGAGCACTTAGGCAAAACCATCAATTTTTTAAAACCTTAAAGGATAGTTTTCTTTCCTCCTTGAAGGAATCCTGCATCCCTTGGATGAGGTGCTATTTGTCAAACATTTAAATGCATAACACATATATATCATTGTTTAATACCATACACATAAATATCATTGAAACTTAATGATTAAGAGGGATCACCTCTTGTCAAGTTATTTCTAATCATAATTAATATAGATGTAAGACTTTTGTTTCATTTAAATGGTATGTACCTTGAGGATGCATATCTGTCTGTCGTATGGATAGTGTGTTAAATCTACTTTACATACAGACTCCATAACCTGATAGGGTTTCCATATACAAGATCCATTATAATTGATGTCTATAAACATGAACTTGGCTCCCATTGCAGTTATCTTAGAAAACCCGTTCATCAATGCAATGTCCGGTTTCCAGAGGTCGTTCTGTGGGAGAAGCACCTGAACGACTCCTTGGCGCTTGGTAGGGTCCCAGGATAGATTTGGATCTTCCCACTTTACCTCAAATTGTCCTGTAGAAGTTAGCTTTTGTTCGACCTAAGAAATTATGTTTCATAGTGGTCACAAAATATATTAAGTATAATGATTGTAAAATAAGTTTTCAAACGAATTATTTTAACAATTCATTTATGATTTGAAGGTGAAATGATGTTTTCAGCTAATTTATTATGCATACCAACCATCTTTTTTACATTTACATTACATCATGTGTTATGACTGTGCTAAAAGTATTTTACAGTTTATTTGGCAAAATGCAAAACATCTAAATTATGAACGTACCTCGTCCAGTCCGTTTATTCCAACGAAATAGAAATCGACATAAGCTTTTAAAGCTTCACTAAGGTCTCTTGTCGGCAGATTTTCATTTGAATAGTTAGTTAACATTTCTTTGACTGCGTCTACAACAGCGCCCACTGGCGGACCAAACGTTGTTGTCGAAGTTGTTTCTGCGATTGGCACTGCCTTTTCCTCTTTCATGAAAAATAAATAATTTATGTGTCAACTTATGTTAAATAAAGTAACATTTGCACTTTTCATGCCATTTTCGGTAAATTGGTGTGTCTTTCGTGATCATACTTACAAGTCTTTACCGTAACTGACCGAATCAATTTTCCAAGGAATAGTTTATAAATTACAAAATAGCTTAATATTTATCTTAATCAGTCAGTATAAAGTATTTTATTCACGCTTGTATTAAACCGAAACTGTATTTGCCTACATGATATTTTTACTTTAAAATAGTATTTAAGAGTGCATCTATCAAATGAATAGCATTATTTTACGTGGTATACCTGCGTAGTAATTGATCAAAAACCCTGACTGCGTGATATAACCGTCACTATGGAAATGGAGAAGATATTCTTGACCTTCAAGATTCCATTGTTTCTTCCAGTAACCACATACAGTATCATGGACACCATCTTTTATGCATGATCCTGTAAAATGTAGTCTTTAAGTAACATCTGTATATAACTAATATATTAACATGTAACATTGAAGTCATGCTGGTGATACATAAATTTAAGTATGACAATACAATGTTTGTATTTTATGTAAATAGAGGACTTTGAATATAACGAGAAACAGTTCGCTGTTGATAATATTAAGTCAAGCGTAAAACACTAAATTTAAAAATGATTTTTTTAACAGTTTCTTGAAAAAAAGGTATCGCTGTTCTTAGATATTTTTCATATGGTCAATGGTACATCATTGTTAAAACATAACAAAGTAATCACCTTGACATCAGAACAATCTTGATGTGATTAACTTAATGTAAGTTATTAATTGTAGGTGTTCATTTTAGATGACTTTAAAATTAATACTTTTTTCATATATATTCTCGGTAATCTTTGTAACTTACGTTTTCAATGGTCTACTGACTTATTTCTGCTGAAACCTTTTGGAAAAAATTTAACATGGTCTTTAGTGTACATTCAGTTACATAATAAGTGCGGAACGGTATCACGCGTCAATATATCTCTAATTGTTATGTTTAGCTATTATTCAATAAATTATCACATCATGGTATAAAATTTTGTTTTGCTCGTTTTGCATGTCATCTTATTTCACATATTTTCTGGAAATAGTTTGTTGGTATAATCTATAACTGCTGACATCGCATGAAAGGGGTTCAAAAATATATAGATGCTTTTAAAGCATTAGCACAAACGTCTTAAAATGATAAAAGACATGATAAAAAACATTACCATTATACAAGACGAGCCGATCATAGATACATTTATATGATCTCTCAATACTAATTCTGATAATGTCAAGAACGATTCTATAATGGGTGGTGTTGGCGTTGTAAAACAACCAGAATACTTCAACGTTCCTAAAAACAAAAGTAATAATTCAAAGATCAAGTAAGCCTATCAAACAACTATAAAAGATAATCTTAACACGACGGTTTTGATGACAACAAAATGCATTTCAAAAATTACAAGAATAAAGGTCTACAAGGCAAAGGCAACGTTCACGCAGCCCCCGACGCACCCACGCTACCACAGTAGGGCACCCAGAAGGCACCAAATCAAATCGGGGTGGACACTTTTTATTGAATATCCAGAAAAAAATGCTTTTTTGATGTAATAGAAAGAGAAAAACGCCTGCTGCCATGACAGCATGCATGACTGAAGTGACAAAACAGTCATTGCAATATTACATACATAATGTTATTAGACTTTAATAACGTGCATGTTCTTCTTGCACGTTTCTTTCCCATTACAATGGTATATATTCAATTGATTTATTAACTTATGTATAATGAAAAGTCTTCTTTTGACAATAATCCAAAGATTTCTTTTTTCTCTGAGATATTTCATAGCAAATTGAACCTCATGGTCTATGCGAATGAACTTACGCTTCACGTAAATACAAATAGCTATTTACTTGTATACCTAGCAGTACATTATTTAAACGCAACTTTTTCTAGTTTTTAAATAAGATTTGTATGATTTACATAACATTTAAATATATTTTTATTTCTTTTCGTTCATTTTTCAACATTTTCCACTATTATACTTTCTTAGTGCTGAAACAAAAACACTATTATAGGTTTTGTCCATAACTTGGATATTGACCATTTTTTACCAACTTCATAGAAAAGGAAACGTGACAGAAGCAGACGTATTGTTTTCCCTTTTATTTTTTTGTGTTTGTGCATTCATTTATGATATATATTTATGAGTATGTGATGAAAACCGTTCAATCAAGTTTTCCATAAAGTCACACATGATATAAAAATTATTTCATCCTTATGATAAGATATTTTATGTCTACAAAACTCTTTACAACTTACAAAGGGTAGTTTGATGACCCGAATCCCGGCGAACTGATGTTTGATTATAATTATGTATAATTTTGAAAAATGTGCTTTCCCAATCTATTTAAGTACGTGCAAAAAATGTGTGGTCAGTCAAAAAGAGGATAGCTGAAAGCATATTAAAAAAAAATACATTGTAAGTTACATAAATACGACCAGAGTTTAATTCTGAGGCAGTTGAAAAGCTTCGGTCCCTAACTTCAATGCATTATTTCTTCTCCAGTGCTTCTAAATCAAAATATATTATATTTCAAGCTTATCATTCCGGGTTCTGAAGGGTGTCCGAAAGGGTGGAGATAAAACGCATGGTGCTAGGTTTAACGAAATGTTTGAACTTGAATAAGATATACTTAAAACAAACTTATTTCTACTTAACGTTTGTTATTGGCATCAAAAACTAAAAGCTATCACGTACTAGATGTTTTAAATGTAAGAGACACCACTTACTGTTGTCAACAGCCTTTATTCTAATTCTGAACCCAGCTTTTTGTATGGCATAGTCTGAGGAAAACACTATTAACATTTGAGTGCTTGAACTTCTGTACACTGAGGTTGGTCGAATCAATCCACAGAACTTGTCTAACATTGTATTCGTTGTTAAGTTACCTAAAACAAATTGCTCATAAGATTTTAAAACAAACAACCCTGTACAGATTTCCAAAAATGTTGGTTCATTTTGTATATAATTTGAATTATTAAATTCTAATGCTAAATAGTCATAGTTTACAATGTTGGAAGTGACTTTGCACTACAACTTTTATTAATTAGTTACTTTTAAAAAAATGTAAATGTGTTTATATTATGTGTTTATATTAAAGTCATAAAAACAAAATATACTCATTTCAAACGTATTTTACCCTGAATAAATAAACACTTACAGATATTATAAATATACATTTTTCTCCTCAAATTTTGATAGTTTTAAATTGCAAATTGCAATCCTATCAAAAAAACGTTCTGCTGCGATCTGTTTACAATAGAAATTCATTTTATATTCATGTGTACGACAAACGAAAGACAAATTGTTCCTGACACAATAAAAAAGACAGTCAAAATATATCGATAATTCTTAATTCCTATAACCTAAGCTTGGTTACTTGGTTATTTTGCGTATTGCTGCATACCATCGTAAAATATGACGTAATCATAGCGACAGTAGCTATTGCTTTCAATAGCGTATGTTTCATTGTCAAAATATGCTTCGACTGAATAGTTGTCCGGTGCCGTGACGTACCATCTACAATATTTGTTACTGAAAGAGTCAAAAGGTACTTTTATTTTATTTGATGTTACAATATGATATATAGATATAAACCTCAACTTTCTTTATTGGAAATAATTAAATTAGGAGCACGTGATTAAAAACAACTACGCATCTGTTGATGTCGTAATTTGTGACGTCACATTATACGTAATCAACTGCATTTGATGTATTTTATGTCCTGTAAAATGCTGTTGCTTTCATTTTTTTATTTTTTTACTATTTCCCTGAATACTCTGAATATCAATAAACGCAAAATATATAAACAGCACAGGCATTGTGCAAATGTATCACCGAATCTATGCAAAGTTATGGCCGAAAGATTAAGACAAATTAAGATTTTTTACGGTCAAAATTGCATATATAAATAGAGAAATTAACATGCAAAAATTCTAATTTCCTATGTTAATGCATTTTACCTGATCTATTGTATAACTCTCTGTCGGGTTCAGATACATTAATTCCCATATGTTCTTGTTAGGCTAGAAGTCTTTTGCACTTAAGATTAAATAAAACCTACGAGATTTGAATAAGCAAATACATAATATGTTAGATATGTGTACCTTGGATACACCCCACTTTCGTAATCAGGTGAATATATGTAGTCAAAGTTTGGTGATATAGATGCAGTCATGTACGCCCCAGAGGCCGTACAATTGTCAAAAACTCCAGGTGTCAAGGTCGTTGTTGGAGCCGCTGTTGTTGTCGTTGTTGTTGTTGTTACTGCAATTATGACATTGATGAGCCGCGTCATGACAAAAGCAACATAATGCGTTTGCGACCAGCATGGATCCAGACGAGCCTGCGCTTCCGCGCAGTCTAATCAGGATCCATGCTGTTCGCTATCAGTTTACGTACTTGTTATAGGGTTGGTAAGCGAACAGCATGGATCCTGATCAGACTGCGCGGAAGCGCAGGCTGGTCTGGATCCATGCTGGTTGCAAACGCACTATGTTGGTTTTGTCGTGACGCGGCTCAAATATATTCACAAATATATGCAAATATTCATCTTTTGAAGTGTTGGGGGTGAGATAAGAGGATAGAATTTTACACCACATATGATCTAAAAGAGTTTTAGATAGGTAGTAGTAAGTAAGTAAATAGTGATATGAATGTCCAACTAGGTTGACATCACGTGTTCTTATGTACGCCGCTGATGAATTATTATTTTATTTTTATATATAGCAGTGTGTGTAAAAGCCAATACGTTATCGGTTTATATGAATTAAAAAAAATAGCCTTGATTATAAGCACAGATATATGTCAGACAACCTTGATACCTCGTAAAATCACTGAATCTCGTGTACTTTCTTATTTAAAAAAAAAATGAGAATAAAGATCAACAAGGCAAGGCAATGTTCATTTACGAACTAAAGATGACCAAAACTTTTGTCCACGAAAACCATTTTGCATATATCGTAATAAGCAGTAGAATTTGCGTTAGTTGTATTAGTTGTTATTTATTTTTTTTTTTTTTTTTTTTTTGGGGGGGGGTTGTTTTTTCTCGTTTTAAAAACCCATTATGTCCCAGATGTGCTTTTTTTTAAGTCTCAAAAACCTTAAAATTTATATTTTGTGTACTTTTATAGTTTCCAAAAAATAACCTATTGCCAATAGACTGAATCATCTTTTTCTTCTTTTGTTTTTATAGGAGTTAGAACAGTTATAGTAAATTAGTGTTTTTATGGAAGTCCAAACACTACAATTGCGAAGTGGTATATCATTTGAATAAATATGAAATACATTAATATCATGAATGTTGAGAATTAAAAATATATCAAATCCGTAGTATCATCACCATCAAACGTCTGCTTACTATAAAACTTTCGAACTGCTTGCTGTATAAAACATAAAGATAATATTTATTTCCTTATAAAATGGAAACAAATGACACGTTCCACACAAATATCTGTCAATCATTTACCTACGTTAGTCCTGTATATCAACATAAAACCATAAAAGTCAGATGTTGGAGTGGTAACTGTCCAGACAACATGACCGGTAAATTCGCTTGTTTCTATGTCAGTAAACTCATATACTAGAGCCGTGGAACAAACTAAATCAAGTTCTGCGCCAGCCGTTGAATTACCTGTAAAAAGAGTGACCAAATGAATGCAAAATACAACAATGAAGAATACTTTTATGTTCTCTTTCTTTTTACTCATCATGTTAGTATTATCTTTAAGTAATGTAATACATATTTACATTGAGAATTTTAAACTTAGATGTCCTAACATTAAATGTGCATGGAAAGATAAAAGATGAATATTTTACCATCATAGAATCTCAAGTGACTGTTTCCACAATTACTCATGTCAAGAAACTTTATTTGAAACAAAATTCCTGTAGTTGATGAAAATGTCCATGAACACGAATGAGATCTTAAAAGAAATCAAACAAGAAAACATTTATACACTTACAAACAAGAGATAGCACTGGTAAACTGGACATACATTAAAAAATGTGAATTTGTAAATGTGCAAAATAATGTCAAAGAAACTAACAAACAAACTACAACTTTAAATAGACAGGGGACTTAAACAAAATCTATAACATCATTGAATTTTTCGTTTTATATTAATTTTATAGATATTTATTTCTTTAGCTACATGTATTAGAATATGATAAACAATATCAACAATACATACTTTCCAAAATCTGATTATCAGTATATCCTTGATTGTATGTTCTAGTTACTTGACCTTGGTATTGTTTATTTAATTTATTGAACTTAATCTTAAGGTATTGTTCATGATAAGTATAATAATAATATCATTATTATTATACTTTTATTATCATTTTTAATATTATTATTATTACATGTATTATTAATCTCTTCATTTAATGAAGGTAACACGTGAAGATATACCATCGTTTACGGGTCTAATTTTACTAATATCGTCAACTTGAATGTCTAACACTGAAGAGAAGAGGTATTCTTGAGAATACAAAAATAGATACAAACCAACATAGATGTATTTCAAAATACAATATATTGAACAAAACGTATTATTTTTGGAATATGATAAAAACAACAGAAATGTGTAGAAAAAGAAGACATACAATTTGTAGTTGGTGTACTTACGCGTTATATACGGCTGGTAAATTTGGGGACATCAATATCTGCTCCGAATCCGATACAGTAAGTGTGTCATCACATCCCGGCTGATTAGCTGTAGAAGTTGTTTTTTTTATTTCTTTTCTGTATTTTTTTTTTTGTGATTAAATAATTTGTTTAATCAAATCATGCACAAAATATTGACAATGACTTACAATCCAAATTTAACCAGACAAAATAATAAAACAATAAAGCTTAGGGATAAGCTGTTAAACTGAGCCTGAAATTTCATGAAAATAAATATCACAATGCACATGCTTATTAAATAAAGTTATTAAATATATACTTGTTTACTCGATTTTTAAAAATCAAAATAAAACTGATTTATACAACATGTCATAAACTGTTAATAATAACAGCTCCTACCACGGTCCAAAAACATTCAATAAAAGACGACAGCGCTCACCGGCTACGTCAATAAAAACTAAACAATATATGAAAGAGCATCTTCACTTGGTTTTTTAAAGCTAATATAATATTATTCAATATATGTTTGTTTTTATAATCACATATCATTCATTTAAATAACTCCTAATTCCTGTTATAACTCACCTGTTTTGTTTGTGAAATAAAGTATTTGGAAACCAGTATATTGTATCATATAATCAGATACAAAGGTGATGAATAGAGCATCACTACTGCTAACAAAAGCATTTAAAGTCTTCCTGTTAGTAACAGCCATCCGGATTATACGTGTTGCTGATGCGTTATCTACAAACATAAAAAGCACATACAAGATTCTGATGTATCGGGTTTTTTGTTGTTGTTTCTTTCTATGCTGTTGTTGTTGTTGTTGTTTGTTGTTGTTTTTATGTGTGTGTTTTTTTCAACACTTTATCTAATGGTGATGTACTTTCTTTAAGAACTGACGTTAGTATATTTCAATGCATTATAGGTATGAAAGAAACAATAAATTTTGATTTAGGTATTTATAAAGAGTATCCTAAGGTTAAGTTTCAATTACAAACTAGAGAAAAGATAAAGAACTGCTGATAAGCCATCGTTAAATGCGTCATGCTTTTCACTGATTAGTACAATGTCATTTAACAGCTATGTTCCGATAATAAAAAACTGGAGCCGTTATTGCATGTAACTGTTGTTTTATTTTGATTATGCCACGAGTAACGTATATATAAAAAGAACGTGAAACAACGTAATCTCTGTTAATGCATTTTTTCTATTCCTGATTTTTATGCAAGAATATTAAATACAAATAAACCAAACTTACAGCCATCATACAAATCCATATAATCTGATGCTGTACTTTCTGAATCATAATCTTCAATGTTGATAATGATTCTGTCATCCGTGCTTGGTGCAAGAATGCGCCACGAGCAATCAGCATTACTATGTCAATAGCAAAACCAAAATGTCAATACAACTATCAAAGTAAAACGCTTAGTTTTTAAAATATATGTGTGTCATAAGACAAATGTGAAACACCAAGGATAATGTGTAGCATTAGGAATAATTCATTTGAGCGTCCGTTGCCAAGCGGTTAAAGTGACATTATGCCCATTTTTCATTGTCAAGCTGAGTTTAATTGGTTATATATTTCAAAAGGTTGACTATTTCAAAATGGCGAATGAACAATAAATGATAATCACAAATGTTTATAATTAAACTGAATAAAACTGCCTCAAATATAAAAAGACTGCCCCAGCCTTTTTTTATAAAATGAACATTACCGATATTTTCCGAAACATATTAACATTTGTGATGGTAAATTGATTACTCAGGTGACATTTATTATAAAATTGAAAATAGATATGACAAAAGGTAAAATTATAATTTTGCCTAAACATCCTTTATTTATTCTTGGATTGACATAATGTCACTTTTAGGTCGGTTACTTCAAGCCACTTGCTCCTCACCGTTGTGGGTTCAATCCCGACAAGGACTTTTGATAATTTCATTCTTACGTAAAATCGGTTGTTCTACCCTGGTGCCCGTTTGTGCCTGAAGAAAATGCACGGAAATGCACCTGAGGTTTTCCTCCACAAGTAAAGTTTGAAATATTACAAATATTGTGTTGGTGCGACGTAGAACCCAACAAAAACAATAATAATTTTTATTCATATGACTTGCTATCCTGGATGTATGCATGTAAATAATACAATAATTTAAAACAAATTTTCTCTGAATGCTAACAAAAGTTACATCTCAAAAATTCAATTCTTAAAAAATCAATTAATTTAGTGTTGTTTATTATTGAGTGAAATTTATTTAAGACATTCTTGATCTGATCCCTTTTAAGAAAACATTACTTACGCTGGATAGTTGCCTGGATAATTAGGTGATGTAAAGTATTGTGGTGAATCGGTCGCATTCAATAAAAGTGGACCTGTGCCATCGCATTGACCATTTGCTAACAGTAAACATATATTTTGTTATATCAGACTTTTAAAAGTAATAATTTATTTTGATGTATCATAAAATACTGGTATTGAGTTTAAAAGGATCATTAAGTCCCTTTTTACGGTTCTGACCTAGATGTTAGAGTGGACTTAGTGTCCTGCCCCTTGCTTTTAATTAAAAATAAGAGAGCATTTATTTTCTATAAAAAATATTTGCAAACAGTTACTAGAATCTCGAAAAAAATGATCCCTTTGAAGCATAAAAACCGAAATTTACATGGAAATAGCAGACTCGGTTATAAAAGTTTAGTCTGTACTTGAAGGATAATGAAAAAGTGCAAGATCTATCACGGCCGGCACGCACTGGCTTGAACGGTACTCAATTATCAACACTTCAAAGTGCTGGACTCAATGATCTCGAAGAATCAGAAAGATAAAACAACACTGTAGTGAAGTACGGGGCAACTTTTTACCACTTGGTACCTGCTTTTGTTAGGTAAAATGAGATCCCCCGGAAGCATTAAAACAGCAAAACATGAAAAATGCAGACTCTGTTAGATTGAGTCTGTACATGAGGGTAATGAAAAAATGCAACATCCCTCACAACCCCTAGCACCGACTTTCAGAGCAGTACTAAATTCTCATTACTTAAAAAAGATGGACACAATGACTACGAAGGACCAGAAAGATATAGCAACTATAGAGAAGTTTAAATATCTGGAAAAAAGTTATAGAAGCATTATAAACAGCAAAATTACATGAAAATTGCAAACTCAGTTTGATGGAGTATGTGCATGATTCCTATTAAAAGAATCTTACCCCGTACTGTTTATATAATAAAACAGCTTTACAATATCACATTGGCTTGTCTGGAAAGCAACCTTGCAAATATTTCTGTCTTATATCAGCATTAAAAAAATAAATGAAAAGTGGGGGCATATACAGTATTTTTGTACTTACCACTTTTGAAGAAATAGAATACGATTAGAAATATTAACATATGAATCGGAGTCAAACTTCCATATGCCATGGTTAAACACAAATTTTCAATTAAAATGTATTTGATTCACATTAAACAATCCGTTTAAATGTATACGACTGATAATGTCCTTAAGGCACGTGTACCTCAATGCAAACTTGAAGACAACCAATGTTAATTATTAAAACGAATGTTAAAGCAATTATTTTACTGCATGGCTATATCTCGAAAACAAACTGCTTTCCAATTTGTATATTCTCTTCAATTGTTGTGAAATATTTCTTTTTGTTGTATTAATAATCGGTGAAAGAAGACGTGTTAAACGTAATGGTTTTGTTCACAGTAAGTAATGAGAGTGTAAAGGAATTAAATTGTAATATAATATGATAATTGTTTTGTAATTGTCATTTAAAACAAAAGAATGTCATAAGTATATACTCTGCTTATAATCACCCTAACTTGAAAGCTGTATGAATAGAAAAATGTCCGCCGGGTCATATATACTAAGTGTACAATTTGTAATTTTGATCCAGATAATGAGTCCGTATGAAATCGAAGGACTGGAGCGAACATTAATGGCTGAATATTTCTACTTTAAGAAACATTTGACAAAATTATTGCTTGTTTTTGATGCACATGCCTTACATATATATATATATATATATATATGACACAGAGTAAGCAGTTTACTCAATCGTCTTATCAGTAAAAGTTTAAGTCTGTTAATTATATATAATATATTGGATACATATACTTACTAGATGCATACTTATTATTGTAATCCCTATATAAAACACGGGGATTTATATACATTCTTGATCACTCGACAAGAAAGCAACTTGTATACCTTTCAATATTTGACCAAGAAGAATCATTCGCTGAGGAGGGTTGTAGCCTTTTAAATTTTCAGCACATATTGGATATGTTATAAGAAATGGTGTCGCATTCAAATAAAATGCCTGGTAAATTTTACGGATAGTGTCAGCTCTTGAACAAAACTTCATAAGAAATGTTGTCCGTTTATTTGTATATGCTTGTCTTGTCAACCTTTAATTGATCTGTATTTGCTTTTACTTCGTTTATTCTGTTAGTTGTTACTGAAATAATAATTTTCAATGATAAAACTGAACTACTTAACAGTGGTGCATAAATTAAGTGCACAATGGGTATTCATATTATTTTTCAAATACTTATTTATCATAATCGTGTGTTTTTGTGTTTATTCAATTTAATTTATTGAAAACATAAAACTACTTAATCGTACGGAAGCCACTTATCAGGAAACTTATCATATAACAAGAATAAGTGTTTATAATATCCTTGCATTCAATCATTATACAGAAAAAAACACTGAATATGTTATAAAACAACTAGCTAATAACAAATCCATAGAGCTGATATCAGATGAAGAGTAATATTTGCGATACTTTATATTTATTTTACATTGTGTTCTTTAAATGATTTATCTCAGTAATTTCTTGTCTCAGCTGGACTTAAAATATTGGTGTTTAGCAATCCTTTGATTACAAGTCCAACGCGTTTACCACTGGGCCTCACCACCAAATTAATCAAATACTAGTACTGTAGGCATGGTTGATCATAACTTAGCAGTACATCCATTTTACTGGCTTTCCCGGATAATTACCCACTAATTATCCATTTCTTCACCTATTTAGCCAACATAATTTCTGAATCCGACTCAGTGCCGAAGATTATATTATTATAGAGACTTTTCACCTCGCCTTTGATACCTGGATTTCAAATCCAACGATGCTCTCTCTCTCTCTCCTTTGAACCAAGTTGGCGGCTTTATACACTGAGAATTTGGATGATGACAAATTTAAAGGTCTAGTTTCGTTAATTCAAACTAACAAGGAATTCACTACTGCAAAAATATATCTTACTTAACAATATCTATTGTAATACTATTCATTATTTAAACACAATCATGCATGAAAGTAAAAAATACATGGGGAAAGTTATAGATATTAATAAAACGCAATCTATCGTTTTAAAGAAACATATATACTTATAGGTATGGTTAGTGATTTTATGTGTTTATGTAGTTCTCGAACTTGTCTGTATTAGTAAAAAAGCACAGAAAATGATGAGGTGTCGAATTCAGCTTAAAACACGTTTTCCATCTATTTAAAGGGGTACTTTTGGCATTGGACAAAACTGTAATAGCGTAGGAACTGTATATTGTTATAATATATTCCAGATCGTGATAATTTCAATTGATTTATTTTTTCCCTCGCTATTACCCGCACAGACGTGTTTTCGAATTTACACTCGCGTTAAAAACGATACACAGCGAATAAGAAATAGAACGACGAAACCACTGCTGAATACAAGTGAATACCAGTTACTGAATTTAGCTGTGTGTAAACGCTTCTCCTTTAACACTATTCTAATAAAAGACTTTACTAAATCACCACTGTGTCCCATGTGCTGACCTTAGACAAACGATTATACATTTGGTTACACGCAATATTTTTATGAAATTTTATTATATACAATTGTAAGAGGAAAACAAATTGAAAATCAAATTTTAAAGGAAAGGGAAGGGACAACTAAACACTTTGCTTATGGTACATGTTAAAGTGATTCGAGATACCCTGACAGGCCAGAAATTGATCCCTTTTTCATACGATTTGCGCAAAATAAAAAGACGCTGGAGAAATGCACTTGCTTGACCCCGAAAAAAACAACAACAAAAATTATTAGTTATTAAAGAAATAACTACACGATAATTTGCCGATAAATTTAAGGGCCTAGTAAATTTGTGGTAATTTAGTATTTGAACGGAAGTCAAAATACTACTATCACATTTTGCATAAACAGACATACAGATAAAATCGTTGTATGTCATCACTGTTAATATACAGTTTACAGATGACCAAACATCAAGCCATTTTATACCTTCAATTAAACGCCATGTGTGAAATCCAATCCTGCTGTTTGTAGACCATATTGTTCTATTTTAATTCTGTGTCTGTTACTTTCAAAAGTATCTAAGTACCTTTATTGTGCTTTATAACATTCAAATCACAAGTTTATACATTGAACTTCTCAATATCAAATAAATAAGCTTTTATTTTATAATATGACATTTTGTAAGAGTGTTGTATACATTTCTTTGGAAAATTGAAACAAGTTAGGCAGAAGTTATCATCGTCAAGAATATTGCAAGTGACATTAATGTAGTGACGAACAAGTAAATTATAAAGAAAATAACGTCTGTGCACGACACAATATCGGACCAATCATGGCCATCCTCGTCGGAACTGTCCGTCCCGATGCTACTTTGAAGACTTTCACTCGATTGTTTCCCACTCAATTGTGATTCATTGTCTTCTTCGTGAGGCTGCTTCTCTTGCTCCGTCTCATCGTCACCAAACAACGAAGCTGTGTTGTAATTTTGGCTCAATACAGACGCTGGCCTTTTGCGACAGCCTATAGACATAGGACGTTGTGTCAAAACTGAAAGTACTCGGCCATCCTTTCTTGAACCTGGTCGACTTGTTCCAACCGATATTGCCCTACCAGTACTAGCTAAAGCAAGTCCGTGATCCTCTGAGGAGAACAATCTATTTACAGATAATGGCCGATATTCTGTTGAGGATACCGGTCGATTCATTTTATACTCAGAAGCTGAACTAGCTTGTAAATCCATTATTTCATCAAATATGGAACCGGACTGATACCCTACGCTTTCATCTGTGTTTATCCTTAAATCCCTTGAAGACTCACCTCTAGATAGATGTCTATTTACAACTCTTTCCTCTGTTGGTTTATCTAACTTTTGCAAATTTCCTTGTGATGAATCGTCTGATTTATTATTATTAATGATGTTTAAAACATTGGTTACATTTACATTAGGTCTACTTACTTGTTCGGTGTCCTTGTAAGTGTTTTCATTCAATCTTGAATCTATAAGTGTGTTGTTTTCGCTTTTATTTGTAAGCTTATTATCAAGAGTTATTGGCTTCGCATTTTTTATCGTATCTTTATCTTGTGTTGTGTCTGGAACGGATGTTTTGCTATAGTTACCACTGGTAGAGCACGTTCCTTTCTCAAAGTCTTCTTTAAAATGCTCCAACTCATAGAGATCATATTCAGGATTAACGTTATCAACAGTTTGGTTCTCAGAATAAATAAAACCATTGTTTTCTTTTTCTTCCTTTTCGAATTTATTTTCTGTTTTTCTATCAAACGGATGTTTTGGTACATCTTCTGGTTCTTCAGTTTCATTACGTACAAGCGTTATATGTCCTTCCTTTGGATCTTTATCATGAAAAGTGTTTTGCTTATTATACGTTCCAGGTAGCTCTTGCAAATCTTTTGATAAAGCTGTGGAGGGTCTTATAATTGTATTTGCTTCAAAAAGAGTAGTTTCCCTTTCAAAAGAAAACCTACTATTGTCACGTTTTCGAGGGAGTACAAACCTGTCATTTTCCTCTGGTTCTAAATTTTCCTCATTGTCTATCTTAAAAGCAACAGTCCTTTTCTTTGGAGATGGTGAACTATGGTAGCCACTGCTGTCACTTGTACTTGCTTCGTTATCTCCTTTCGTAGTGTTTCTGTTTACGTCGATGTCTGCTTTCTTAATGCGTTTGCGCTTTGAATTTTCACCTGTTTTGGCAAAAGGTAAGTAGGTTCGAAACTTCAATGTATAGTAAATCATTTTTTCGAAGCATTGTGGAATAGGATACCTTCGGCTCTCCAATGTTAAAGCTCTTATTTGCAATACGCTTATCAAAAGGGCAATGGCGCTCATTATGGTCATTGTCAGCAGAAATGCAGCATACAGGGAGATGGTGTCAGAGTTGTCTGGCAACGACTGGTTGTTGATTATCAAGAGAACAACAAAGGATAGAAATATCGTAACACTGAACCCCGATTTTTCTCCAGATTCAGTAGGAATTATGAACGTAACGACATTCATATAAGCCAACATTATGATTGGGATTGTCATATAAAAGGTTACGTAACGTGAATTACGTTCAATAGTCAAGAAGAATTCTACAACTTTATGATTATTGTTTATTTCTTGTTTGGTTTCGGTTGCAATTAGTTTCCATTCAGAATTCTCTTGAAAATTTGGATGTATTTGAAGTCCGAGCGTTCCAAGCTCTGTAACAACTTCACTGTCATCGCTAGACCAAGTCCCAAACTGGAAAAAAAATTCATACACTATCCGATGCTTATAGTAGTTAAATACTAAAATGAATATACTCAGCTTTCTTATTCTTAACAGTTGATTCATTTTTTATTTAAATACCGCATTTATAAGGCACGATCGGGCACTTATGCAAAACCGATCGATCTTTTAAACCAAGGAGGGTGGTTTTCTCCATAAAGGAATCCTTTAACAGTGATGATCGGAATTTGTCAAACATTTTAATTTTGAACTTATAAGACTATGGTTTCATCTAAATGGTATGTACCTTAAGAATGCATATCTGTCTGTCGTATGGATAGTGTGTTAGATCAACTTTACACACAGACTCCATAACCTGATAGGGTTTCCATATACAAGATCCATTATAATTGATATCTACAAACATGAACTTGGCTCCCATTGCAGTTATCTTAGAAAACCCGTTCATCAATGCAATGTCCGGTTTCCAAAGGTCGTTCTGTGGGAGAAGCACCTGCACGATTCCTTGGCGTTTGGTAGGGTCCCAGGATAGGCTTGGATCTTCCCACGTCACTTCAAATTGTCCTGTAGAAGTTAGCTTTTGTTCGACCTAAGAAGTTATATTTCATGTAGTTGACAAAACATACGAAGTATAATGATTTACAAAACATGTGACTTTCAGAATAATTAATTTTACAATTCATATTTAATTCGAAATTGAACATAAATGCATTTCACTGTGAGAGAAAATAATGTTTTAATTCATTTATTATGCATAGTTATCAACGTTCTATTAACATCACATCATGTGTTGTGACTATTTTTTTTCAATTTATTTGACAACAACTCAAAATATCTTAACAGACCCGTACCATATACACGTGAAATAATTCATACGATATACCTACCTAGTAATCATTTAAAAAAATGACAATTGTGTTTTATATAATTTTAATTTTATAGTTTAAGAGCATACCTCGTCCATTCCGTTTATTCCAACGAAATAGAAATCTACATAAGCTCTTATAGCTTCACTAAGGTCTCTTGTCGGCAGATTTTCATTGGAATAGTTCGTTAACATTTCTTTTACCGCGTCAACTACAGCGCCCACTGGTGGACCAAACGTTGTTGTCGACGTTGTTGGTGCGATTGGCACTGCCTTTTCCTCTTCCATGGAAAATAGAAAGCTAAATAATGATTCATTTAAACCTTTTAAGAATATTGATAAAATTGAATGAATCGGATTTGGTTTTAATACGCGAATGAGATTTCTATAAACTGTCCAGTAAGATTATGTCTTACACTGCACGATATATAAACCCACCTGAACCGGCTTATTACGAATTACTGTGCTTTATAGGAAATAAATGTTTCTCAATATGAATCCCTTTATCATATATGGGGAATTTTCTCATCATTGCAATTTCATTTTCCTTTATTTTTCTCATTTTATTCTCAATCACTAATTACTAATACTCCACAGATTATTGCAGTAAGTGACACTTATAGTTTTCTCTTGCAATTGACGAGCGTTACAAATCTTAACCTTTCGCACTTCAATTTCATTTAATATTTAAAGCGCCACACCATTGCTGATTCTTATAAGATAAATCATTTATTTGTTTGAGCTTGTGTCTTTTAATGTAATCTTAACTGTTAGTTATTCGACAATATGTATATGTTCAGCCAAGTATTATTAACGTTGCGTTTTCAATTCGGAATATTTGCATTTGTATATGTTTGAAAATTAGTATACATGTACGTATATTCGAGTGTGTATTCTTTACTATTATGAACCGATTCATTACCGCATTTAAAAACAAACATTAATAAACTATATTTGTCAGTATATAGTATTAATTTAATTTCATACAGTAGTAACCATCATTAAGAATATGTAAGCTAACAGTTCATGTTTTAAAGATCAAACAAAAGGTTACCTACATTATATATTCAATATAAAATAACACTTTACATTTTAAGCAGAAAATGACAATTACTCAAGGTGTGGCAATATTTCATGTGACATACCTGCGTAGTAATTTATCAAAAATCCAGACTGTGTAATATAACCGTCACTATGGAAATGAAGAAGATATTCTTCACCGTCAAGATTATATTGTTTCTTCCAGTAACCACATACAGTATCATGGACGCCATCTTTTATACATGGCCCTTTAAAAAGCAATACTAATTTAAGTAACAGTAGTAAATACGCTATATATAAATCTGCAAGCAAAGATAACACTTAATACAATTTATTCTAATTGAATTATCTATTTCAGTATACATTGCAGATAATTTAAAATATATGCCAAAATGTATTGTTTGGTTTATAAATACAGAAATTTGAATATAACGAGAAATAATAGCATAAAACCTGAATAAAAACTAGCTGTAAGTGGTTTATTACCTATAGTAAACTTAAGTCTTTGGTGTTTTTGTAATTTGGACAACTTAACCGTTTAAACAGTTTTATGAAAACATTGGTATACATAACAACACTGCCTGGTACGTGAAACGGTGTGGGTTTTCTGTGCAACGGTGTATCCATCTAAGATGGAGGCACGATATATAAACAAGGTACGTCTACTAGTATGTATTTATACAAATGCATTATAAATTTTAAAAAGAATATAGTTGTATATAACGTAAAAAATAAATTCACTATAAGATCGATATGTTTACCATGTACGATTTATATAAATTATTTACTTAAATATTTATGTGGTTTACTTTGTGTCAATTATTATTTTTTATTTAGACGACGAATATTATTTGACCTCAAAGCAACTGTTATATTGCAGACATAGTCGGTAATCTGTGTGTTTGAAACGCACGTCATTTCAATTTCACAGCGGAAAAAAAATATTAGTATAATATACTTTTGTGTTACTGCCAACGCCACTTTAAAGTGGTTTAAAATAAAACTATGGGTATGTATCTACAACATTATTATAGACGTTCCAGAATGGGAAATTTCATAGACGTCCTTGATCTGTGAGAAGAGATGATAAAAAACATTACCATTATACAAGACGAGTCGATCATAGATACAGTTATATGATCTCTCAATACTGATGCTGATAATGTCAAGGACAATTCTGTAACCTGTGGTGTTAGCGTTGAAAAACAACCAAAATACTTCAATGTTCCTAAAAAACAAAAGTAATAATTAAGTGATCAAGTAAGACTACTTTTCTATCAAACAACTTTTTAAAAAAAAAAGATTATACTCTAAACACGAAGGTATTGATGATAATAAGGTGCATTTTTAAAGAATACTTGCGAAATAAAGTTTATATATTCAGTTAAGACGATTAATCCCCCTTTTTTAAAGATTTTTATAAAGATTTTTTAAACATGATATATATTTCAAAAGACTGAAACGCTATTTTAACGTTATTTAAAGATAGCTGATGCCTTTAATGTCTAGATCTTGCCACGACAACAGAATAACCATTGCAATATCACAAAGTCACACATAAATAACGTCCATGTTCTAATCAATGGTACAACATGTAAATATTCAATTGACGTATGCTTCATGAACGGTTTTCGTATAACACTAATACGATGATTTTTTTTTCTGAGATATTTCGTAGGAAAATGAACCCAATAGTCTATACGAATGAACTTACTCATGGAAAAAAAACTTTTACCTATCTATGTCTAGCATTAAATTTTACCACACGCTGAAGTAAAACACAATATATTTTTAATTTTTAACTTAAATTTGTGTTTGTTCATAATTATCTTATTATTTCTTTTCGTTCATCATTCAATATAACATTTTCTACTTTATAGTGCTTATACAAACAAATAGATTTTTTCTTCTTTTTTTTTTTGTTCCAAATAAATATATATATATGATGTACAAATTATGTGACGAAATCTTTTCATTCAACTTTTCCATGACGTTACCCATGATATAAAAATTATTTCATTCCTTATAATTATATATTTTTTATCTATAAATTCTTAAGACTCACAAAGGGTAATCTGATGTGCCAAATCCCGTCGAAGAGATGTTGTTTATATATGTATAATTGTTGAAAATGTAGTTTTCCAATCTGTTATACAAAACAGCGTGTGTGTCATAGTCAGCTTTACACCCAGGATACGCTGAAGCATATTAAAAAAAAGTTAAAGTAAGACACTTAGAATACAAACTTAGTTTAATTCTGAGAAGTTGAATAACTGCGTTCCCTGACTCCAAATACATTAATCCTTCTCCAGTGATTTCTTTACGTCATTAAATTAAAAGAAATTAGATTTCGATTAGAAATAGCAAACTTATCAGTCCGGGTGGGAGATGTAAAAACGCATGGTGCTATATTTAATGAAATGCAAGAACTCAAATAAGATATACTTGTTCAACAAACTTTGTGTTTTCTGCTGAACATTTGTTGTTAGCATAAAACACCTATCAGGTATCAAATGTATCATTTGTTATAGTCACGAATTACACTTACTGTTGTCAACAGCCTTTATTCTTATTCTGAACCCAGCTTTTTGTATGATATAGTCTGAGGAAAACACTATTAGCATTTGAGTGCTTGAACTTCTGTACACAGATGTTGGTCGAATCGATCCACAAAACTTGTTTAACATTGTGTTCGTTGTCAAGTTACCTAAAACAATAATTTCAATAGATTTTTAAACATAAAACCCTGTACAGATTTCCAAAAGTGTTGATTCATTTTGTAAAGAATTTCAATTTAAACGCTAAATAGTCACCGTTCACAATGGAAGGAGGGAGTGTGCAATACATCTTTAATTATTTATTATTTACTTAATTCTAATAATGCAAACGTATGTGTTTATATTATGTGTTTATGAATAAATATTAACGTTTAAGTTATAAAAAAACAGATACATTCGTCAATGGATAATAGTTAACAACTTATATTTTACCCTTTTTTTAAGAAATGCTCACAAATCTTCTAAATAGATCGGTTTTCTTATTCTTGATAGTTTTGAATTGTGATTGCTATCATATACATGTATAATAAATTCTGCTGCGAATGTGTTTTGCTTAGATTTTCGCATTGTTATATTTTTAAAATTAATGTGGATCAAGAAAGACAAAATTGTTTCCTGTAAATCGGTTAGTATAAATTCATATAATAAAGATTTCGGAATAGTTAAACTGTTATTTATGTTTACCGTCGTAAAATATGACGTAATCATAGCGACAGTAGCTATTGCTTTCAATAGCGTATGTTTCATTGTCAAAATATGCTTCGACTGCATAGTTGTCCGGTGCCGTGACGTACCATCTACAATATATGTTACTGAAGAAAAAAGGTATAGTTATAACTACACATGATGTATATCAGCTACTTTGAAACGCTGTTGCTTTCAATTTTTATATTTTTACAATTGCCTGGTTCCTCTGTATATCAATTAACGCAGGAATATGAATCACGCAGTCATTATGCAAACGTATTGATAACCCAATCTGTGCAAAGCTATGTCCGAAACGAGTAGCACAGTAGATTAACGGACCAAAATATTTTAAAGTAAATTAAACAAAAATTAGGTTTGGGCGGCTGCTTTGATACTATATTTTATCTAGCATTACATGTACACGCCGTATATTTATGCAGAAATGATGTCAGATTGCTTCAATGATCAGGCGTTTATTCATTTCTTCATTCATTGCGTACTTTTATATCAATGAAGTCGTTTACCAATCAATTGTACTATTTTCTTCAGATAGAAAGTAATCATACAGGTGCATCGTAAATGTTTATATGTACACGCTGTTACAGTCTCTACGGTCACAATTCAAATATATAGTGCAATTAGCATGCAAAAATTCTATATTTCCTAAGATAAAGCATGTAACATTCTATTGTGTAACTTTCTGTTCAGTTAATAGCAATTTTGGCAGCCAATCATCTGCCATGGGTTATGGTCAGAATTCAAGTCTTTCGCACATTTGAATAAACAAATATCAAATATGTCAAATAATTGTACCTTGGATACGCCCCGCTCTCGTAGTTAGGTGAATATATGTAGTCAAAATTTGGTGATATAGATGCAGTCATGTACGCCCCAGATGCCGTACAATTATCGAAAACTCCAAAAGTCTGCGTCTCTGTTGGGGCCTCTGTTGCCGATGTTTGTGCGGCTGCTGTTGATAATGTTGTTACTACAATGTTTTAGATATAAATACATGGAAATCTTTTTAACAAAGATATGGAAATATTTATCTTTAAAAATGTTAAATGTGAGATTAGATAATAGAAGTTTACAACAAATTTGTTATGAAAGAGTTTTAAATAGGCAGTTTACTAATTAAGTTAAGTGTCCAACCAGATTATGCCATCGTTAGTTCTAAAGGGGTTCGTTGATAGATAAACTGTAGTGTTTTAATAGCCAGTTTAAAAAGTTTATGCAAACATAATCAATTTGCTTGAGGTTATAACCACAGATATCTGTCGGACGACATTGATAGTTCATTTGAAGCTTGTGTCCTTTGTGAAAAATTAATCGTTGAATCTAAACACGCACTAATTAATTAAAAGATAACCAAAACAATCATTGTCAAAGAAAACCGTTTTGCAATTATTGTTATAAGCAGTAGAACTTGTAATGGTTTGTTTGCTTGGTTTGTTGGTTGTACGGTCATACCGACACTATTAATGTTATAATGTGGCTTACTAGCTTATCCGGTGGGTCATTCCAATTGTCTTAGTAAATGACATAGACGTTGGAATTGCGTAACAATGTCATATTGCAAAAGCGCTTTACACTAGAAAACAGCTAAAGTAAGCAGGTTTTGGGGTTTTACAATCGAAAAAAGTAAATGCATTTGTTTCATTAAATAAATAAAAACTTACCTGGTTTGATCTGATACAATATGATGTATGTAAAAAATAAGATAAAATACGCCGAACATTTCATGATTAATTAAATATCCATATAGATCTGTTTTTCAACTTTTTCCTATGTGCATTTTGATTATCACAATTAACTTGATAAAGATTTTTTTAAACGTATTGTATCAGCTGATAAGCACTTCGCGCGTTATTTACAATCAATTGCGTTTTATTTGGCATTGACATTGAGGGTTTTTTGTCTTCAGCATGTATACCTTGAGGCATTTAAACGAAAATGATATCAGCCACAGAAAAAATGTTACGTTCAAATAATAGGACTATATGAAACATAAATTATTCGTGCCGCTTTCTTTTTAATCACTTAAGATTTTCAGTGCAGAACATAAAACAAAACATTCAATGACCTTGTCGACCAAACGTTATATGATAGAACAGATAAGAGCGAAACATTAGACAACTCGTAACAATTAGAACCCGAGGTTTATTTTCTCTCTCTTCTGTTCCCTTTACTTAAGGTTCAAATATGATATACCGGAATGTATACTAACGGGGGACTATATAGCTTCTAATGAGTACTTAATATATCAGAGCTTTAACTACATCAAATGAATTATTACCAAATCATAGAGATTGTTACAAATATAATTTAAAATCTAAGATAATATGGTAAATGTCTTCTATTGTTTTAGATACGGCAACCGTTCGACCGGACAAGTTACTACATTGTTTTGTCATTTCATTTATAACCATTCTATCTTACGACTTTTGAAGGGTTTGATTATATGTACATGGTGATTTTATATGTAACTCATTTTTCAAAATATTGGCTTGAGAAGTTTAAATGGAACTTTTTTTCTAAAAAATATTTGGAAAGGTATATCAATTCTGAAAGGTAGATCTTTTCCATGCGCTTTCATTGTGACACTGAAAAATTGTGAATATATGTTGATCACTTATAGCTGTTTAAGATTTATTTCTACAAGAAGGAGACTAAAAGGTAGCATTCACTGAATGCATCCCTTCCCTGAAGCAACGGTATCGAAAAGGAACGCTTAACGCCCAGAAGAAAGAAAACATAGAGGAAAAGTTGTCAATTACACTACCAATAACTAAAAGGAACTTTAAATGAAAAAGATACTGTACTTGTTTATATGTTATAATAAAAGGAAACATAATTTATAACCTATGTTGTTGCTGCCGCTGTTTTGTAGTGAGTGTGTGTGCGTGCGTGCGTGCGTGTGTGCGTGTGTTGCTGCTGTTGTCGATGTTTTACATTCAGGAGATAATAATAATATGGTATCTTATTTAAACGCAACATTACTTTCAATAACCCTCTCAAAAACTTCAAAAATCAAACTAATACGCCAAAAGCGTCTGCTAAGTTTTAAAAGGTATCTACCCCGAAACTAGTCAAACGCCCTTTTCAATTTTATAAGACAAAACAATAAAAAGAAATGTTGTCAGTGTAAAGAATTTAAAGATCAAAGAATAAAAAAAACAAATATAGTTGTGTTTTATCACTAAAGACCATCTATTAAAATATAAAACAAAAAGCCAATGACCTTGACAACGAAAGGTCACATTATTTGAAATTTGATACGAGACATGATATCCTTTATTTGTTGAAAAATAATGTTTTAAAATATGACGAAAATGTACTCGTCTGGTGGTTAAAAACTTATTTACGAATAAAAATTGTAGATAATAAAATAAAAAGAAATTACATCACATTATTAAAGAAATGTGGTGATTCTTGCAACCCACTCATTTTTACAGTTGCAAAGAGTTAATTTGTGTGTGTTTTATTATATATTTTTTTATTAAGCACGAAATACTATGTCGTGCACACGAGTTACTAAGTCGTGCGCACGAGATAATAAAGTTTTGCGCACGATTTGAAAATGAGTTACTATATCGTTAGTACGAGTAACAATGTCGTAAGCACGAGTTATTATAGCGTGCGCACGAAATGATAATTCCTAAGAACGAGATACTGTTTAGGGGGTACGAGCTATTAAATCGTGCACACGAGTTACCATGTTGGGCGCAAGGGTTAGTTAGGTGGTGTGCGTGAGTGACCCTGTAGTGTGCATGAGTGACTATGTCGTGAGTATGAGTTACCATGTCGTGTGCACAAGATGCTGTGTCGTGAGCACAAGTTATTTAGTCGTGCACATTAGTGACTATGTCGTTCGCAGGAGTTACTTTGTCTTGAACACTAGTTACTTTGTCTTGAGTACAATTTACTTAGTATAGCGCACAAATTGATAAAGTTGCGAGCACGAGTATCTTTGTCTTTTGAAAAAGTTACTATGTCGTGCATACGAGATAATCAAGCCGTGTGCATAAGCTAATTTGCCATGCACATAAATTACTTTGTCATGAGCACGAGTAACTATGTCATGCGAAGGAAATAAATAAGTCGTGCGCATAACAAAATTAACCAATTAAATTGCACTTTAAATTAGTATAATTAAGCAAAGAAAATTCCTGGTTAAAATTTTACATACAACATTCATCTTTGAAACTACTGAAGGTATTCACTCAAAACTTGATACATGTCTATAGGATCAGTAGAAGGTCAATAGCCAAGGCCCATAAATCAGAAATTTATTTTGACCAAGTAATGGCTATCCCCTTTGATGGCATAGAAACTCGTTCTAACGACAAAAATACTTGTTATCACGACGTAGTATTTCGTGCGCATGACTAAACTACATTACATGCACGACATAGTATCTCGTGCGCACGACTTACTAACTTGTGTGCACGACTTATTTACTTACTTGTGGAAACGACAAAAAGCTCGTGCTCACAACTTAATTATCTCGTGCATTCACTTAGTAACTCGTGCTTACGAGATTAATGAAAGTATACACTTGACACCTGTGTGCCACCGATTAAATGTCTTATACCACATAGTGACTCGTGCTTACGATTTAATTATCTCGTGAGCACGACATAATTATCACTTGCGCACGACATAGTTACACTTATACACGACTTAATTATCTCGTGCGCACAACTTTATTAACTCGTTCTAACGACTTTATAACTTGTGCGCACAACATCGTAACTCGTGCGCACGAGATAAAATAAAAACACATACATGTCTCCTCTGTGCCAACGTTCATTTTTAGAAGGGTTGGGATTTTTATTTTATCAATGACAAAGAAAATATTGATATTTTAAAACTTTTATCACTTCGAAAAAATACTTTAGAGATAATCAATGAATATATGCAAAGAGTTCATATTTTGGCACAATGCGATAACGATTTTTTTTATTTTAAGACTACTGTATTTAACATTAAAGCCGCAAAAAAAACCCAAAGAATGTTTAATGTAGAATACAAAAACGTCTCCGATTGTATGACAAATGACACCTGACATGACAGGTCCAGTGACTTTATTGTTCGTTAATTTCATTTTATTATCTAAAGCAATTAAAACAGAAATCTATACGAACTTTGAAAGTGTGTACGTATCTGTGCATAGTCAATTTTCAAATGGCTTACAACATTTATTAAATTTCATGACTAAAAAGTAGAACAACTTTTTTGTTTTTAAACAAATGACACGAGAACTTAAAAATTGAACACTTTCTATTCATAAAAAATGTGTATATGTTAAATGCTAACCAAGTTTGAAAAGTAAATCAATTCCTTTCGCCGCTATTGTTATGCCTTAGCATGCCTGAATTTCTAAACGTTTGTATATTTTGCAGGAAGTCAGCCAAAATACACATAGTAACTTATTTGTTAAGACAATCTAAAAAAGCTGTGATAATGTTAGATCTAACATATTTGAAGCGGATTTTTAATGTTTTTATATTAAGTTTATTGATTATACATGACGGTATGTTTTTTGTTGTTGTTTTATTTTGTTTTTTTTGTTTTTTCATTTTTGTTATTGTTTTGTTTAAAGTCTAAAATCTAAGTGTTCTTTTGAACGAAGTAAGTTCCAAAATAATTTATCATAAAACATGACTTGTACAGGGTACAAGAAAGAAAATAATTAATTTATTTAATATATATTTTAGTATAATAATTTATAAAATATTAAATATATTGAAGGATAATGGCATTCTATATGTTAATTTGCAAACATTTTGCAATCCCTGTGGGTTCGAATACCGTAAGGGATCTTGATTTCTTACATGCGAGGAAGATTCCCTACTAGCCTACAGAAAGTCAGTCGTTCTATTTGTTCAAAATATGCCCGATTTGGATATCGTTTATTTATTTATTTATTTATTTATTTATTCATTCATTCATTTAGTTATTTATTTGCTTGCTTGCTTGCTTGCTTACTTACTTACTTACTTACTTACTTACTTACTTACTTACTTACTTACTTACTTAATTACTTAATTACTTACTAACTTACTAACTAACTAACTTACTTACTTACTTACTTGCTTGCTTGCTTGCTTGCTTGCTTACTTACTTAAACACTTACTTACTTAAAACACTTACTTACTTACTTACTTAAAACACTTGCTTGCTTACTTACTTACTTACTAACTTACTTACTTACTTACAACACTTACTTACTTAAAACACTTGCTTACTTACTTACTTACTTACTTACTTACTTAAAACACTTGCTTGCTTACTTACTTACTTACTTACTTACTTACTTACTAACTTACTTACTTACTTACTTACTTACTTACTTACTTACTTACTTACTTACTTACTTACTTACTTACCTACTTACCTACTTACCTACTTTCTTACTTTCTTACTTACTTACTTACTTACTTTCTTACTTACGTACTTACGTACTTACTTACTTACTTACTTACTTACTAACTTACTTACTTACTTACTTACTTACTTTCTTACTTTCTTACTTACTTACTTACTTACTTACTTACTTTCTTACTTACGTACTTACGTACTTACTTACTTACTTACTTACTTACTTACTTACTTACTTACTTACTTACTTACTTACTAACTTACTTACTTACTTACTTACTTACTTACTTACTTACTTACTTACGTACTTACTTTACTTACTTATTTTTTATTTATTTATTTATTTATTGTTTATTTTCCACAGTCAGCAGTCAATGTGATGGTACTGGACCTCTAGTACTACAATCATCAACTTCTCCGCAGTACTTTACGTCTCCTAACTATCCTTCAAATTATCTCCCGTAAGTTGTTAAAGACCCATCTCCCAACATCACTTAATTTATCCATGTCAATTTCACATACCAATGTAACCTGTGGAAAGTTATATAAGTGATGTGTATTTTTATTTCAGAAGCAAGCAGAATACATACTGTTACCAAATAAATTTATCACTGAGTCAAATCGTTGAGAAATTTTTATCTTATTTTCTAAAATTGTATGCAAAACTAACCATTATGTCCGACATCGTTATGTAATATGTCTTTATAGTTTGAACAATCTTTGGTTGGAAATTATCTGTTGCTTCTATTGATATCTAAAAATAAATTATTTATTCATTAAATACTTGTATATCTGGTTAATGTAGCTTACATGTGTCAGAATCAACATTGGAGTTTCAATGAGAGTAAATTTATCTTCTTTTTCACAATATTATATGCTCATAAAAAATTTTAAGACTGCATATAACATAACTTTTACTTTCCGATAACATACCAACAACTTATCTGCGTGTACTTCTTGCAAACAGTCGCATGTGTAGCTATTTTTATGATCACAATAATTATTAGAAAATGAATTATTTCCAGACAAAATATTTCAGAAATATTTTATTATTCAGTAACACAAATTGCTCATGGCGTATAGAGGCACCGACTGTTGACGATAAGATTATTATCAATGTTGAGGATTTCAAAATGGCAGGAACAACCGTGGATTATCTCAATGTATATGATTCATGTAAGACTGAATTCATAAAATAATTAACTTATAAATTAATTTATAATACTAAACTTCATTTGATTTTAAACTGATTAAATTATACATAATAGGATCAAACATTTGTTTATTTTTAGAATTGATAATCAAACTTATCATTTCATGATTTGTAAAAAGCTTTAAAAATGACCTTTTTTAAAAATTGTCCAAAGAACAGATTACTTTATATTTTCATAGATGTGGTACAATTTACTCATATTTCTTTATATTATTCTTTATTAAGCTGACGATTCTACTACCCCTGTGAAAACGATGTATGAAGCAAACGCTAATTCCTTCAATGCTTATGTAAGTACTACCAGTGCCTTGTATATAACATTCCTCTCAAATGATGATGCTGAAGTGGATCGAGGCTTCCAGATCCTCTTTTTCACGAGTAATCCAGGTATGTATCATACTTGAAAAATGAAAAAGAAATGACATAAGATATATTTTCTTCCATCCATCTGTCGTTACTGATTCTGTTTTTTTTTATTTATTGTCATTGTTTCTGATGCTTCTGAACCTGCTGCTGATTATGAAGATTGCGATAATGGTAAATGTAGCAGCTGATGCTGATGATCATAATGATAATGATAGTGAATTTGGTGGTGGATGTGGTGAGGTTGTTGATGATGATTATGGTAATTTTGTTGATGATAATAATGATGATGATGATGATGTGCACCTCTAGTCGTCATTATTATAAAAGTTATTTTCTCTTTTAGACAACCAAGCAGCATGTGGAACCACCTTAACTGTAACCTCGCAAGAACAAGTATTTATGTCACCAAATTTGCCACAGCCTTATAACGCGTGAGTCACGCTTACTGTTTACTTTGAATCTCATGAAAGTAATTTTAGTCGATTCTATGGATTTTCTTACATCAAAATCTGAAACAAAAAAATCTTGACATATGAAATGTTTCCATCAGTAACAGTCATATTCGATCATATTCAACAACTAATTTTGCTAAAATCTGCTACACATTCTTGAAACCCATTTTCTCAGTCTGTTTTAATTATTTAGAATTATTATCAACTATTCACTGCAGTGAGCTTGAAATGTAATTGATTAAAACAACAACTGAATTACTTAAACATAAGAATGGCAGGACACTCGTCAAAATGAAAGAACTTCTTATCCTATCAATATGACCATAAACACAATAAAATGTAATTAAATGACCGGCAGAAGACAATATTGAGTAGTTTGAAAAATTAGACATTGAAAACTTTAGTGTCTTTACTCATTGAATCATTTTAGGGGGTAGATAGGTTCGAACAATGTTATTGAAAAAGCCAACTCAATTCTATTATACATTCCGACTGAACATTTGTCAGTTACTTTTATCCTTAACTGGGATAAGTAGTTATAAATGTATTCGACATGTAAATTTATCGATTAAGTGGAGTATTATAACATCTTTAAGAAAAACTGTTTTTATAATAAATATAGATAATTATAATAAAAATCATAACAAAATCGTAACAAATAATAATTTCATATCGAATTTTATATATTAAATAAATTAACTTTCTTCTACAGGAGTATTTGTTCCTGGACATTTTCATCTTCAGCAGCAATTTTGTTTCAATTGAAGTTCCTGGATTTGGGAGGCTGTCTTCAGAGCCACATAACGTTCTACGACGGTTTGAATTTTTATTTTAACTTTCAGAGAAAATTGATTTAAAATTTAATAATATGCATCATATTTGCAGCATACTACACTATTTCCATAAAATGTTTCAAATTTGTGGTTCATAATTGTCTTAATTTAATTTGTCCACGGTAATTGATTTTCAACCACATTTGCTGATGTTATTTAATTCTAAAGTAAATCACTTTTTATACTTGAACATTAAATTCCCTAAATACTGATGGGAAGGTATCACTACCGTCCATGGCACGACAGGTTTCTTTATCTTTTTGTTGTCGCATTGTCTTGTTCCCTGTACTTTGAATCAGAGAAGTGATATTTTTTATTGTTGAGCACGACAGTTTTGTTGTGTTTGTGGTATGTAAATTTTTCACCAATGTTAGATTTTTACCTGAATAATATAACTGTTTATTTACTATTGATATATGTTTTCTTGCCTTCTAAACTTTTCATTTGACGCATATCTGTGCAGGCTATATGACTTCAGATCACCTCTTCAAAGTTGCCAATTATTTTACTTGAGGACTTCTTTCCGCTTTTTATTTATTGACACAAATGTCTTAAATTAACGATTCATATGAACAGCTGGTGTAATCTCTAACTTTTGCCATTTTTATCTTCATGTTGCATTCCGTTGATGACGATGCTGGGTGGGGTTTACTTAAAATAAATTGAGAAAAATTAGGCCAAATAAAACTGAGTAGGCAATATAGCGTGTTGTGGTCTTTAACGTTCATGTTTTATATATTTTACAATTATTGAATGTCTTTTATTACTTGCAATGGATTTCAAGTTATTTAACGGAAGCTAGATATTTTAGAAACTTTATTATTGAAATGATGTAAAAAATTATTTATTAAACAAACATAAAACATATAACATATAAAATTGTGTCCATTTAGGTCTATCCGATTCCGATCCAAAGCTAAAGGAACTATGTCACACTGCGCTTACATACACGTTTGACAACATTACGACGACAGGTACCGACGGCTATATTGCCTATAGAGTGACTGATCAACCAAATGATTATTATGGCTTTATGTTGGTGTACGGAGAAAGTCAAGGTAATGTTGTTGTTTTATTATTTCTTTCTTGTTTATGACTCTTAAGTAAATGAAAAAAACTTATAAGTACCATTTTATCAATGTATTGAACCGAAGTAGCAGCATATTAGCTTATTTTCACATTATAGAACATCAATTTGTATTTGGAACCAATTTAGCCATTTATTTGCCCTTATTAGAAAGCGAATTATCGATACATATATAATATATTCATTTATACATACCCGTGCCGATTTTGCAACTCCGTAAATATGGTATTGCACGGCCGTGCATATATTTTGACGTGGTATCATTAACGTTATACAAACATAGTGTAAAGTCGCGTTAAATGTTAGCGTTATACTATAGGCGCGTCTTTGAAAAATGACTCTTATTTCACTTTAAACTGTCTTTAATTAAGGTATGTGATAAATAGAATATTAAATTCGTGTAAGTTCATTACTGATTTTATTGAACTCGTTGAATAAAATAATACTATGCTCGCCAGAGGCTCGCATAATATAATTTTATTCAACTCGTGCAATAAATTTAGTATTGAAAATTACTATCAAGCAATGTGAAAATCGACTATTTTACTGTTTCTTTGGTTCAATACATTGATGTAAAGCTTTCATAAATTGCGAAAATAAATTAATATACTGATAGATGTGTCCCATATAAGGACATCTGGTTTCGTACATGGATACTTTGATATCATATATTGAAGAAATGGTATAAAATAATGTGATAATCATATTATATACTGCTACTTCGGTTCAATACATTAAAACATAAACATAAAATGAATAGATATATATATAATTCAGATTCACATAAGCATATCTGTCTCCATAAATGGCTACTTTGGTACCATATATTGTAAAAGAATTTGTATAATATATTGAGAAAATTAACTTAGATATTGCTAACTTAGTTTTATATAATTATTGTGACTGTAAAATATAATAATGGTTTTCGGTTATATTAGAAGGTGTTTTTGATTCACATGTAGTTGAAGTGAACTTATATTTAATCCGTATAGTACAATAAATTAAAAAATAACAATATAAGACAGCCATGGCCAGACCTTTTTGATTGATGCTGGTGGTATATGTATTTTGACACCATAATATGTTAAACTCAACGGCTAGTTCAAAACTAAAAGCACGACATGTGTACTTCTCTATTTATTATGTTAATTACTTTTGAAATAAGCGCTTTGGTCATGTTAATATGTGTAATTTGAACATGATAAAGGAACTGTTACATTGTAAATGAGATCAAGGGAATAAGTGTGTGAAGGAGTATCGTGAAAATGCGAATATGAATAAATGTGTGCTCCGATGTTTTGGAACTCTGCACACTAGCGGATGAGTTAGTCAGCACTGTTATGAATTGTGCTGAGTTAATAAGTTCTTCACATTTAGTCAAATCAAATTGATATTTCGTAAGTACGTACTTTGTTAATTAGTATATTTTAAATCAGTACTTGAATTTTTTTAATGAGTACTGTAAATATGTGTACTGTAACGGACGGTACTAGGTGCTTGATTTCTGTGTTAATTAGTCCAGTATCACTTTATATTTTGTATATGGTTATGAGTTCTGCATTATGTACTGAAAAAAATACAAAAAATATATGATGAAATCGTTATTCCCTTTTTGAATTAACACAAAGTCTTAACTGTAGTTCATCTCAACTTATTGTCTAACATTTCAAGTAACATCAACAACGACTTCTATCCCGACAACAACAACATCAGTTCCTACAACAACAACGGCTTCTCCAACAACAACCTTGACCCCTAATATATTTGATAATTGCACGGCTTCCGGAGCGTTCTTGGCTGCATCAATATCACCAAACTTTGACTACATATATTCGCCTGATTATGAAAGTGGAGCATATCCAAGGTTAATTTTATTTACAATTATGGCCATTCACTTATATTATTGTGATTTTCAACAAACATGTATTTAGGAATGTTGATATGGTATAATTAGAATAAGAATTATTTTATATGGATTATAAGGATGTTGAATAAAGGAGGTCCAGAGGCCTAAAAATATGTTATTATAAAGTAAAAAACATAGAAACCTCTAAATGGAATATATGCAAAGGAAATTAAGAAATATACTAGTTATTATATATTGTTCTTGTTCGGAATTTGGATTTTTATATTCATTGTTAGTCCGATGTTTTTTTCAAAGCGTTTAAACGCCTTTCTCTTGTTAATACAATGACAACGATTTTTTTGGAAAAAAACGAATTATGCGATTGATGTTATATCTTGCAAACATCTCAATTTAATGGTACTGTAACATTTATCTCGAAAAGATATTTTTGTCACGTCATGTTAAAAAAGAACTTCAGTGGAGACTGTTAAACATTGATCATATATATATGAAAATTCAACATTAATTCTAATTAAAGTTTTAGTATTGTGGCGTCTACATATGAAGCGAAATCAATATAACTATGTTAAACTTTGCTTTTAATACATATCGTTGTCACGAATATTACTTGAATTCGTCGTTTATATTGAAAATAGCTATAGAGCTTAGTTTTTGTTAACAATGAAAAAGCGAACCATGATACAATTTTATGTAGAAAAAGAAAGTTCACAGAAACTTGGTGCATTAATTTTTAAACTGCCTGTTATTTCGTTCCACTCTTTTAAAAATTATTCAATCACATCCAGCTCTAATGGATCAAAATATGTTAAATCAGGGATTGAACATTGTGTTTCTGCAACGATCTTTAAGAGAAATGAACTTCCTGCATCAGAAATTGAGTTGCGTCTTTTGATGCAAATGTCAAATGTAAATTATAGTTGTTTGAAGAGTTTGTTTCTCCATCAAAAGATTTGTGGATACATTGTAACACTTAACCATAAAATGATGGACAAAATAATTATGACCTTCTATTATCAGTGAAACTATAAGATGCAGATTAAAGAATGATCGTGTAACTTGACCATAACAGAGCTTTACTTGAATCATGGGGTTTAACTTAATGACCCTTGTCTATTTCAGTAACAAATATTGTAGATGGTACATCACCGCACCTGACAACTTTGCAGTTGAAGCCTATTTTGATGATGACACATACGGTATTGAAAGAAATACATACTGTCGCTATGATTATGTCATCTTTTACGACGGTATGAGGATTTTGTTTTGTATTTTAACAATTAAAGAAACATTCGTAATACTTTAACGTTTTCTTAAATTTGAAATTCTCATGTAGAATATCGTGAATGTTTTTTTGGTGTGCCGTATATTTCTTTAATATTTCAATGATTCGTAGGGATTTGTAGGAATATGACTAAAGTGTTAGAGTCACCGTAAGCTATATATCTCCTTCAAAATTTATTATTTGAATTTTTGATATGAAATTTTATAATAAATAATTACCAAATGATTGTATTAAAATGGCAGTGAATTGCCTAAAAACGAATGGCGCACGCACAAAATTACTGATTAATGGATAATGTCCTACTTAAATAGCAGAATTTGATTTGGTTCCGGAACATTTTATTCTGTTTCGTTCAATGTCCATGTGTGTTAGGTAACAGAAACGTATATGATGGAAATCTTTAGAAAATCGACCATATGATTCTAGTGAAAAAACATATGTTACAGATGTAAGGGTTGAGAAATTTTAGGAAATTATTTCAAAAGATGTATATTTTAATACCCCAAAAAATATTAATATCAATAAATATCGTACACATTAGCTTTGAAAACCCAATATATTCTAAAATCCAGATTAAGCCTATTACGTTGTAGGTAATTCGACAAAGGACACAATGTTAAACAAGTTTTGTGGATTGATTCGACCACCCACGGTTTATAGAAGTTCAAGCACTCAAATGTTGATCGTCTTCAACTCAGACTATATCATACAAAAAGCTGGGTTTAAAATTAGAATAAGGGCGGTTGACAACAGTATGTATACGTTAAGAATTTCTTTGTATATATAATTACACTTAAAGGCAAACAAGAACATGAAAGTGATCGTAAAGATTAAAAGACTTTTAAAATTTTAAAAGAGACTGACAAAGATTCCTGGACAGTAAACAATCATATGTACTAGATTTGAATTTATATATTTTATTATATTATACCTCATTTGCATACGCCCTTCTATATTTGATATGGCGTCATCTGGTCCATAAACCGCATACAGACCGGGGGCGGTCCATAATTCTTATATGGACTGGATGACGTCATATTAAATATAGAAGGGCGTATGCAAATGAGGTATTATATTTTATTTTGTTGTTAAATAATTCTTTTTGCTAAATTTATTGTTTTGTTTCGCATAAATTTATAAAATGTTGATCAAAAGTCATGATTTGTCTTTAAATTGATTATAAATTTTTATTATACGGTTTGTGGAAATTTTTTGACTGTTTAATTTGATTAACAAAAATTTAATGACAAAAGAAGAGCATGATATTTCTGCTGCATCGCTTGAAAATAATAATAAAAAATCGTACAAGTTTTTGAGATATTCACTCACTGAACATATAAATTATTATTTGAATGCAAATTATAATAAAAATGGCAGCAACAAAAGGGATGAAAGGATTTAGATTCGGTAAAATATAACAAATAAAACATGGCCTTTCGGGCAAATGCAATGGTCAGACCTAGGAAGGTATATGTCCCTCAGCTGCGCTTCGGGCCATATACCTTCCACAGTCTGACCAATCAGTCCGTAAACTTGCATATTGCCCTCTAGGCCACGTTTTATTTGTTAAATAAATCTTTTGTATTAAAATGTCAAACATTATAAAAATAATATACCTTTGACTTTCGTTCTTCGCTTCTTAGGCGCTAATAGAGCACATGTTTATGTTTAAATCTAGGAAATAATTATAAATATTTCTGGAAAGATAGCAAAAAAACGTAAATATGACAATAACATACTGAGTGTTTAGATTTCATGTCATTTGTTTTTTTGGAATACTGATCACATGGTCGAGATAGTGTTATATCATATACACAGTGCCTTTCCATTTCTACATTTATTTTCAGCTTATCCAGGTTGTAAAGCGGATTATACCGCAGAAGCCGTGCTTTATAATAGATTGGAAAACTACATTTTCAACAACTATACTTATATCAACAATATATCGTCACCAGGATTTGGAACATCAGACTACCCTCTGTATAATAATTATCATTTTTCAAAGTATTGTCCGTTTGCAACGTACTTTTTCATAAAATATTTTACATACATTATAAATATATATTTAAAACATTCAGTCTTGATAAGTTTATTTTTCTTTTTTATATATACATTTTAATGATCCCTTGATGCAAATTTAGTTTCGTTTACTGGTAAGTTTAATTACAGAAAACTTAGTCATTAAAACCACATTCAAAGGCAATATGCTTATGAGAGTAATGTTTGTTTGATTTTTCCCTTTTCCTTGAAGAAATTTAGTATATATATCGTTCTAATGGCATATGCTTTTGGTTGTTTACAGAAACGTAGAGGTATTTTGGTTGTTTTTCAACGCTAACACCACAGGTTACAGGATCGTCCTTGACATTATCAGCATAAGTATTGAGAGATCATATAACTGTATCTATGATCGACTCGTCTTGTATGATGGTAATATTTTCATATTTGTGCTTAACCTTTCATGGTTTATCAAACGAGCATATATTTTTAAAAACAATTTGATTAGTTTTCTCTTGACTTTTTAATGTGTTATACAAAAACGAATGTTTTTGAAATATTAATATTTAGTTTAAAGTATTTTAATACATTTATGTGCTTCGTCATTTATGTCTTTAAACGTTTTAAACTTTGTTCTTCAAAATAAATAGTTTAAACTTCTTATTTCTAATTAAAAAGGGCCATGTATAAAAGATGGTATCAAAGATACTGTATGTGGCTACTGGAAGAAACAATGGAACCTTGACGGTGAAGAATATCTTCTTCATTTCCATAGTGATAGTTATATTACACAATCAGGATTTTTGATAAATTATTATGCCGGTAAGGGAATTTGAATAAAATGAGTAGTTCAAAACTGTTTATACATATTCTATTAAAAAAATCTGATATAATTCATCTTTTTCCAAAAGTAGAGATACATCATAATGTATGTACTACAAAACATTGTAAAATATAAATGCTTGCGAATGCATACTAAAGCATACCATAGTAGTTTTATATACTGATTACTATCAATTTGAAATTCATTTTTCTTATATATGACATCTTATGAGTCCCCTACTGGTTTACTGGAGGGGAATTTAGGTTTATCCTCCGTCCGTCTGTCCGTCCGTCAGTCCGTCCGTCCGTACGAACCCAGAGGTACTTGTGTAACTTGGAGAACAATGGGTAACAGTAAATCCCTTTGAAAATTCTCTTCTGTTTTTTCTCTATTTGATCCTATTCATTCCGTTTTTACTTGTGTGTCTTTTTTAAGCCTTGTGTGACTAGACTTAAAATGGTCAAAAAGATCAAAGGATAAGTCACATTAGTACCATTCTGTGAGTATGTATGTCTGTCTGTCCGTTCGTCATTCCGTCCGTTCATAAAACTTGATCCCGCGATAACGCAAAAAGTACTGAAAATATTTTTATGAAACTTGATAAATGGATCGATGGCAGTATGAAAATTATGCACGTATTTTTCTTCTCTTCCTATGTTGAAAAGTTTGGTTGCTAGGGCAACAAATAGACTGAAAATATGGCAAATTTTACACGTAACCTGGATCCAGTGATAACGCAAAAAGTACTGAAAATATTTTTTTGAAACTTGAAATATGGGTAGATGGCAGTCTGGAAATTATGCACATTCTTTTCTTTTCTTCCTATGTTGGAAATTCTGGTTGCTATGGCAACAAATAGACTGAATTTCTAGATTTCTGATTCTAGTTTTTTACGTTTTTTCACTATAAGTTCTTTATTTCTTAAGGAATTTTATTCAAACTTTAAATTTAATATAAGTTTCTAGTCATCAACTTCATCATATGTGACAAGGTTTACAACTCTAGCACAAAATTTATTAGAATTTTCTCCCTTGAACTTAGAATTTTCATGAAAAACATATAATTTTAACATTCTTCTACTTCAAATTCAAAATAAACATTCATTATCAACACCTCCATTACTAATTGTTCTTTGTTACACTCACATGGTGTATGACGTCTTGCATTTTTATTTCAAGAGTCATCTCCTTTTTAAGAATTTTGCTTTTAAAAATGTTATATTTTGATAACAGGGATGTTTAAAAAATAGCTTTTGAGTGTCCTTCAGTCCGTCTGTCTGTCTGTACATAAAAAATGTTTCCTGTGATCACTTTTAAAGAACTTTTTCAACATATTTACTTAAAAAAGAGACATAAGTGAATAGTCAATGGCCCTTCAAAATGTTGCTGGGTTCTAACCGGTAGGGGACTTATGGATTGCTTGCAATACTATGATAATTGCTTGTTTATCAAACGATACACATTGTGAAAGCATTGACTATATCTAAGATCGTTTATTTACCATAATGTGAGACAAAATTATGCGGAAGTGTACGTTTTTTGAGAGCGGAACAATGAAATTAAACTTACTGTATTTGTTCTCAGAATGCATCTTTAAAACCCCAATTAATATGTCTTTAGATCTCATAATGTGTTATCTATTTTCCTGTTAGAGGAAAAGACAGTGCCAGTCGCAGACACGACATCAACAACCACGATTGGTCCCCCAGTTGGCGCTGTTGTCGACGCGGTTAAAGAAATGCTAACAAATTACTCAAACGAAAATCTACCAGTAAGAGATTTTAGTGAACCAGTACGAGCAGTTGTTGACTTCTATTTCGTTGGAATAAACGGACTTGACGAGGTAACATTTCACGAGAATAATTGTTTTTGTTTGTTTGTTTGTTTCATTGTACGCCTTTTCCAAACAGTATTTCAGTAATATAGGCGGGTAGTTTCCTAACCATCATTCCTGGAGAGTTACACTAGCACTACACTAATAGAGTTATAAAAACTAAACAAATTAAAGCTATAAAAGAACAAAAGATAAATATAATATATAAAACTTTTCAAGATTTGAGATTTTCATAACAGAAACTTTTAAAGACACATAACGTCTTTGAATATATTTGATCATAGATGGTCGTTATTCATTTCATATTGTCATGCTAAGGAAATCAATAGACAAATCCGTGATTCTAAAACGAAATTGAAATAAACGTTCCGTTCAGATAAAATGTGTTACCTTCATTGATTTCAAACAATAAACAATGAACAAGACATATACATATTAAATGAGTTAAATTCAAATTTGTAATTTAAATTCATGGCATCATTTGAATCCGTTATAACTTTTAATGTAGGTATCACAGAAGCTGACATCTATCGGACAATTTGTAGTGACATGGGAAGACCCAAGTCTAACATGGGACCCTACCAAGCGACAAGGTGTCGTTCAGGTTCTTCTTCCTCAAAACGATATTTGGAAGCCGGACATTGCATTGATAAATGGGTTCACCAAGATCACAGCCATGGGAGCAAAGTTCATGTTTATAGACATCAATTATAATGGATCATGTATATGGAAACCTTACCAGGTTATGGATTCTGTCTGTCATGTTGATATGACCCATTACCCTTATGACAGACAAATATGTATTTTAAAAGTATGTATTAAAAAGTTACCTAATGCATAAGTATTTTATTGTCAAAAGTAATGCCATGATAACATTTATTGTGCGAATCATTTATTTCTAAGAACAAGTTATACAACCATACGGTTTAAAAAGCACAAGTTATTTCTATTTCAGTTTGGCACATGGTCAAGTGATGACAGTCAAGTAATTACAGTACTAGGAAAGCTTGGGCTGCAGATGCATCCAAACTTCCAAGAAAACGCTGAATGGCGTTTAATTTCAACTGAAACAAAGCAAATGGTTAACAGCCTTCATAAAATTGTGGAGTTTCACATTACTTTAGAACGGAATTCATTATACGTGACTTACTACATGACAATTCCAATCATTATGTTGGCTTATATGAACGTTTTTGTATTTGCAGTCCCCTGTGAATCTGGTGAGAAAACAGGATATAGCATAACAATATTTCTTTCCCTGGTTGTCCTTTTGATTATCAACAATCAGTCTTTGCCAAATAATTCGGACACAACTTCCCTGTTCGCTGTTTATGTGTTGGCAATGACAATATTGAGTGCAATAGCTCTAATAATAAGCACGCTAGAAATTCGAGCTATAGCATTTGATGAAAGGATGTTTCCAATACCAAAACGCTTGAAGAAATTTATAGCATTTGTAAATAAGATAGAATCACTGGTTCTGTGTGACGATGCAGATAATACAGAATTTAAAACCGAGGTAGTGGAACTACGTCCTTACAGAAAAGAGAGTCCAAAAGAAAAAAGTGGATATAGAAGTCCTCTCCTTACCTCAAAACATGCAGAAACATATGAAAATGATGATATTGATGTATCTGAAAGTTACGATTTAAAAAACTCAGAACGGTTCGCCATGCCTCGGAATCGAAAAAATAATATAGTTACTCTTGAACGCCAGACTACATTATTCGAAGAAAATTCATTGATGAGACGTTCTGATACACCTTCATTCGAAATTCATTCACCAGTTAGTGATGTTCAAACTACCACTGAAGAACCTTTTACATCAAAAAATGACAACGTTTATTCCCGCAGCTCTCTGACTTCAGAAACACCAGAAGAGCTTTCCGATCACCCTACAAATGAAGAAAATGGTAAGGAAACCGATTCGCATTTTGAACAAGAATCAGACACATCGATGATACACCATTCTTCCGAACCACAGTCCAAATATGAAACAAATGATGAAGAAAGAAATATAGCATTCGACCCGTATTCAGAAACATCAAAGAAACCTCATACATGCAAACAGGATTCCAAACTGAAAAATGACAAGAAAGATGTCGATTCGCTTTTTGATTCGGAATCCCATTCACCGATGGGACAAAACCTGTCTGATGAATCTTTTACTTTAGAAAATGAAACTAATTTAGAAAACAAGGAGGACATCGATTCTCTTTTTGACCAAGAATTTGACACGTCTGTTACTAATGGCTGTTATTTGACATCAGGTTCAGAAAGTAAACTTCCGAAAAACAATGCAGATAATCAATACGAACTACAGGCTACAGACTCCGATAAAAATGGTTATTCTTTGCCACCGGAAAACGCTCAGACATTTACTGTTGAAGTCTCTCACTCTCAAAACGTAAAAGAATTTAAAAGAAATGAACTTGCGAATAAACACGACGCAGAAGCTGTTGGCAAATATGTTCAAACCTCTCAAGATAAATTACACGGACATCGCGATAAAAGAATTGGCAGTGGAGACGTCGTGCAAGAAAAACAACAGTCGGGCTCATTAATTGATGAAATAACTGAGCTGCAACCCCTGACGGCAGATGATGTTAAAATGAACAGGCCAATGTCAGCAACAGAAAATGGAGCTATATTTTTAAGCAAAAGCGTGTCAGACAGAGGGCTCGGAAGTGCTACAACAAGAAATGGGAGGGCATTGTCGGTTTCATTTGGCCGACCCGTTTTAACAAGAGAAAGTAATAGAGTTGTATCTGTTTTAAGCAAGCGGCCTTTATCATTTGTTAGTAGGACAAGACGATCATCCGCGGTTTCCCAAATTAACAACACGTACTTACTTTTTGATACTTATGATGAAGATGATAATGAACAAGAAAAAAGACTTAAAGAAGACAGTGAGTCCGATCACAGCAATGACCATTCGAGTGATGAGTTTAAAAGTAGCAGTCTTACAGAAAGTCTAGGAGAAAACGGTGACAAGGAGGAAGACCTTTCTTGGCCGGATCTTGTTTCCTGTGCAGACATTATTTTCTTCATAGTTTATTTGCTAGTGACTACGGTAATGTCTCTAGCATTATTCATTACGATGGTACAAGCTTATTGACCTACAGAAGTTATGTGAATTATATGAGCATAATACATTGGGTTTGCGTTTTGAATGTTGTGTAATAATGTTCTATTCGTGACTTCATTTTCTCGTGTCTTTAAGTAAATATCACATTTTATCATATTATTGAACTCTTGATCACTCTGAAATTGCGTATCTTTAGCTAAAGAAAGATAAATACTACTACGTAACTCTTTATCTTGAACGATTACACATGTTAATATGACTTCAGTCGTTGTATAGTTATCGTTTAAATTTGTACTGCCTGAGTTTGATTAAACACTAAGTAATCTCTTTTTTGTAACAAATAACCATTGACTTCCTTATTAAATACAATGTCTTTGAACGATATTGATGCTGTTGTTAATATTTTGTGTCTTTTACTTATTGTTTTGTTTTTTCCTTGTCTTCTTGACTATGTATGCCTATGCTATATTTCATGCAATAAACTATGTTTAAATTAATTTTACTTTTTTAACATTTGGGTTGTATTTTTCGTATCTAGTTCCAAAGGGGGCAGTTCATGTCGAAACAGACAACACATCTGTTCACTTTACAGTGAAGTTACTTCAATTTCATTTACGTCAAAAACTATCTTTAACGCTATTTTTATGGAGGCTGATTACATATACAAGGAAATTCCACAGATTGTTCTCAACCGCATTGACTATCTTAGTCTTCGGTGTATTTCATATATGACGCTTTGAACAGGCTTAACAGGCTTAATATATATTTCACCCAGTTGTTGGACGAGCGACAATGTTACATTGTCAATGAATAATATTTTAAAAAGAGTAGTCATTATGATGGAATTATAACGCATTAATGTCTTTTAAGTTTTAAAATAAATTTTCACAAATCATGGGATTATTTGCATTTTATTTAGAAACATCACAATCATAGATTAATATTAGTTTGAATTGTTGATATATGAAATAAATTATTCAAGCAAAGGCAGACGTTCATATTACAATCATAATAAGTTCATAAATACAGGAAATAGAGGTAACAGTAAAATGTGTTGAATAAATAAAAACTTCAGCCGTTACATCAAAAATCAATCGAAAGACATATTCTTTCATTTTAAAATGTGTGTTATAGTAAATTTGTTGAAAGTGGCATAGAATGAGTGCATAAAAACATAAATCAATTTAATTGAACATTTGTAGCTTTGCTTTGATTAGTTCTCGGCAAAACGACTTATGGAATCATTTAGGTACATTTATCTTAAAAAGGGACTTTTCAGACGCGAATCAACAAGCTGAATATTTTAAATATAAACGTCGGAATGTGGTTAAAATGAAATATTTGTATAAGACCTGTTTAGTTTAGCATAGATTAATGATAACAGCAGTAATGTTTTTACTGTGTGCGATTGTTTACCTAGATAATCATAAGAAGTAACTTTAACATCGGTTTCCAAAAATTCTACATATAATAATAATTATATTTATAATAAGTTTCGCAAGCTAACGTTTATCAACATTAACATTGTCGATTGCATTCACCATGTGTTGCAGTGCCTCTTTTATGATTAACTGTTAAAGAAAAAAATACTTGTATATACTAACGAGAACTTTCAACATATTTTGTACTGTTCATGCAATTTTTAGTAAGTAGCTAACATACTATTGCATAATGTCCTGCTTCTTACAAACTTGCTGTCATTTTATCATTTGTTGCCAATATAATTTAATACTTAAAGGAATTCCACTGAGGTTTAAACCACTAAAAACATATAATTTTGATTTTTAAGATAGATCTGCTGGGGCACTGAAAAAAGAAAGATATGCAAAAAAATTAAGACATATACGCAGAAGTAAACTAAAAAGCATATGTTTGAGCCATCACTAGCCCAATTTTACAAGAAAAAAAACATTGCAACGTTTTTCATTTCGGTGTCATTTTTCACAATTAGAATAATCATTCCCGAAAATCTGATCTGAAATTATATACACAAGTTTTTTACCCATACATCAATAGAATATTTTTTTTTTAAATATTTTCTGTTCCGTCATGATGAGACACCTCAGTGCAGCCCCTTTAATGAAACTTCTAAAGGAATGTACATCAAAGAGTTTGATAGATGTATTAATTAATTTATGACACGTGATACGATGAAAAACGACAATGTCACAGTAACAAAGAATATTGATCTCTGAAACAAGTCAAACACGTTTTTTCTTTCCAAGTATTAAAACTATCACTCACAATAGAGTAATATTTCGTTAGCGTTTTGCTATATCTACCGATATAATTTTGCTGTGTTCATAAAGATGGTTCTGATTATACGAGGGTTCTTCAAAAAGTTCTGTTATCGGGTATTAAAAACAAGATAAAGAAAATATATACGAAAATGGTTTATTTCACCCCTTCAAAATATTCACCACCTACAGAAATACACTTTTGTAATCGAAATTTCCACTGTCTAAATGCATCAGAGTAGTCTGCCCTTGGTATCAGTCTCAAACACTGATATACAGCACTTCCGAGTCCGCTTCTGGTGGTATACCGACGTCCAGACAACATCTTTTTTAGCCGGGGAAATAAAAAAAAGTCACATGGACTTAAATCCGGCGAATAAGGTGGGTGGCTTAACACATTTACCTTTTCTTCAGCGAGAAAGTTTACACCCCCCCCCCCCTTGCTTTTATGCGCGGGGACATTATCATGTAGTAAATTAACTCCCCTTAATCCAGTACTTGGACGTTTTCTTTTTATAAAACTTTTTTATCCTTTTTAGCCCAACGTTCATATAATATGTTCCAGTGATTGATTTTCCAGATTGTGATGGTATCTGAATAACTGAACCAAGATGATTGAAAAAAAATTGTGTACAGAACTTTCTTTGAGCTTTTCTGCCGTTTAGCCACTACTGGACGTGTTTGATTTTTCCTCTCCATTGTTTATTATCACCCCTCCTTTGTGGCTCAAACATGTAGACCCAAGTCTCATCTCCAGTTAACATATTAGAAATAGTCTTGCTGTCAAATGTTTTGAACTCTTTAAGGAGTTTTTTTGAACACATGACTCTCATTTTTTTCTGGTCATTTGTCAGTAAATGGGGCACCCAACGTGCACAAACCTTTTTAAGTTTCACGAACACTTCCTTCTGAAATGCCAACATTATTAGCCATATCCTTTACTGTATAACGGCCATCTTCTTCCACCAATGCTTTCACAGCAGCCACATGCTTATCAGTCACTGACGACTTCGGACGTCCACTTCGATGACCATCTTTAATCACAGAAAGCTCACCTTTAAATTTTTTCGCCCACCTACAAACTGTCATAAATGGTACCACAGAATGTCCATAAATACCATTCAGCTCATTATAAATGTCTTTTGGAGATATATGCAAAGCAGTGCGACTTTAAATATAAGTGCGTACTTCAACTTTGTAATGTCGTTTCATTGTTATTCCAAAATATGGCCAGTGTATATGAGTGACACTACTTCAAAACAGAATAATTTTGTTATTATTGCATCGATTTGCACGTGTTTTTCGTGCTTATATAGTGTGAATATTTATGTACATTAATGTATAGGTTCATTGAAGCAAAACCGTCGATTTCGCTACGGAAGACCATTGGTAACAAAACTTTTTGAATTAACCTCGTAATACCATATACTATTAACGGTAGTATATTAGTAAGAAAAATGGTCCTCTTCACTTAAATTTCAAGTTAAACTATCGTAACGGTTGGCTCATAGTACGGTTAAGATCCCTTAAAGAATCACGAATGGGCAAGTCCACTAGAAGGAAAAAATGCATTACCCATTCTAAAAACTCACGGTTGGCATGTAGGAAATCATGCCGCTTTTCCTAAAACAGATGGGAGAGGAATGGTCACGAATTTATTACAGTTACATTTTGCATATAACTGGGAGATCAACAGCCAAACATGTGATAAATATATTGTTGCAATTGCTTCGTGCATTGCAGACGGTGGGAATCAAACAGAAGAAGAAGAAATTGTGGATGTAGATTTTTACTAATAATGTAATAGATGACAGTTTATATCACACTGCTTTTTTATGAATAAATGAAAAGTAATAATCAGTCTCACCAAGATCAATATCGCCGAAAAAATGTATATTCTAGTCGAAAACAAGTAAATTTTTGTCGAAAAGAAGTAAACTTGATAGCAAATCTCTTACAAATAGATTTAAATAGATTTTTTTAAATAAATGTTTATAAAATGGTAATCAATTAATCATTCATCTTATTTGTATATGATATTTAGAGATGAGTATGTTTAAAGGACTATTCTCCGGTTCATCACGACAATCGTGTCGTCAATGTCTGTTTCTTCCAGCGATTTTCAGCGAACTAAGTGCAAACATTACGTTCATATATTTTGTTCTGTCTTTACGTTTAAAGATAAAAATGTATATAAGACATGTAGTATTCAAACGTTTAAACTATCCATTCATTCCTCATAAAATTAAGACAATTTCTTATAAATTGATACAGAAATGTTGGTTACCTGCAATAAGACCTTCGCCTATTTAAACAATTGCGGCTGAAGTAAACCATGCATTTTCCAAATATAAGCAATGATTTACAAAAATGATAATTGTTTCCAAGCCGTCGTCTGACAACTTGTACATATTTGATGGCAACAGTTTATACCAAAGCGTGGTTTCATCATACAAAAACACGAGTATAAATAAAATTGTATATGTACATGTATTTATAAAGATTACCAATCTTACTAAGATATGGTTTTGTTAACATTTCAGTAAACTTTAAAACTATTCCACACATATTTTTATAATGATTGTGTTATATATGAAGAATATGTACCAACATACATACAATAAATAATAAGCACTACAACATATAATATATTTTCATAGAACTAAGAACAAAATTAGGCTATATTCAATTTCTACAAAATATAAAATGGTCAGATCAATAAGCCGTAATCATTGTCAAAAACATTGCTAATGATATTAATGTTGTGAGCAAAATGGTAATAAGGAAAAATACGAAATCACTACATGATATTAAATCAGCCCATGAAATGTCATCGTCAGGAGATTCTTCTTCATCAGAAACCGTATTACATTCACTCTCTTCACTTGAACTTTCAATACTTGACACTGACACTGATTTGTGACTGTTGTCAATAGTAACTAATTTCTTATCTGTTTCAATTGATTGTACCAAAGCATCTAAATTTACACGATTAAGCACTGAAAATGGTCTGTGATTTATTAATCCCGAGCGATTGCTATAAGCAGATTGAGCTCGACCGCTGCTCTGTGAAAATGGTCTACTTTTTCCCGAGTACACAGTGGTGTTATTTTCAGCTGGTATCACTCGACTTCCCGTACAGGAAGGTTGTCTTAGCAAAATTGGTCTGTTTTCAGCAACAGATGTTGGTCTATTCATTTTATATTCATCCGCAAAATATGTTTGGCTTTCTTCAACATCATCCGCTATCGTACAATGTTTGCTATCTTTGCCTACATTTATGTTTGAATCAATACCACTTGACAATGTAGACGCCTCTCCTTTCCTTATTTGGTTTATTCTAAGTTCAGATGTGAATGAAGATGACACAGGCCGCGAAGTAGGTTCAGGAAACTGACTTGAAACTGTGTCTATAAAAGATAGTTCGCGCATTTCTGGTTCGAAACCAGATATTCCAGTCAACTGAGTCTGAACTTTTCCTAGTCGATGTTCAATATGATTAGTCGGATTGTTTTCAAATGGTGTCGAAACTACTACTTTATGATAATATTTATTTTGCATAAATGAGATGTCATCCGACTCGGGTTTTGGTGATACAACCACTCTTCTTACTGGAAGAAAAGTTTCATCTAGGTCAGTTTCATTATCTACACCTACAAGACTAGCATATTCTGTTTTTTGCTCAGCTACAGTTTTTTGCTCAGCTACAGATGGTCTTTTTTTTCGCGATTCATTTGATACTTCAATCATTTCTTTTGTACATAAATCTGTCGTTTTAGGAGAAAATGAGCCGATTTCTGTGTGATTGACGCCATCGATGTGTGTATGCCTCTCGGGATTACTTTCAAAATTATCTTCTCTATCTGCAAATCTGACGGTTTTCATTGTATATGATTCCCGTTCTTTGCGTTTGTCATCTAAAGGTAAGTTGTCTTCCATTGAATTCAATGTTGCGGATCGCACTAACGTATGAGATTCAAACAACGTATTTTCCCTCCTGCTAAAAAAGCTTGTCTCACGATGCTGTGACATTGAAAATCTACCCCTATAATTGTCATCTTTTACATCATTTACATCATGATCCATAAAAGAAACTCGTTTTACCTTCCTCTCACAGGCACTTTCAACTGCGTCGTTTTCTACCATATCGTTATTGACAATAAACAAATTTTCGTTTTCTAGTTTGTTTGTGGACATATCTTTCGCCTTACTATCATAATTACCTACTTTGTTATTCTTTCTTCGACAGGTTACTATTGCCTGTGCCCACTTTAAATGTTCAACGGCTCTTTTAACGCGTTTGGCTATTGGATATTTGCTTTCTGAGAATGTTAAGGCTCGAACTTGTAGAACACATACTATAAGTGTGATTGTACTTAATATTGTCATTGCTAAAACGAATGTCGCGTATATAGAGATGGTGTCAGAATTTTCTGGCATAGAGTCATTGTTAATTATTAGCATAACAACAAATGATAAGAAAATTGTTATACTGAAACCCGTTTTCTCTCCTGACTCGGTCGGTATCACAAAAGTAAAAACGTTCATATAAGCTAATACAACAAGAGGCATAGTCATATAAAATGTCACAAATCGGGAGTTTCTTTCTAAAGTTAAGAAAAATTCAACAACTTGATGATTGTCATTGTCTTCTGTCTTTGTTTCTGTCTTGATAAGGCGCCATTCAGAGTTTTCTTGGAAATTTGGATGCATCTGAAGACCAAGTGAACCTAGTTGTGTAACAACTTCACTGTCGTCTGATGCCCATGTTCCAAACTGCATGAAAATGTTATTATTAGAATTATGATTAGATTAACTATTATGATAAAAACACTGTGTAATTAGGCTCGTAACATTATGAAAATTTAATTGATGTTTAAATATTTTGACTGTCATATTCAATCATGTACTAGTTAACATGGGTTAATACCATATACTTTACAATACATTTTTTGGGATAAAGGAAAACTTTGATTTTACCTTTAACACACACGTCTGTCTATCATATGGGTAATGTGTCATGTCAACCTTACACACAGATTCCATAATCTGATACGGTTTCCATAGACACGAGCCATTATAATTGACGTCTATAAACATGAATTTGGCGCCCATAGCAGTGATAGTAGAAAATCCGTTCATTAAAGCAATGTCTGGTTTCCAAAGATCATCCTGCGGAAGCAGTATCTGAACAATGCGCTGTCTTTTTAATGGATCCCAAGACAAACTTGAGTCAATCCATGACACTTCAAACTGGCCCGTCGTTGTCAATTTTTGCTCTACCTTTTGTTATGATTAAAATGAAGAAATTTGTTAAATATTTAGAAAGAAAGGAACAACTGCTGGCACAAGGTTTTAACTTAATATGTAAAAATGTTGAAGATCAACTTTAAAAAAATCCGCCCATTTTATCATTTTTCAAGTTAAATCATTTAAAAGTTTATAATTAGCAACGGAATATTGCCGGTAGTAGTTCACGTGTAAACCTAGTACATGTATTATCACTTATAATGGTCAGCTTTATTCAAGTGTATGATAAAATATTTATTACGATTTTGCTACTAACAACAAAAGGTGACTTCTAAATCGTTTGATTTTATAACATTTTCATGTAATCTAATATTATTACCTCGTCGAGTCCATTTATTCCAACTAGATAGAAATCAACAGATGCTGTTATTGCCAGACTGAGATCACGGGTAGGCAGATTTTCATTAGAATAATTTGTCAACAGTGACTTAACTGCGTCAACAACAGCTTCCACAGGAGGACCACCAGTTGTTGTTGTAGTCGTTGGAGGGGCAGGAACTATTTTGGATTCTAGATGAATATCAAATTTCACTCAAACATAATAATAAAGAAGGAAAATAGATATACATTGAGCATTTTCTAAGAATAAATAATAAATTGTATGTAAGACATTTTAACAGGAAAATTCCCAAAATGACAACTCATATTTTATGAATGATATAGTAGTATTATGACATAAATTTTGTTGAATTTTAGATCCGTACACGACTAGATTATAAATAGGTTTTCATAATAATATGAAAGTTTAAGACCTGCATAATATTCTAATTCAAATCCAGCTAGTGTTCTGTACCCATCACTGTGGAAATGAAGTAGAAATTCAGGACCATCTAGATCCCAACGTTTCGCCCAGTAACCACACACTGTGTCCCTTATTCCGTCTTTCATACATGGTCCTGAAAAAATAGCGCTCGAATTGTAAAAGGGACACACTTCATGAAAGTCAGAAAATGCTTAAAGCAGCATGCCTCCAGATTCATGCTTATTTTCAAAAAAAAAGAATGAAGGTGTATTCAGAAGTAAAATACTGTGAAGTAATTTACACATTGCAATCGGCACTTACAATCCACGTAAATTACCAAAAATAGGTAAAAATATACCTCTTACTGCGTTAGTAACGGAGTAGAATTATAGCGATTGATATTGCAAAAGAAGTCATTAATCGCATATAACATATAAATAATTAATTAGATAATGCATGTGTTTACTTTTCTAAAGATCTTAATACATTTTTATAAAGACTGAATTTCGTGAAATATTTTGGTAAATCTTGAGGCATGCAACTTTAATGTTTATATCGTGAAGTCAAACATCAAAAATTTGTCTTTACATGAGATTGTTTATCTAATGATAAAATAACAAGCACAAGTCAAACTTTCTAAAATTTCTTTTGCGTGGTGACAACTCAGGTGCTAGGTGCGTCATAATTTGCAGATTCCATTTTCTGCCACAGGCGGTTTCCAACTACATTTGTTTCTGTTCAATGTTCCTGGGGCTTGCCCTCATCCATATTTGAATTACTTTCTGAACTTTCACTGATATATTGTTTTTTATAAAATTCAATTAAATAAAACAATGTAATCTCCTTTATCTCCTTTATAAAATTATAAAATCAATAAAATAAATGTATTTCTTGTCATTTGACTGATGTATAAAATTATGAAACTATTTTTTTATATCCAGATGCCAATCTCTCTGGGTCTATGTGACAAATGTGTACAAACCGTTATATAGAATCAGTTTATCATACAGACATTGATATGCTCTTTCTATTCTGATGCTAGTTATTGCCAAAACCATTTTATAGTTTGTTGTGTCGTAGTTTGTGAACAGCCAGAACATCTCCAAATTACTATGATAAAAGTAAAACATAATTGATGTCGAATTAGATGAGAATGCTTAAATTACTTGACCTAACCTGACTTGATTTGATTTTTCATTACTTAAGTTAACTTTACTGTCTTTACTTTATTACACTCTACATCACGTCATTAAATATGATACAAGTCTTAATTAGTGTAAGATTAAGGACGTTAGTAAAACATGTAAAAGTTAACATTTTGAACAGAAACTAATCATAACGAATTAGAAAGTTATAGCAAATTGTTTTCACGTTTGAAAATGTTTCAACTACGTACATTTCATAGTTCAAAGTACCAAAACTAGGACTTGATATTGTATTAATATAGCTGTCACCATTGGCAATGTAAGTTGTTTCTTTATTATACATCACTGAATATTCTGTAATGTCTATCTTGCAACCGGGATAAGCTAAAAATAAAAAAAAGGAAAATTTCCAAATATTTTATCAGACCTTTTAAAGGGAATTTTTTACATACCGAGACTGGAAATAATTGTACAAGATTAATGATCCAATCGTTCTACACCAATAAAATTTCAGCATTCGCTCAGTCCTTTTTCCTGAATAATCATTCTATGTGTGAAAAATGACCTAAAACTATAAAGCGTTGAAAATTCTCGGCATTAAAAACATAACACTAGTATGACATGGTTACAGAAAGTTTACTTCTACGCCATCCAATGTTGCTGAGATTATTGAGTTTCTTATATTTTATTCATATTATAATTGTTATAAAATCCAGACAGTTACGCAGCCATAACCTTAGGTACGAACAAGATTCATATTGCTCAATTATAATATTATTTTATATATTGCAATGTAAATTTAAAGTTATTTACAATGATTTCGACTACTTACTGTTATCAACTGCTTTGACTCTTAACCTAAAACCAGCATATTGTAGGGCGTAATCAGACGAGAAAATTATCAACATTTGCTGCCCTGAGCTCCTATAAGTTGATGATGGGCGTTCAATTCCGCAAAATTTGTTCAACATTAAACCACTTGTGGTGTTACCTAAAATATTTCAGAGCATTTTTATTCAATGAAAAATACTGATAATAATTTTGTGTCAGTCTCTGAAATCTTTTAGCGTTCTATTTCTAAAACTTCTACATTATCATACTATATTGTAATATTTATCATAAGTTAATAACTCGAATTTGTTAGTAATACCAATAAATATAAGTCTTCTTTTTTAATTTACCATCATAGATGATCACGTAGTCATAGGAACAATAAGTGTGTCTTTCGATGGCAAAGGTGTCGTCATCAAAGTTCGCCTCAACTGCGTAATCTTCTGGAGCCGAGATGTACCACCTACATATTGTATTACTGAAAATTTAGAATGCAAACTTTAGGATGCATCTATAAGAAATTCAAATGAGACAGACATGTCAAATGAAAACTGTAAAACTTATAAACATTTTTAACACGGATTTTTATTCCCTGTCGTTTATAAATACAATATTTGATGCAAAATGTGAGTAAAATATTTTGATACAAACATTAGTTGGAATTTAATACTATTGTATTGATACATTTTGTATGGTACTGTCCAGACATATTCAAAAAGTCAATAAAGTAATCACAATTTCAATCATCTAACCTTGGGTATGCGCTTCCATACTGTGGTGAATTTATGAATACGGAATTTGGGGATATTGCTGGACTAAGGTACGCCCCGGAAGCTGTGCAATTGTCAAATACAGAGGGGATCATTGTCGTCGTCGTTGTAGTAGTAGAAGTCGTTGTGACTGCAAAGAAGTTTAATATTACTATAAAACTAAGTATGAAGTTAATATATATCATGAATTTTGGAAAACAAAGCTTTATTACACCCATATTATCATTAAGCGTCTGCTCACTTAACTATTTTGGAACTGGTTGCTCTATATTACAGAAAGATATAATTTATTTACCTACGTTAGTCCTGTATATCAACATAAAACCATAAAAGTCAGATGTTGGAGTGGTAACTGTCCAGACAACATGACCGGTAAATTCGGTTGTTTCTATGTCAGTAAACTCATATACTAGTGCCGTGGAACAAACTGTATCAAGTTGTGCGCCAGCCGTGGAATTACCTGTAAAGAGTAACCAATTGAATGTTAAATACAACCATTAAGAATGCTTTTATGTTCTCATCTTTTACCATTAATGTTAGTAACATCTTTAAGTAATGCAATAAAAAAAATTCGAATTTTAGACTTACATGTCTTAACATCAAAGTGCATGGAAAGATTTAAGATGAATACTTTACCATCATAGAATCTTAAGTGACTCGTTCCACAATTTCCCATATCAAGAAACTTTATTTGAAACAAAATTCCTGTAGTTGATGAAAATGTCCATGAGCAAGAATGAGATCTTAAAAGAAAACAAAAAGAGAAAACATTTAGAATGTACACTAACTAACAAGAAGTATCATTGTTAACTTGGACATATATTTGATATTTGTGACTTGGTAATAATGCCAAAAAATTAACAAGCAAACTAGATCTAAAAGTTGACAGCGAACTTGAAAAAAATACCGACATCATTTATTTAAAGATCCTGTATGTTTTGTAATTGAGATTGCATACCACTCTTCATTGAATTATATATGTATGTAATTATGCAAATTTGTCAATTTTCAAACATGGAAGAATATGTAAAATATGTATTGCAAATATTTGTACATATTTAAGGTAATCATTAAATTATATGCATTCATTTCTTATTGGAAAAATTGACTTAAAATTTATAGAAAACTAAATTCTAATTACCTCCCTTTATTTACATGAAATATTAAATTCGGTAATATCTTTATAAATAATGTTTTTTGAAACTTACAATATCGATAAATCTTTTTTTGAGCATCATAATTTGTATATAAAACCATAAAAATAATGTGTTACAGGATCTTTAAATTGATATGTTTCATTGTTTTATAGTTATTCAATCCTCTTGCTCTATAAATAATAAATACAAAATCTGATTATTCGTATCTATTTGAAATCATCTTCTGCAAGATTTTATTGGCATTTGACCATTTTATTGTTAACTGCATTTATTAAATGACATTTAACTTAATCTTTAAGTATTGTTCATAACCATAATAATATTAATTATAATAATAATGTTTCAAAATACAATACATTGCATTGATAACTATCATTTGATTGCCGAGTGTATAACAAATCAAAATGTTCAGAGAACAGTTGATGTACTTACGCGTCATATGCGCCTGGTAAATTTGGGGACATCAATATCTGCTCCGATCCTGATACTGTTAGTGTGTCATCACATCCCGGCTGATTAGCTGTAAAAATTGTTGTTGTGTTTGTTTATTTTCTTGTTTTTTGTTGTTGTTCTTTGTTTTGTCGTTGTTGTTTTTGTTGTTGTTGTTGCTTTTTTGCGATTACATAATTTATTTAATCAAATCATGCTTAAAATATTTGACAATGATTTGTAATCAAATTTTCATCCCAATGATATTAATAAATAAATAAGAACTAAACATAACATTTTATGAAAGAACAATTTTCCTTGCTTTTGAAAGCTTATATAATTTCATTCAGGAAATGTATTAATGTTTTTTAACATTTCAAATCATTCATATATATTAACTTATCATTCATTTAAATAACTCCTTATTCTTGTAATGACTCACCTGCATTGTTTGTGAAATAAAGTATTTGGAATCCAGTATATTGTATCCAATAATCAGATACAAAGGTGATGAATAGAGCATCACTACTGCTAACAAAAGCATTTAAATTCTTCCTGTTAGTAACAGCCATCCGGATTATACGCGTTGCTGATGCATTATCTACAAACATAAAAAGCACATACAACATTCTGATGTATTTTTTATCATTATGTTGTATTTTTAAAAAAAATGGCGTAAGTATATTTCGATGCAATATAGTTTTGAAGGAAATCCGTGACTTTCTTATGCATTAAGAGTAAAAGTGAGCAATTCCTAATTCGAGAAAATGTAAAGAACTGTAATTGCTCATGCATATAGTGGCTGATTTCTGGCATTTCGTGTATTCCTGTCTTCGCTCCTCAAGTCGAAGGTAAAGATACGAAAACACAATATTATGCACACTTCTCTTGTCTCTGCCTTCGCGCATTCGAAATAAGGGGGCGCCTACAGGAAGACACGATAGTTAAGGAGAAATAATGATATTCTAACGGGCGAAGACACGAGATGTTGTTATGTAAAATTATTTTATATATTTGTCGTGTCGACAAAAGGCGAAAACACGACAACACGTAGACTCAATGTATTTGCAAATTATGACTTCAGGGACTAAGACAAGATGACACGTACTCTCGATAAATAGGTTAAATATCAGATCTTTGCCTTTCAATTTTTGAGACGGCGACAGGACAAATATAGGTTGTCGGCACGAAGATTTCTACCCGCCAACACGATCATTCTACAGAAAAAGATCTCGTGTGTTCGCCTTATAAAATATCGTTATTTGGTCTAAAACTATCATGTCTTCATGTTGGCGTCCTCAAAGATCGAAGGCGTTTTCGACTTTTGAGGGGTGAAGACACGAAATGCCTGAAATCGACCATCAAACATACGAGATCCAGCTAATTACTTTTATATGTTTCTTTTATATATGAAAGGTTAAACAACGTTATTTACTTTATATATGACACAATAACAATTAGTAAGACAACGACAAAAATGAGAGTAATCAAATCATTTATTAATTTACATTTTGCACCTTTTTTCATGCATTACCATCTGCATAAACATATGAAGCATATTAAAACCAAGACCATACCGCAATATGTAATAAATACAAAGTCTTCTGCAGATGTTAATGTATGATAAAAGGTACATTTGCGCTTTTTTGAAAAAAAATAATATACGTCTAATACGTGTAATATGTAATCCCGCGTTTCGTTATCTGTACCTCATATGAAAAAAGTCATTGCATGCGCCATTTTTTTCCACTGGCTAATGCAATGTCATTTGAAAGCCATGCTCCGATAATAAAATTACCGGGCCGTCATTGCATTATCTGTTGTTTTTTTTCTAATTGTGCCCGAGTCACGTATATATAAAAAGAATGTGTAAAAATGTTAATGCATGTAATTAATACCTGCGTGAGCTTTTCTTGTGCAAGAATATTAAATACATCTAAATCAAACTTACAGCCATCATACAAATCCATATAATCTGATGTTGTACTTTCTGAATCATAATCTTCAATGTTGATAATGATTCTGTCATCTGTGCTTGGTGCAAGAATGCGCCACGAGCAATCAGCATTTCTATGTCAAAAGGAAAACCCAACTGTCAATACAACTATTTCAGTAGAACGCTTACATTTAAGGATATATTAGGAATAATTATTTTGAACGTTCGTGGCCAAACGACAGGAAATCTTACGAAAATTCGATTGTTCAACTATGGTGCCCGTTTGTGCCTGAAAGAAATGCACGGACGGGCACTTGAAGTCGTCCTCCACAAGTAAAGCTTGAAAAGCGCCATGTGATCTATAGTTTGTTGGTATGACGTAAACCCCAACAAATGATAATAAGTTTTCTTTATATTACTTGCCTTCCTTAGTGCATGCATGCAAATAACAAAATAATTTAACTGAAGGCTAATAAAAGTCACACTCATTAAATTCAATTTCAAAATAATTCAATTAATTTAGTGTTGTTGAGTGAAATTTATTTAAGACACGCTGCACTTGTTATTTTCACTAAAATGTAAACATTATACATCAGGAGTTTTTATCTGATCTTATTTTAAAGAAATAATACTTACTCTGGATAGTTGCTTGGGTAATTTGGTGATGTAAAATATTGAGGTGAATTGTCTGCATTCAATAAAAGTGGACCTGTGTCGTCGCATTGACCATTTACTAACAGTAAAAATATTTTGTTATTGTAGACTTTTAAAAGTGCACTATGATTTTATTTTAATATATCATAAAATACTTGTATTTGTGTTTAAAGGAACATTTAATCTCTGTCTACTGTACTGGACTAGGCGTTAGAGTTGACTTAGTGCCGTGCTCCTTGCTTTATATCAACTTTACATTTAAGGATAATAGAGCATGTATTTCTATCGAAAACCATCGGCAGTTATAAGCCCTTATTAGAATATTCCCCGTGTATATCAATAAAAAAAAACTTTAAAATACAACATTGGCTTGCCTGGTAAGCAGTCTTGCAAATATATCTGTTTATTTCATTTCAGCATTAAAATATGTTTAACATGAAAAATAAATCAAAAATGAAGACAGATACACCATCTAGTATTTTTTTACTTACCATTTTTGAACAATAACACGGTTAGAAATAGTAACATATGAAACGGATTCAAACTTCTATATTCCATGGTTAGCCACAAATTATCAATTTAAATTCATTTGATTCACATTTAACAATATGTTCAGCTGTTTACAACATATAAATTCCGAAAAACATTCAATCAGACACTGCAAAGTATTATAACAAGAACAAAACAATCAATTTATGATTATATCAAGAAGATTAACTTTTTCAAATTCAATATTATCTGTAATTATGGCGAAATATTTTTTTTTGTATTTTTTAAAGATTATTTTAAGAAAACTTGTTGACCTTTCAAGGGTTATGTTAACTGTGTTTCATAAACAAAGTGTAAATTAAATTGTAAAGGGATATACTAACTTGGTTTGTAATTGTCGTTTAAAACAAAAGAATGTCATTGATATATGTTACAGTGTATTTATAGGTTTTTAATCACCCAAACTTGAAAGTTGCGTGAATAGAAAAACGTCCATCTAGTGAGATCCCCTTGCGATGGATCAAAGACTTTGAACTCTTCAGCGATCAGAGAGAAATTCTTAATCTTAATTTGCAAAGAAATGTAATTGTGAACAATAATATGCACACCGTTAAGGACTTTGATTTGTGAGGGTTATTACGTTTTCAATTTAATTTTCATACAGTAATCAAAGTATTACGTTTCTGCAATTTGAATGTCTTATTGATTGTAGAAGTGGTTTAAGTTCGCTTGATTTTTTTATGTTATTGTTTTTTGTTGTGTTTTTGTTTTGTTTTGTTTTTTGTTTTGTTTTTTTTTTGGGGGGGGGGTTTGTTTTTGTTGTTGTTGTTGTTGTTGTTGTTGTTTTTTTAAAGGGTATCCACGGAAGGTTTATTAAGTCACGAGATTAAAAATATTTGTTCGAGATTAATATGACATTTGATAGCGGTCTTATTTGTGTGATCATTCAAATCATTTGATGGTTCTGTTGCGTTTTTTTTGTTCTTTTTTTTTGGGGGGGGTGTTGTTTTTTGTTGTTGTCAATTCCATTCTGAGTTTTTTCATCATTAACTTTTTTCATCTTTTGCAAATATTTCAGTTCTTTCAAATGCTTCATTTGATTTATCTGAGAAATTCAAATTTATGCTTTTATGCTTTTAAAACTGAGAGGAATTCCTTTAAGTTTTGATTAATTTTATAAGTATCGTTTTTCATTGTTTCATATCTAATACATAATTTAAGATAATAAAAAACATGTTTATTATGTTATAACACGGAAACAGAGTAATATTATATAATATATTTTATAAAATTCGGTTAATTTAAATACTTATCGTTCAAAATATCTTGAAAATATCAATTTACTTTACAATTGTTGCCTTTTGTTAACAAAACGGTCTTTTTGTAACACCTTTAAAGAATAGTGAAATTGGTTGATTTCAATGTATGTCTTGAATTATCTGATTTCAAAACAATGTTTTTGTTTTGTTTCAACAGTTACAGACGTCTCTTTTTAACATTACAGTTTCAAAAAGTATTGTTTAAAAAATCTTCATTAAGACATTTTATTGACTGTTCTTTCACAGTTAGTAATAAGATAGTCTTCATGTTTGAAAGTAATGTTGTGATTTAAAGATAAAAGAGAATACTTAGTTTCGAATGAAATCTTTTTCGATATAATTGTGACATTTTAGGGTTTTCCCCTGACATTTAAGCTATACAATTATTTTGGACGAGGCAGTCGTTAGGATGTGTGACCCCCTTTACTGCCTCGAATAAAAGTGATATTTCAGGGATACCCCAAGGGCCTTTAAGCTAATTATTTTGGACGAGATAGAATGGAAATGTGCAACCCCATTTAGTGCCTCGAAATGTCTCTTAATTTGAGGTCTAAAATGCAGTGCTATTTATTTTTTTTAAAAAAAACAAGTCTTTGAATAAATAAGACCGGTTGACCTGGTTCCGTTCAGCCTTTTGGGTATTGGTTTGGACTTTTTTATATGATGAAAATAAGAATGGTGCAAAGAATTAAGAAAAAGAAGTTTTGAAAATACGCAGAGTCAATTGATTTTTAAAGTAAATCCTTGTCGAAATATTCTCATTTTTTCAAATGGATTTTTGGTTCAATATACAATAATTGCGGATATTGATCTCGTTGTTTACTCTTCCTTTTATTTTTTACATGATATGTCTAGAAACGGATGGTAGGACCCAAAATGCATGACAACTATGTGAACGACAGTATTTGATAGTAATTTTTAAGTGTTTAATCTGGAATAAGATTTTAAATCACTTGTGTCAATTCTAGATGAGTATTCTTTATGCACTATAAAATAATAAAAAGAAAGGGAAAAATAACTTGAGGGGAAATGCGGTTAGAAGAAACAACAAGGTATATATATACAAAAAGCGTAAGCACCAGTGGGGTCCAACTATTATTCATAATTGTTAGCACCAGTGCGCTCACATTAAATGCCGTATTCTGGTATATACCGGACAAGGCGCTGCTAAATTCTCGCCTTTTTAACTTAAACGCCTAATTCATCTGTGCACAACGATTTACGTACAATAATAAAAGAAAAATGTAAAAATCGGCATAAAAAGCATTATTTTTCTATTATGAGATCGTGATTTCTGCATGCGTCTTCAACACTGCATTGAGTTATATCCATAATTAAAACAATTTAGCGGCAGTGCGGTCCAAAAATTTAAAAAGACCCTCTAGTAACACAAACGTGGGTTTCTTTCTTTCTTTATTTATTTATTTATTTATTTTTAAATTGCCAACCAAAATAAGTCATTACATTGAAACAACATTAAAGAATTTTAAATTACTGTGATACTCATATATTGTACAATCAAACAAAAAAATAGACAACCTTTACAGCTAAAATTTATTTCTGACAAGTAAACCTTTTCAAAGTTACTTCCCTTAGGTAAACCATGGATTTCGATATCGTCGCGTTAACTCATTATATTGATAGGAGTTAGTTTAAAGTTTCAGAAGAAAAGAAGAGACGATTGGGACAAAGAAAATGTATTTTGTTAATTTATGACCCGTTTAAAATAAAAGAAATGGATACAATGAAGAACGAAAAACACATTTTTCATTTCAGGTGGAAACAATGTATTCATTATAACACGAGGTTTCAACCAGCCGAAGAGGTCTTCAATAGGTTAATTATCTCAATAGTTCAAGAGATAAGAACATAGTAATTTGATATGATAAACAAATAAAGTAAAACACTATAGACTGTTTCAAAATATATTTTTGAACCAGACAGTGTTTTTGTTTATAAAATGATTTTTTTCTCATTTTATATAAGAGCGTTAATATTTACTGCCATATAACCTCCTGCTCAGTTCTTATTTTCAACACGTTCTTTTATAGGGCCATAAAATCATTCGGTTTAAGTGATTAAGTTTCCATCTCGGTTGTTCTTCACAAAATGCATTACTAGTATAATAAATTATCTCACGTATGAAATATTCTTAAATGCATTCTGCTCTTTTTTCTTACTTTATTGCTAAAAGTTTTGGTTGTATCGCTTCAGTTAAATATGTTTAATTTTGCTAATGAGGCAAAATACCAGAGTTCAGTCTACATTAAATGGAAAAATATTTCTTAGCTGTACAGGGGATAGATAAACATTTCTCGGAATCTTCACATACAAATAATCATCACAACAAATCTAAAAAAATAATTCTACAGTTTTATTTAATTAAATGGATAAAATTAAAGACTTTTTTCATTTTTTGACATATTATCTGTGATATGCAGGCTTCCTCTGATTCCCTTTAAAAAATTCCATTTTCTTTAATCCCATTGTTTTCTCGTTAAGGGTAAAATAATTTTTACATGGGGACCATAATTATGCCGCTTTTCATTGAATGGTACTAACGTGTCACATTGAATGTTTCATGATAACCACCATAATTATGTACACATCTGCGGATGTTTCAAAATTCTAAATTTACCAGTTCATGTTAAATGTGGAATACTGCTTAAGGCGGCTCTAAGGGGAGTGGACTGTAATTTGCACTGTCAAGTACAGTCCATGAAAGGCTCAATCAAATCGAGTCTGCAACATTTTCAATATTGTCGTTTTGTGCGTTCTTTTCTCTCTATTTTGAAGTTATAAAGTTGAGCAATCTGAAGATATATGTAATACAAGTGTAATAATTTACCAGTCCCTCAATACTACGTGAAAAAATATTTTCCAGATTAAGAAATAGTATATCCCAAACAGTGATTTTATCGCTCAATTAAATCCATAAGTAATATGCTAATAATTCTTTCTTGGCAGCTGAACAAATAGAAAAAAATGCACGAAAAGAGAAGTTGTCGCACAATGAATCAAAAGCTTAAAATAATGTATTGAATATTAAAAATGTATAATTATAGTGATTTTTTTCTAATTTTATATGCAGAGAAATTGAATAATTTGATACATTCTCAATTGTTTGACATGTTGACATCTTTCATTTAAACTAATACGTGATTATAAATTGACAATCATATTTCTCGATGCAATATGCTTTGCTTAGGTGTTTCTTGTAGCATCCATTACCATGCTGGCGAATCCTTCCCTGATCCTCTGGACTGTTTGTTAAAAGTAGACGCGACTATAAGCCTTCATGGGGAGGAATTAGTTCTATAGTTCCTGTGTAAGAGATCGTTAGAGGCGACTAATAACTTAAGTCTATGCATCTCTTAACTGCAGCATGTGATCCTTGTGCTAACCAGGTGTGAGTCAAAACCATCTTTCCTGTTTCGGCGCAGTTCTTGTGCTGTAATACAAACAAACAAAAACAAAAAATGGTTCTTTATTTAATGTCTGCTACTCCCGCTGTTGTTGTTGTTGTTGTTGTTGTTGTTGTTGTTGTTGTTGTTGTTGTTGTTGTTGTTGTTGTTGTTGTTGCTGTTGTTGTTACTACTCCTCCTCCTATTCTTTCTCATTATGCTGTAACTTAATTCGTTGATTTAAAAGCCATTAACATTTGTGTTTTTATCTACCTAGATTGTACAGTTTAAGGTTAGCATTATTGCCATGTCTATCATTCAGCACGACATTATTGTTGATTTTGACAACACTCTGTTGAAATTTCTCGTAAAGAGAGTAAATGGGTCTTTATGTTATGTATATCATGTATAATGTTTATGAATCTTTATCTTACCCTTAAAACGTATTCTTAGTGCATTTTTGTTTTTGAAACAAAGCTTCTTTTCTATAAGATTTTATTATGGTTTGTATATATAAGTTAATGGTTCTTTAATAATGGTATGTTTGAAACTTGTATACTTTAATATAGTAATAAAATTGCTATTAAATATTGTCATAAAAAATAATATTAATTTGATTTATCATGCCTCAATCTAATAATATTTTAAATGTGGTTTAAATTTGTTTTGTTTGTTTGTTTGTTTCATTTTACGCCTTTTTCCAACAGTATTTCAGTCATATAGGCGGGTAGTTTCTTAACCATCGTTCCTGGAGAGTTACACCAGTACTAGACAACCTTCCTCCGAGCTAAACTACCAAAGCATCTCCCGGGGATCGAACCGATGCCAGATAGGTAACTGGATTAGGAGTCATCGACTCTAACCCCTCGAGCACGGAGGCGGTATAAATGTGGTTTAAAGACAAAGAATAAGAGACATCTGTAATGTTAAAAGCAAATATAATATACCAACGATTACTACGTACGAATAAGTTCTATATCGGTATCGTAAAACTTTCATTATCAAAGATCTTGAAGACGGCTAACAAATGCTTCAAATATTCACAAAGAAAGGACAAGGCAAAGGGTGCAAAATTCCTTGCACCTATCAAATTTCACTTATAGGTAAGAGAGGTAAAAAGGGTTGAACTAAAAAACTCTGTTTGAATCCAGGGTTTATATACATTAAATCAGATGATCTTATCTACTCTCACATTTGGTAAAAGATGAAAAAATGTTCAAATTTGATGAGACAGTATTAAACATTATAGATTAGGTAGAATAAGGTAATTGTAACATTTGTTAACGTGTATACTTCCAGAATGTCAATTAAGCCACTGACAGGACTACATTTATAAACGTTCATGTTAAGACTTGGGATTGAAAAGAGGTTCTTAATACTAATTACATCTAATTTAAAACTTGTTTATCAATATGTTTTTACTTCATTGAGGCTTGAACATGGGACTTTCTTAAATTCCTGTGTAAATTGTTTAGAAATATGTTTTATGATTGAGAAAGATGTCCTATTTGTGTTTAAATGATAAAAGTGACTGATTTTGAGTTGAAAGGGGCAGAGCAAAGGGCAAGCAATTTTCTGTTCCACTAACGATAAAATTAATTCACCTCTGGTGAATTAATTTTCTTGTTAAATCTTTGTTTAATCTTATCTTTTAACAAAAGATAACGCTATTTTTTCTGAACAGCTGATTTTTTTTACTAAAGATATCTTACCAAAAAGAATAAGAACACTTTGTTGATTTAACACAACTTTAACGTTAACAATGTTTGAACAACAGGATTGCTTAACAACAAAATTTAACGCATAAATAATATAACATTTTTTTGTTAATTTAACAATGATTTCATTGTTAAATAACAAAAGTTTTGAACAACTGGGCCATTGTCTTAACATAAAATGTGAAATATAGAACTATATAACGTTACCATTATAAATAATAAGTTTATTAACAATATTTTGTTGAACATACAAATCACAAATAATGATTTATTCGTACAGAAAAAAAAGTGTGAAATGCAAATAAACAAGATGTTAGACAATAAATTACTCTTATAATTATTGCTTAAAGGTCTCTTGCATTTCTAAACATCATATTTTTGCCTTTATATTATAATAAAAGACGAGCTTATGCAAAAATAATAGTCATGAATTAAATTTAGAATCTTTGAATATTGTATACATAGCTTGCTTGTTTAACCGGTATTTAATGGGAATGAAATGTTTGAGTTAGAGTATGAACTTAAACTTATTGTATTAATTAACACTTTTTACAAAAACTATGGACAAAAAACGAATTAATTATGTAAATGTATGGTAACATTTAGACGAAAAGCTGGGAGGAAGTTTAAAACTTCACAATCAATGATAAAAGGTTAATCAATGACAGTTCGGGTGATACTATGACCGATTCATTTATAAATTAAAAGTATGTGCAACAGTTAATGTACAAAAGTTCTATTCAATTTAACTGAAAAGAAAATGATTCTGTTATCTTCTTTTAATCTTTATGCACCGGTATTCAATTTATTTGAAAATATCTCATTGATTCCTGCTTTCCACATTTGATGTAAACATATATGCAATTTTTTATTGTCTCGGTGCGTGTTAAACATTATTATACTAAAACATGAACACTTTCCGCTTAACAAAACTATCAACTATAGCACTTTAACATTTTAAAGTAAAGTGTTTTTATTGTAGATCTCAGCAAACACTAAAATAATAAATTTCACTACAATAAAACAGCATTCATATTATGTATATCCAGCATATTACGCTAAGCATTGTACATTTTTTTTTTTGCAAAAGAGTACGTCCTTAGCCCCAAGGGAATGATCAAGGCCCTAACTTGATAAGTTGACTACTCCCAAAGAAATGTAACAACAAAGGTAGTAGCGTAACATATATAATCGGAGAATCTGGTGTTCATCTATTTGAACACTCTCTCTATTTTCACTGTGTTGCTATATATGACATGTAACACACGGCAAGCAAAACTGTCACAAGAAAAAACACCCAAAAACAAGTAAAGTCTAATGCCGAAACGAATTCGGGCCAAGCAGTATCTTCTTCAACATCACTATCATCATCATTTTCCGGTTTAACTTTATTTGCTTTATTTTGAGATGTGTCCGTCCCATCCTTTATGCACAACATATTATGTTGTGAATTAAGAATCCATTTTGTAAATGAGATAGTACATTGTGGCAATGGTTTATTATTAGTCTTCAGCTCAATCATCCTAATTTCCAACACAGAAATAATAACAGTTAGGTTACTAAGGCCCGTCATAATCAGGAGGTAGACTGCAAACAGCGAAATTGTATCTGAACTGTCCGGCATTTTTTGAAAAGTAACTATCACGTAAATCACAAATGACAGGAACACCGTTATCGCAAATCCAGACTTTTCTCCAGCTGATACTGGTAAAGCGAATGTAAGTGCATTTAATAACGAGAGCAATATAACAGGAACTGTTACATAGAACACAACAAAGGCATGGTTCCGTTTAAGAGTCAGTGTAAACACGGCTGTAAGTTGACCGTTTATCGTTTCATTTCTTTGAGAAATTCCCTCCAGTTTCCATTCTGAGTTCTCTACGAAATTTTCATGTCTTTGCATGCCGGAGGTGCCAATAATAGTTTGCACCTGGGCTGTTGTGGAGGACCATGTACTAAACTGAAAAAGTATCGACACATAATTAATTAAAACATTCAGCTGTTATCTGTTGAATATTATTCAATAAAATCATTCTCATAAATGTTTTATGTTCTTCTCTTTCACAAAAGTAAAATCCAATTACTTTAATGTTCTTTATTTTCATTATATTAAACCTTCAGAACAAACTCTAGAGCAAATAATGTACAAACCATGAGATCGCAATTTTGAGTATCATATGGATAATTTGTCATGTCGGCCTGACACGTGCTTTCAAGAATCTGGTAAGGCTTCCACGTGCAGAGTCCCGTATTTTCTACCACGATAAACATGAATTTGCTTCCCATGGAGCTGAGCGAGGTAAAACTGTTTAATAAAGCAATATCTGGTTTCCACAGGTCGTTCTGCAATATAAGATAAAATAACGTATGGGTTCACAAAATCATTGACATTCCTTAATTTATTTTCTAGTATATTATATTCTTGTTCTTGCGTTGTTTGTGCCGTGTGGAGGGTGTAAAAAGTCGCCCCGTACATTCAATCAGAGATGTTATATTTTCGATCCTTAAAGATCGTTCAGCACGACATTATTGTTGTGCTTGTGGTAATTTAGTTCTTTCTATTCGACTATTTTCTTGTTGGGTGCATCCAGTATTCCTCACTTGAATACTATCGAATGACTGTTAGGATATATGGCCTGCTTTTTAAATTTGTCTTTTGACTTCTTATCTGTGATATGCAGGCTTCATAACCTCTAATCCCCTTTTAAAATTCCATTTTATTTAGTTCCACCTATTGTTTTCTCGTTAAGGGCACACACATTTTTTTTATTTGGGGGACCATATGCCGCTTTTCATTGAATAGCACTTACGTGTCACATTGAAGGTTCCATGATTACCGCCATATGAACACATTTCCGGATGTTTCAAAATTGTACCAGTTCATTATAAATGTTGAATTCTGTTTCAGCCGATGCTAGGGGGTGTTGACGGTAGTTTGCACTTGACAGAACCGTCTATGAATTCTGCCGTGTTGGGCTTTCTTTGGGGATTCTTATTTTCTCTATTTTATTATATTGCTTGAATCGATAAAAATTGTGTTATCTGGTACATTTTGCAAATGCGTTTTATCATACCCATTTTTTAATTGAACTTAAAACTGTGATATGTGATTTTAGCTTATTTAATAAACAGTCGCGAACTTCAATGATCTTTTAACAGTGTTTAGGACAGAGCTGAAAAGTTAACCTTTTAGATTGTGTTTGGAATATAAGAAGCAAGCATGCATAACGATACACAGTGAAGAAGCAATAAAAGTGTCAGTCAAAATAACTTGTCATTGATTATCGACCATGCCTAATGATTATATAATTAGTCATATTTCTGACTGACTTGGGAATAGAAAATGTACTAGTTGCTTTAATAAGGAACACTCTAAAAACATAACATCTTTGTTTTGTTATCTGACATAACATTGCTAAAGTATAATATGAGGGCATATTTTATTTAGTGGCAACGGTAGCGCGTTTTTATAAGTAAGTCATACCTGTGAAAAAATTAATGGTAAAGTCCTTAAAAATTTCCGTATGGAATCCATTCCCCCCCCCCCCCCCCCTTAAAAAAATTTGCACTGTTATTTGGGTACACTGTTTATACACTGGTAGAGAGCGCTTCTGGTGGACTACGGTTTTCGAACCAGCGACCGCTAATGCAATATTTGATGTATGGATTTAACAAAAATTCACGAAGAGAGGTCAGGACTGTAATTTTGATGTAGCAGAACTTCAATTATCTGTTCCTCTTAAAAGCCTGAACCAAGGCTAATCGTTGTGCAGGTACATTATCATGGAGTAATTTGATCCTGCGCACACCGGACCTTGGGATTTTTGTAATGTAGTGAATAACTACAGCTGTGAGAACATTGTCACGGTGTGACCCTACCCCTCTCAGGCACAGCAACACGGGCCATTTTTCCATCACTGTCAAAAAATAGAGCGTACATAACTCTTTTAACGCTCCTGCTACGTCGAGCAACAACTGGGCATTCGCTGTTTTCACCTACCCATATTTGTTACTGAGTTAATTGTCAGGCTAAAAAGAATAAAGCCAATTTCATTCCCTGTGACAATTTCTCTCCGGCCTCTAGGGTCTCCATCTTTAAACCTAGTCAATGAGCCCGAGGCCTTTTGAATCCGCCCCCTTTTCTTGTCAGAAGTTATCAAATGCGGGATCCAATAGGTGCACACTTTCCTTAACATATATTTTCTTTCAAGATGGAAAACACATATGACACATTAAGGCCCAATATATCACTTATCTCCTCCATATATATATCTTGCATCTTTATCTACTATGGCTTTGACAGTGCTAATATCTTTTTTTCTGAGGCCCCCGAGGGAGGAGAACATCATTATCGCTAGTTCTACCTGCCTTAAACAGCGGAACATACCTGGCAATAGACGTTATCCGGAACTCGGCAAATGTGGGTTTTTCCCAGCTAATCTCTAGGTTTACCGTTATAGCCTCACATTGCACTACCCGTCACAATAGATAAGTCAACTTGTTTCGTTTATTTTCGAAGCTGTTTTTGTTTGTTTATACCTACGGATTAGCTGGGAAAAACCTAAATATTCTTAATTTCGGAGTAAGTCTAATGTACGATATGGAAAGGCGGCAGTTTCTCCATAAACTAAATCTAGATCTGTTTTTGTTTTTGTTTTGTTTGTTTTTTTTTTCTGACGCGCAATTACACAGTAATCCACGAATTTTGCAATAAGGTCCTTGCTGCTCACTTAAATCACAATGCGACTCAGTCATGTTTACAACCAGTATACAATCAAAGCACTGAATGTACTGATGGGGAGGCTATGAGAGAATGTTTCAGACTTATAGTGTCTTTTCTTTTTGCTTAAAATATGCTACCAAAATAAAAAGATATGCACATTGCGCTATTTATCCTTACTGTTGTGTTCAACCATTCATATAAATGGTTAATGTGGTTGACTATTCATTTTGTTAATATTCCAGAACATTTCATTGAGGTCTACATTCGGACTGTTAATCATACAAATTTTGAAAAACCTAAACTGTCAATAATAAATGACATACCAGCAAGTATGACGACTGTTCATTATCAGATAACAATAACATTTTACAACTGACGGTTCCTTATCAAAATCACAGGAACTTGAAATTCTATCAAATAACCAATATTAATTATAATATCCAAATATACCCCCTATATACTATAAAAAAACACAAACACAGGAACTTGAAATTCTATCAAATAACCAATATTAATTATAATATCCAAATATACCCCCTATATACTATAAAAAATTTATAGTATATAGGGGGTATATTTGGATATTATAATTAATATTGATTATTTGATAGAATTTCAAGTTCCTGTGTCAAAATATTCTAGGACTGTTCATCATAAATACTTTATGTCATTTTAATATTATTGAATGATAATAACAACTGCAAGTGATGCAACATTTTTATTGAACATAAAAATTATACACGTTTAGATGTACCATAATTGAGATCAATAAGATACTGTCTTGTGATGATTATTAATATTCATGCTCTACGGACAGAAGGTTGTCTTCTCCAGAAGCAAATCTCGAATAAAATCACGTTTCAGAAAATTATTCCCATTTCATTACTGACGGCGTCGGATAATATTAAAGCTAAATATTTCTTGAAAAAATACATATCTGCAAAGCTTATTCAAAACTGAATCAACCTAAGTGAAAATTGATCAGGAAGTTATATCTTCTTTTTTTACCGCCAACACTCAACCAACTAATGGTAGTTAATCGATAGCTTGTGTATTTTTAAACCTCACTAGCTTGAAATATATACTGCGGAAAATCTGTTGTTAACAGGGTGTGCGGTTATTACGTAGGGTTTTCCCTGTCGACCATTTCCTGCAAATAGATGAGAACACCGAAGCCGTCAGTGCTATGAATGATGTTATAAATGGCGTGTTTTGGAAGTTTTTGTTGAAACTTCTCCAATTTCCTCCAGAGGCGTGCACGTCGCGGAGAAGGCACACGGAAGGACATAGTCAAGTCATCATAAGTACCAGAGGTGATTGGTTGACCTGTCGTGACTTACTCTGGAGGTTTGGCGCTAATAGATGCCGTTTTTGTTGTCGTCAGTCAGAAAGTTGATGCCTTGATGGTATTGTCGTCTCCTTTACCACCAAAGAACGAAGAATGGGCTTCCAGGAAGAATCTGCTTGAAAAAGACGTCCCAGATGCTATAATCTCGGACATATGGTTATTCCGGCGCCGAGTATAAATAAACTTAAAACACACTCACTTTTGTTGAAAACAAAACAAAAAAAAAACAACAACACATTGTCTGTAGTAATTTTTCAAGTGTTGTAAAATTAATAAGAAATTCCTCTTATGCCGCCGATTATTTTTAGAACACAAACATAAAAGTTTTTTTTTTTATTTTTCAAATAAACATTAATCACTTCAGCGCGCGCAAATATCGTTTTCAAATTAAAGTTTCGTAAGATATGTTAATGACTTCCCGATGCTCGACTGTAAGTAATTTGTATATGTATGCGTTTTTTTTTGTTTTTGTTTTTTAATTAAAGCTTCTTATTCTTTAATATTTTTTATGTATCTCATAATCTGTATTGAAAATTTGAATTTTATTACACATGGACTATCAAATTATGATGTATGCCCTAGAATTGAATAAACTTTCTAATTACACAATACGGGGTCATACTGATCTTTGCGTCTTTCTCTGAAATAATTATTTCTTTGTTAAAACATATTTGACCACATATTTCTGTCAATTAACTGTTCACTTTACTTCCGATTTTTGTTGTACGGAAACACATGTTTCTATTTGTGTTTTCTAATCAATTCGAATCTATAATCAGTTTAATGGGATCACCACCGGGTAAACGACTACTAGGTACTTTGGTCATGTTTTATACCCCAAATATTTGAATGTTTCTATTGGGATTAAAATGAGCATAGTTAAGTAAACAACTGGTTGTATAAATCCCTGACCTGTCTAATTCTAATTATGAGATCAGTGAATATATAAGACTTTCACTACAAAATATTCCTAAACAAAAGAGCACATGTTTAAATTTATTCCTATACAAATAAAAGATCAGAGTAGGGATCTGTCAATTGCCAAATATACTTTTATGTTAAAAGTTTGATTAATGAATTATGTAAGATGAAAATATAAGTATTGCTTTTTTATTTTGCTAATGTAAAATGTAATATTGTGCTGGAATTTTGTCGGAAGGTCCTTATAGGGGTTTTGTAGTTAAATAGTTTTTTTTCGGCGATAATGGTTCAAGAATATAATGTTTCAAACTATATGCTCATCACCATCAGTGAATTTTTAGTTAAATGTATGCAAAATATTTACTAACAGCTATATGATATAGCGGTTTATGACCGTTTTCCACGTACAGCCTCCTGGGGTGTACTAATAAGTTAGTTTTCCTTAGTTATCACGCAAGCATGATCCATGTCTCTGATGTAAGCGACAGTTTACAATTATTTGTCTTTAAAAAATATTAAGGACTTTTAATGGTTTATAACAACAAAAGAACATGCATGATATTGAGAATACGGCATTGTATATACACCGGTCTCAAATATCGTCAGTAAGACCGGTGTACACAATGGAGAATACGGTGTTGGAACGTTCTAGTTAATGACCCGTCATAAACAGTTGGTCGCTGCGTAGTAATTGGAAAATTGTTATCAAGAATAATAAAGAATATTTGCCACTAAATTAAAGCATTTACTTACAAATTTTCATTTATGCTTTTTGTTAAAAAAATATTGATAAAGTTATTATTTTGAAGGGTTTTCATACCAGAACTATTTATTACAGACGTACGTTTGCCTAAACCTGATTACCGCGGCAGTATGACGTCACGGAGTAGTGATTTAAACAAAAATCAAGAATTTTTCAGAGAATTATTATCTTTACAAATTGCAGATATGAAATTAAAGAATGAAAATATTTTCATATTGTAAATGTCTGTGATGAGTGATGAGTCAGCTTAGAAAAGATCAAGGTACTATTTTTTGACCTGATTACCGCGGCAGTGACCTGATTACCGCGGCAGTAAGATTTGACGAACAGTTATTAACATTGGGTCGGCATAGCCTCCCCAAAAACGCATGTATGTTAATGACCTACTTAAATTCATTACACGTGCAAATCGTGTGGACATAGACTTTTGGTTAGAAAAATCAATAATCTTTCCAATGTCCCATGAAAATCATTTTAGATTAAGCTGTTGCCACTAATTAAAATATGCCCCTTGTATAAGTTTGGTATAAACCTGTGGCATGAGAAGTTTTGAGATTCCGGACAGTTTGGTAATCGGCCATACCATACTATCATCTGTCCACGTGATCTTAAACTGTATTGTCGTCGTCAACTTCTGTTGTACCTGTCAATGTACAATACATAATTACAATCATGTTAATGGATCATCAATACTAAGGATACCATTGGTAGGTTTTTAAACTCCATTACAAGTATTCGCTTGAATCATGACTGTATTACAAATTATTTAAATTTATTTGAAAGTAGGATTCGGGACCAGTTAACTCAAGATTGGAATCATACAATAAGTACTGCGCAAAAATTACACTACTATTGTAAATTTTGAAAACAAATTTGATTTTTGAAGATTATTTTTTAATTTACAAAAAATCTCTTACTGCCTAAGACTCGCATAATTTGGAAATTGAACAAGCAAAATTTAATGGGATTGATAGACAAAATAGATTATGTAATTTATGGGGATTGATAGACAAAATAGATTATGTAATTTATGTAATCAAAATGTTATTGAATCTGAATACCATTTTTTGCTATGTTATAGTAAATATCATGATCTGAGAAGACATTGCATAGAAAATATCACATGGCCAAATGTACATAAATATTAGCAGCTTATGTCAACAAAAAGTAAAAATAAACTTTTCAAAATAGCGAAATTTATAGATTAGTCAGCGAAATGTAGAATCAATTATTTGGAATTTCTGACATTTTCTTAATGAATAATTAAATCCCTATCTCTGAAGTATAAAATTGTTTTTTATTAAATTGTGTCATCGTATTTGTTAGATTGCAGCAGTTGAAAAATGTAAACATGTTTAAAGTTATATTGATGTTAAATGTCTTTGACATATAGTGTATGTGTGTTAATAGCCAAAGACAATGTTCATTGTCGATTTGTCAATAAACTAAACTTGATCGTCAATACTAAGGTTAATATTAAAAGGAAATAAAACAATGGCTATCAGCTGTGTGTGCATGTATTTGCTTGAGAAATAAGAATAAACAGTTCCTTATTAATGAGATCGTTGATACTTTAATGAGCATATTTGATTGCGCATTTTCATAAACAATTCTAGAAGAGCAGATGCAAACCGATAAAAATGAGATAAACGCAATTTAAACAATGTAAAACAATGAAAAATAGTACCTAAATATTGAATAAGATTAGTCTATTATTTCCTGCCACTTTGTACACATACATTTAAAACAAATTTTTACTTTTGCTGATGCTAAATGAGTTTTGCTAAATAAATTTGAAAACGTTGAGACCAAAACCGCCATATTTAAAAAATTTATCAAAAAAGATTTTTAACCATTTTTAAAAATTTTTCTTGGGAAAAACAAATCCCAAATTAAAATTAATTTTCCCAAATCGGGAAAAGGATTTTTTTAAAAAAAACGTTTCAGGAAAAAACTAAAAAATTACCCGTCTAACTGCTAACCCCCAAACCCAAAAAAAATCCACTGTTGCCTCGACAGCAGATGATAGATTTCTGACTGGAAAGTTGGCACTACTGTAGTTTGTCAGCACCTCATTGATAAGATTAACTTCGGCGGAAAGTGGTGGACCTAATGTAGTAGTCGTTGTGGTTGGAGCTCCAGTTGATACGGTACCTAGACGAAGGTAAATCAATTGGATAAAATATTATTGTCTTGGCGTGAAATAAAATGATGTTAATTTTGTAGGGAGGGTAGATACATATGTACTGGAAAAAATAACAAGAATCAATGTAATTTTTGTACTTCAAAATCTAACAATCAAAATATCACCTAGTTCAAACAATATTTTCATCTTTTCAAATTTTTGTTTTGTTTTGGCTGTTTCTTATTGTAGAAGGTATAAAGGGTGACAAAATTGACTTCTTTTACTCCTTTTAATCTTCGGGTGACAAATGTTATGTAATCTGTTGTCTTTTTTATTACTCGAACAGAAATGTTAATCTATAAATTGGCGTATATTCAAATTATGAATGTTATATCACAATGCTGTATAAAATTGATAACAAAGAAATATAGATTGCAATGACCATTTAAATTTGATTATAAAAAATACAATAGCATGGTTATGAGAGGAGAAAGGTGAATTTACTTAAGTCGTCCGATTATATGACCGGTTTGATTGTGACAACGTCAAAAACACTTTTAAGCTAATATATTATGATGACGGATACTTTAAACAAAATTACCCAGAAAATATTGTAAAGTGAATCCGTTTTTATTTATGCTACTATCGGAATGAAATTGTACGAGATATTCGCTGGGGGTGGCAGCAGTTATTTCCCATCTCTTTAAGAAGGTTCCACAATGTGTGTCTAATATTGTGTCTTTTGTGCAGGCGCCTTTTCCGGAAAAGATAACAGAAAATTAAATTAAAGGTTTATGATATCAGATAAAAGTTCTATTAGAGTTTTTTGTTAATGTAGTTCTGTTTTTAATCTACGTTATATATTCAAATAGGCAAATCTTAGCTGTTATTGATTAACTCCTATGTGAAAAAAATAACTAGAAATGTTAATATATATATTTTTATTTTTCTGTTAACTGTTGGGAGAAAAATATGTATCAACTTTAGATGTTTATCTATTTGATTGACTGTAACGTAATAAATATTTACTGAGGAAATTTACTCATTAAAACAGCATGATAAATATTTTCATTCTTGATTAATATCTTCCCCAAACTTATTTTCTTATTTTGATAGCACATTGTACTTGTTGATAAGCAATTATGTCTTCAAATATCCTTAAAGAAACAATAACAGAAGTAGTGCTATATAAACATAACCCACTTGCATCATTACAGCAACAAAAAAGATAAAATTTATTATAAAGTGAAAAGGTATTATCTCACATACACCTTTAAATCAACCAATAACTTTAAGAAATAGCATCAAAATAATTTCCTTTGTAAATTGAACATTGAACATTGAAAAAGGAAAGACAAAACAAGTAATACATGCACATTTAACATAGAAACATGTTTAAGGTATCTACTTAAAAAATAGATAAAGGAATGAAAACCTTATAGAGCTGTGCTAACAAAAACATTTAATTCATTCTGATAGAATTTAATGTTATATACAGCTTGTTAGATTTACTGAGCTACATGTAAAAGAAAAGTAAAAGCAAGACAAAATGCTATTACTTAAAAAGGGAAAAGAAAATTGCATTAAAGATTTTTTGTGCCAAAAACTAGAGTTTTTGTTAAGCTGTAAACTTACTACATGTGTATATGAATAAACTAGCAAACAAGTGCAGCAAGAGTTTAAGTAATAATTGTGATTAAATTGTAAACATGTAGTAACAACCCTGCAAACTTATAATCAGTTGATTTAATTTTAAGTGTAGAGAGAATTTCTTAAAGGCCTTATAGTTACAAGGAGCTCACCAAATAAATGATTCTTTTCCATTGCTTTTTCAAATTCATTATGCTTGAATGATGGTTTGTGACATGTATTTATCAATTTTATAACTGGAACAATCTTTTTGTTTAAAGGTCCCTATATTCCTTGTTTGATTTAATCTACAGTAATATATGTTATATTCATCATGTAAAATTATTTTATTAAATTTTATAACTTCATCAAGATATGTATTACCAAATAATATATCCAACTGGCACTCCAGGTTTAAATATTAAGGTTGCATATGTTGTAGTTATTCCCAAAAATGTTGTGTCACATCAAAGTCATAGAAAAGATGAATCTATTCTGAAAATAATAGCTAGTATCAAGTCCAAATAAGAAGTTATCCATTACAAATAAACCGTAAAGTAAAACTGGAAAAATTTACTATTATAAATGATAAGTCTGTCGTAGATACATCCAAATGCTCTCTCCATGCTCATTTCAATCAACTGTAGAATAAGTGTACCGCCTGGATTAGTTATAAGGAAATACTCGTCTTGATTGCTGAAGTTGAGAAGGAAACGTGATCATTTATTACATGCTTTTCAGTGAAAAATGACATTATATTTAATAATTTCAATTAAATAATGCCTTTACTTTCATTTCTCTTTTGTGTCCCGTTATTGTTTCAAAAGGTGACTTACCGGTCATATATCTGAACAATTTTTGATTATTTTTCCTTTGTTTTGCAATAAGAACATCTTTAGTGTTTCGGTATTTAATACCACTTTGTTGACATGTTGCTACTTTTATAACAAATTATACGAGTGTTGTTGTTTTCAAATAAGAGGCATCTAAGGTTATTCAATTCCGTTATTAAAACATTTGAAAACACATGTTTGCACATTGAAACAAATAAAACAGAATTCATTTCTGACTTACTTTGTCTTAAGACACCCTACCTTGTGTATGGTTTATTCGAATTTGCTATAGTTGGTCCAATAGATGCTGACGCTGTATATGTAGTATAACCAGACTTACACCCTGGGTAGGCTGTAATAAAGCTCTGTTAGAATAAGCACAATTAATAACTAAACAGTTTACCTATACATATATGCATAAATATAATAGAAATAGCAGTAATATAACATAATACAGATAGAAGGAGCGAAAGGAGTAACGTTCAAAAACATGTTGCGTGATAATAATTTAGTGCAAAATTTATAGAAAGCATCATCCATTTGTAGAGAATAACATGCTTCTGTCTTAAAGATATCAATTTTAGCAGGCGAGGTTGATATGGGCTGAAAGGAGCGAGGCTTTCCCATATCAGTCGGGCCTTATAAAAAAGACTAAACTTAAATACGTTGCGAGTTCATAGCATCAAAACATAACACTAGTCTAGTATGACATGGTTACGGGAACTTTACTTCTACGCCAGTCAATGTTGCTGAGATTATTGACATTCTTATATTTTATTCATATTATAATTGTTATTATATCCAGACACTTAAGCAGCCTTAATCTTGATGCATCTCGAGGTAATGAGCATTATTATATGATCTAAATATAGCTGCAATCACATTGGTCCAAACAGTAGTCAACAGAACTTTTTATAGAATCATATTCGCTGGGAGATGATTACTATAAACTTGAATTACTTTTGTGTGTGCAGCGTTCGCGTAGTTGTTGCATGCCTGACATGTGCGTCTATTTCGAAACAGACGAAAGGTGTACATGTATAAGGTTGTACTTTCTGTGATTTTTCTTTAAAATCTTATAGCCTTTTCATATAATTAAACAATTATTGACTAGTGTGCCATTGAATATGATGTGATATTCACCGGCAGAAAATCAAGTTGACCTCGAGGCGATATGTCATCTGCCGTTGAATATCACATCATATTCAATGACACGCTAGTCAATAATTGTATAATATTAGCCACGCATAAGATTCATATTTCTCAATCTTAATCTTACTTTACATATTGAAATGTAAATATAAAGTTATTTACAATGATTTAGACTACTTACTGTTATCAACTGCTTTTACTCTTAACCTAAAACCAGCATATTGAAGGGAGTAATCCGACGAGAAAATTATCATCATTTGCTGCCCTGAGCTCCTATAAATTGACGATGGGCTTACACTTCCGCAAAATTTGCTCAATATTGAATCACTTGTGGTGTTACCTATAACATTTGAGAGCATTTTTGTCAATAAAAAAATACTGATTTCATGTTTTTGTCAGTCTCTAACATTTTTGTGCGTTCTGTTTATTATTTTAATTATTTTGCAACATTTATCATTAGTTAATAACTTGAATTTGTTAAAAATAACATAAAAAAAAAGAATCTTTTAAAAATATGCTATTTTACCATCATATATGATCACGTAGTCATAGGAACAATAAGTGTGTGTTTCAATGGCAAATGTTTCGTCATCAAAATTCGCCTCAACTGCGTAATCTTCTGGAGCCGAGATGTACCATATACATAATGTATTACTGCAAATCAACAATGAAAATTTTAAGATGCATCTATAACGAATATTATTAAGACAGACCTGACGAATAAAATCTCCAACGGAAACCTTTTTAACACGGATTTCTATTCCCCGTCGCATGTGAATACAATATTTAATGCAAAGTTTAAATAAACTTTTTTGATACAAACATTAGTTGAAAGTAAATGTTGTTGTAATGATATATATTTTGTATGGTACTTTCCAGGCATATTTACAAAGACAATAAAGTAATCACAATTTCAATCACCTAACCTTGGGTATGCGCTTCCATACTGTGGCGAATTTATGAATACGGAATTGGGGGATATTGCTGGACTAAGGTACGCCCCGGAAGCTGTGCAATTGTCAAGTACAGAGGGGATCATTGTCGTCGTAGTAGAAGTAGTAGAAGTTGTTGTGACTGCGAAAAAGTATATGACAATATTAAGTATAAAGTAAATTAATATAATGAATGTTGTGAAACAAAGCTTTATTAAACCCATATTACAATGTATCATCAAGGGCCTGGTTACTATAATAATTTTGAACTGATTGGTGTGTAAAACATAAAGATATAATTCATGTCCTTATGGATTGGAAACAAATGACATGTACCAAATGTTGTCACTCATTTACCTACGTTAGTCCTGTATATCAACATAAAACCATAAAAGTCAGATGTTGGAGTGGTAACTGTCCAGACAATATGACCGGTAAATTCGGTTGTTTCTATGTCAGTAAACTCATATACTAGAGCCGTGGAACAAACTGTATCAAGTTGGGTGTCAGCCGTGGAATTACCTGTAAAGAGAGTAACCAAATGAATGTCAAATATCAACAATAAAGAATACTTTTATGTTCTCATTCTTTACTAATAATGCAAGTTTCATCTTTCAGTAATGTCATGCATTTTTACATTAAGAAATTTAGACTCCAAATATCAATGTACATGGAAAGATTAAAGATGAATATTTTACCATCGTAGAATCTTAAGTGACTCGTTCCACAATTTCCCATATCAAGAAACTTTATTTGAAACAGAATTCCTGTAGTTGATGAAAATGTCCATGAGCAAGAATGAGATCTTAAAAGAAAACAAAAAAAAGAAAGTTATTTAGAATGTACACTTACAAACGAGAGGTATCAATGTTAAATTGGACATCAATTGTGACTTTTGTTAATATGGAAAATAATGCCAAAGAAATTAACATGCAAACAAGATCTTAAATTTTTTGAGAAAACAATCCTAATATTATTTTTGATTGATACATTTCATTGTTTTATAGATAATTAATACTTCTTGAAATCTGATTATCCGTATGTATTTCAATCTACTTTCCGCAACATTTCATGGGTACTTGACCTTTCTATAGTTAACTTTATTTATTAAATAATAGTTGACCTTAATCATTAGTTATTTTTATAATAATAATGATTATAATAACTGATTATAATAATCGTAACATCTTTATTTAAAGAAGGTAACACATCAAGCCATATTTTTCTGATATCTTTCAATAAAATGTCTTACACTCAAGGGACAGGGCATTCTCGAGAAATCATTTTCCGCATAAATTTATAAAAAAATAGAAATACAATACAACCACCACACATGTGTTCAAAATACAAAAAAAACATGTATAACTTAATAACTTTATTTCATTTTTGTGTCTAAAACAAATCAAAATGTTTAGAGAATACCATTGAAAAAAAATGTTTTTAGTTGGTGTACTTACGCGTCATATGCGGCTGGTAAATTTGGGGACATCAATATCTGCTCCGATCCTGTTACTGTTAGTGTGTCATCACATCCCGCCTGATTTGCTGTAGAAGTTTGTTTTTGTATTTGTTTAACTTTTTTGTTGTTGTTGTAGTTTTATGTGGGGTTTTTTGCGATAACAAAATTAGTTAAACCGTATCATGTTTTAAATTGTAATCAAAATTTCATCCACAAAAAAATGAACAGATAAGAACTAAACAATACAGTTCTTTGATTTTTATCATCATAAATCATATATAAAATATTTTTCAAGAAATGTAGTAAATTTTCTTCTTTAAAATATCAAATCATTCATTTATATAATTTTTTTCTCTAATGTCTTACCTGCATTGTTTGTGAAATAAAGTATTTGGAATCCAGTATATTGTATCCAATAATCAGATACAAAGGTGATGTATAGAGCATCACTACTGCTAACAAAAGCATTTAAAGTCTTCCTGTTAGTAACAGCCATCCGTATTATACGCGTTGCTGATGTGTTATCTACAAACATAAAAAGCACATACAAGATTCTGATGTATCACTTTTTCTTGTTCGTTTTGCATTGCTCCACGTAAGGTGGCTGATTTCCGCCATTTCACGTAGTGACGATAATGTGGTCACTTATCGTGTCTTGGCCTTCTACTTGAGGGCACCGCCAGGAAGAGACGATACATTTTGGCGAGAAAACGATATTTTAACAGGTGAAGACACGAGATCTTGTTGGGTACAGTTATTGTGTCGGCGGGTAGAAATCTTAAGATCAGCGCCCTATATTTGTCATGAAAACTAGACAAAACGAAGGCTTGATAAATTTGTCAACTATGGTGTAATTATCAGGTCTTCGCCTTTCGCCTTTTGACGACATTACAAATATATGTTATCCACGCGAGGATTTCTACTCGTTCACACGATAATTTCTATAGTAAAATTTAAAGTGTCTTCTCCTTTTAAAATATTGTAATTTGGTTTAAAATGTATCGTGTCTTACTGTCGACGTTCTCACAAGTTGAAGAAACCGTGTTTGAGCATATTATCGTTTCTCCGCCTTCAAATTTTGAGGGTGAAGACACTAAATGGCAGAAATACATATGATACCCAACTTTTTACTGATATGAAGGTTCCTATTATATATGAAAGCTTCTATAAGCGTTATTCGCTTTATATGTGACACGACAAAATTGAAATTAATCAAATCATTTACTAAATTATATTTTGCAACATTTATATCTTAGATATCAAACGAGGGTTATTGTACCTATTTTCGTGCATTAATATCTGTAGAAATACAAAGATTCATATTTGACTAAGACCAATCCGCGAATGTTTCATAAATACAAGGTTTTCTGCAAATGTTAATGCATGAAAAAAACGTACATTAGTGCTTTTCTTGCAAAGGAAAATGTAATCGGTAATCCCGCGTTTCGTTATTCGTATTTCGTATAAAGAAATCATTGCATGCGCCATGCTATCCACGTGCTAGTGCAATGTCATGTTACAGCTATGTTCCGATAATAAAATTACCAGGGCCGTCATTGCATGTAGCTATTTTTTTATTTATTTTTGTTTTCAAATTGTGCAATCACGTATATAAAAATCACGTGCGACAACGTAATCTTACTGTTAATGTATGTTTTCTATTCCATTAATTTATACCTGCGTGTGCATTTTTATGCAGAAATATTTAATATAACTAAACCAAACTTACAGCCATCATACAAATCCATATAATCTGATGTTGTACTTTCTGAATCATAATCTTCAATGTTGATAATGATTCTATCATCCGTGCTTGGTGCAAGAATGCGCCACGAGCAATCAGCATTTCTATGTCAATAACAGAATCAAAATGTCAATACAACTATTAAAGTAAAACGCTTAGTTTTTAAAATATATATGTGTGCCATAAGACAAATGTGAAACACCAAGGATACTATGTTACATTAGGAATAATTAATTTGAGCGTCCGTTGCCAAGTGGTTAAAGTGACATTATGTAAAGTAAAACGCTTAAGAATTTAGAATATATTAGGAATGATTATTTGGAGCGTCCTTGACCGAGTGGTTAAGGTCGTTGACTTCAAACTACTTGCCCCTCGCCGTTCTAACTCGATGGGTACTTTAGATTATTTCTTTTTTACGGCAATGCGGTTGTTCTACTCATGTGTCATTTTGTGCTTGAAGAAATGCACGAAGGGCACCTGAGATCTCCATCAACAAGTAAATCTTGAAAAGCGCCATATGACTTATGTTGTGTTGATGCGACTAATACAAAAACGGTAATAATTTTAATTTATATCACTTGCTTTTCATAATGTATGCATGCAAATTATACAATCATCTAAAATATTCTATGATGGCTAATAAAAGTCGCATTTCTTTAAATTCAATTTCAAAATAAATCAATTAATTTATTATTGTTGAGTGAAATTTGTTGAACACAATCTGCACCTGTTATTATATTTCACGAAAAGGTAAACACTATTCATCAGTTTTTATCAGATCCCCTTTAAAAGAAATAATACTTACGCTGGATAGTTGCTTGGGTAATTTGGTGATGTAAAGTATTGAGGTGAATTGTCCGCATTCAATAAAAGTGGACCTGTATCGTCGCATTGCCCATTTACTAACAGTAAAAATATTTTGTTATAGTAGACTTTTAAAAGTAAATTATGATTATATTTTAATGTATCATAAAATACTGGCATTTTTGTTGAAATGAACATTTTAATCTCTGTCTACTGTTCTTGCTTAGTTGTTAGAGAGCCTTGCATTATATCAACTTCATATTTAAGGAAAAAAGAGCTTTTATTTTTTTATTGAAAAATATTGGCAAACAGTTATAAAATCGTACTTTTACAGGAATTTTATCCGAAGTTTATAAACAATAAAATTTAGTTTAAAATAATACATTGGTTTCCCTGGTAACCTGTTTTGCAAATATGTCTCTGTTTGTCTCATTTTAGCATCAAAAATAATTTTAGCATTAAAAATAAATCAAAAGAGGGGAAGGATACACCGTTAAGTATTTTTGTACTTACCACTATTGAACAATAATATGATTAGAAATAGTGACATATAAATCGAAGTCATACTTCCATAATCCATGGTAAAGCATAAATTTTCACTTCAAATGTATTTGATTCACATTAAACAATCCGGTTAGATGTATACGACTGATAAATTTTCAAAGGCACGTGTATTTCAATACAAACTTAAGGACAAGCACTGCAAATTATCAAAACTAATGCAAAAACAATCAATTTAGAGGAAAACAATCAATTTACTGTATGACGATATAAAAAAAAATCCAACTTCTATATTTTCTTTAATCATTGTAAAATATTTCCTTTTGTTTTTGTTGTTGGTTTTTGTGTTTTTTAAAAGGTTGGTTAAAGAAGACATGTTAACCTTAACGGTTATGTGGAGCAATATGTCATAGGAGTGGAAAATGGATCAACTTGTCAACTGATATGATAACTGGTTTTGTAATTGCCATTTAAAACAATAGAATGACATTGGTGTAAGTATATTTTTAATCACCCTGACCGAAAAATGTTTGAATAGAATAATGTCCGTCGAGTGAGATCGCCTTGCGTCGGATCAAAGACTTTGATCTGTACTGGCAATCAGAGGATCTTTTTTATTTTGAAAAGATATGTAATTATCAATATGTAAGTTCTTTAGCACTATGATTTGAGGGCGTTTGTCATATTGTCAGTCAAATTTAGGCATTGAAATAAAAATATTGTGAGGTTAATGCAATATTATAATGTTTTATTCATTGTAGTACTGGTTTTGGTTGCTGTTTTAAACTCGAAATATGAAGAGACTGGGGTGATTTTTTTTAGATGTTTGTACCATTTATGTAGGTCTAAATATGTGTGCAAAATTTCAGATCATCCTCTCACTCCGTTTTTGTTTTGTTTATGCTTTTACGCTTTACACCTCCTTGAAATTCTTGAAGTTTTAATTGATTTAGTTAGTGTTGTTTTTCATTGTGGCAGTAGTAGGCGAATGTAATACAAAAATTTAAGATAACAATAAAACAAAAAAGTAAAGTCAGTTGACTATGATATTACACGAAAACATAGTGGCAATAAAATCAATCATTAAATTCGATTAATTCAAATACTTATCTTTCAAGATATCTTAAAATGTCATTTTTCTTAACCAGTTGTTGCCTTTTGTTTAAAACATGGTATTTTGTAACACCTTTGAAGAACAATAAAAATTATTTAGTTCAATGTATACAATAAAAATATCTTATTTTGACTCAATATTTGTCTTTTGTATCAACAGCTCTATTTCGGGTATTTTATCACTGTTGTCATTAAGCCATTTTTTTAATGTTCTTTCAGTGTAAGAAATAAGATAGTCTTTATATATGCAAGCTATGTTGTGATTAAAAAATACTTCGATCTTATTTTTATATTTATTCCACGGACTTTGAAGCTTAAAAATCATTTTGGGCGAGATGGTGTGGGCATGTGTAACCCCCTTTTGTGCCTCGAAAAATTTCTTAAGTTAAGGTTTAAATTGCTTTATATAAGCTATTTCAAGACAGCAAGTCTTTAAATGCATAAAACGGGAAAATCTGGTTCCGTTTAGCCTATAAGGTATTAGTTTCGATGTCTCTCTTTGTTTTACTATTCGTTTTATTTTTATGTGATATGTCTAGAAACAATAAATGCTTGACAATTATATGCATGATAGTAATCGTTAAACTTCTTTTGGCTGATCTTAGATAAGATATTTAAATTGCCACTTTTAGATGAGTAGTCTTTATTGCATTGTCTACAAGTTTTAGCGCCAGTACGGTCCAGTAATTAAAAAATGTAAGTTCCCATGCAGTCTAATAAGTAAATCAGTGGTAGCGCCAGCGCAGTCCAATTATTAAAAAAAACCAGTGTTTGCGCCAGTACGGTCCCATAATCTAAAATTACCCCCTCGTTACACATACGAGACTGTATTTCTTTTCTCAAATTGCCAACCAAAATCCATTTATTACATTGCAATAACATAAAAGTATTTCTTTGTTGTGATATTTGAATATTTGTGCAATCAGTTAGAAGATATTACCTTATTGCAGTGTCATCCCTTATGTAATCCCTGGATTTCTTAGCGTTAACAAATGATATTGATCAGGGTTTTTGTAAATTATCAGGAAAAAAGAAACAATTATTTTAAAGAAAATTATTTTTTTAATTTATGACCGGTTTAAAATAAAACGGTGTACGTGATTAAGTATTACGATTGTGCTCCACGAAACTCATTACTAGTATAATAAATAAAAATGTTTTTTAATTGCGTTCTGTTTTATTTTCTTACTTTCTTGTTAAAAAATGTGGCTGGATCTATTCAGTTCCAAATGTTTAATTTTGCTCATAAGGCAAAATGCCAGCATCAGTTCAGGCTGCATCAAACAGAAATATAAACTGATTTTAAACTTGTATGTATGTAGTTTCTTCATAACTGCGTTTAAATTTTGGAATTTTGGACAAGGTTTGATGTTTTTGATGGGAAAATTCTCCATTTTATATGCGGTATAAAGATAAAAAATATAATATATTCCAAGGAACAGCAATTAAGTTTGATCCGTTAAACTATAACTTAAGAAAACAGATTATCAACTCAAACTTTGTTACTAAAAACAACATATTGCTGATCAACTTTCGGGTTAATCAGAGTAAGTTATTAAGGTTATTCCAAAGTCAATATCTTATATCCTGCTTGTCAGAGGTTTAGAATTATGTTCCGAAAAACTATATGATTAGTCCTGTATATTAACATAAGACCATAAAGTCCAACGATGAAGTAATGACAGTCCAAGAAACATGACCTGTTAAGAAATTTGTATAGAAAATCATATATTTGTGCCGTGGAACAAACTATATCAAGCGGTGGGTATCAGCTGTGGTATTTCCTGGATACAAACAAATTCAATGCAAAGAATTTTCATTGTAAAACAGTTAAAAAACATGCTATCTTATAAAGTTTAAATAGTAAATATTATAGTAAATAATTGTTGTTTAATAAGTTTAATTAAGTCCATATAACCTATTGTGACACTTTCTGAATCGTAATCTTCAATGTTGATAATGGTTTTTGTTTATCCGAACTTTGTAACTGAATTTTGCCAAGCACAATTAGCGTTTATAGGTGGAAGAAAGCTAGAATAGAAATGAAATCAACTGATGACTATATCTATTCAGACATTTAACTTAAAAATATTGTACCAGTACCGATGCATTGATCATTCGCTGTCAAAAAATAAGATTTATAATTTTTATTACTCAGCTTATAAAAGTAAACAAAAATGTTGTTTTGATAATCAACCATAAAAATTGCATTTCGACAATTACAGTAAAAGCCTATTAAAATGCTTCTGTCTTCTGTATTATGTGTGGTGGGGAGAAGTGTTTCTAGGTTGTAGCCTTGTAGTACACCTGACTTTACAATTTAACAATTAAAGATCATGTTCATCCTTTGTTTAATCGGATATTAATTAATTCAGTGTGATTCGAGGGACACTAATCAATAAAGTGCAACAAAAGAAGTTATAATATGGTATAATATTAATTTATTTTGCTAACAATAATTGCGAAAGGTTCCCTTGCCGTTTTGTCATAATGTATTACGTCATCTTATAAGATCTTATGAGTTATGATTTGAACATATGGCAAACAAATATTCGCATGATAATATTGTTTTTTTGTAGTTTTGTTGTTGTTGTTGTTGTTGTTGTTGTTGTTGTTTTTGTTATATAATAAAGACAGAATGCTCTACATAGTGACAAAACACAAACATAAATATATAGCTGGATTAAGGTCTAAATTTTATCTGCACTAGTCAGCCACATATATGAAATTTCAAAAGACCTGATTCATAGTAAATACCCTTTGAAAACAGTATGCGCAATAAGACAATAAGAATATGTTAAACTTAATTACATAGTTAAAGATAAGCACCATTTGACATACGTAAACAAAAACAATTATGTCAGTTTATAAATATCATAGAATTGCTTTCTTAGATGACCAAACAATTATAAAAAGGTTACCTTAAAATAACTACATTAACCTTAATAACGGTAATGTTAACAGCTTATTGTTACTATGATCTGAATAGTATTGAATTACACTATTATCTAACACCATGCATTGTAATTGTCATTTTTAACAATAAACCTGTCATTTATACGTGTAAAAATATGCTAATAATACTTTCTTGACAGCTGAACAAACAGAAAAAATGCAAGAGAAGTTATCGCACAATGGATCAAAAGCTTAGAATAATGTGTTAAACAGAACATGTATAATCATGGTGACATTTTCTAATTTTATATGTAAACAAATCGTATAATTTGATAAATTCTAAATTGTTTGATATGTTGACATCTTTCATTTAGACTAATACGTGCTTATAAATAGACAATCATACTCCTCGGTACAAACTTTGCTTTGCTCGGGGATTTCTTGTAGCATTAATTGCCATGCTGACGAATCTTTCCCTTTTCGTTAAAAGTAGACGCGACTATAAGCCTTCATTGGTAGGAATTAGTTCTTTAGTTCTTGAGTAAGGGATCGTAAAATGTGACTAAATGGGCTTGAATAATTTGAGTCTCTGCATTTCTTAACTCAAACAGGAGAGTTGGTTTTGTGCAAACCAGGCCCCGTGTTCACAAAGAAAATATCAGGATCAGGATCAGTTGATCCCGATTTTATTTTCATTGTTTTATAAAACTAAAACTGACCGTATTATGCTAGAATCAAATGGAACATATTCAAAATATATATAATTGCTTATTTGCAAAGAAACCATCCAATTATGGGATAAAATCAACAAATAAGAGAACAAATGCAAAAATAAACGGATCAAAATGAGGATCAATTTTAGGATCAAGATCAAAATTTGGATCAACTGTAAAATACCTATTTCTTGTAAAAATAACAATAAATTCATTCTAAAATTTCATAAACGTGCTATTTCAAGTCCAGTTTTATCAAGTTAATACTGAAAATTCAATCTAAGAGAATAAATACTGGAGAATATTTGAGTTTTTAAATTTGATCCTGATCTTGATCCTGATCTTTAAATCTTTGTGAACACGGGGCCAGGGGTTAATTAAAACCATATGTCCTGTCTGAGCGCCATATGACCTACATTGTGTTGTTCTGCGGTAAAACCAAACAACAAAAATATAGTTCTTTATTCAATGTTGATGGTTCTGATACTCCCCCTGTTGTTGTTGTCCCTCGTCCGGTTTTTCAAGACTATGCTATTCGTTCTTTCGTTGATTAAAAAAAGCAATTTATATTTGTGTTTTACTTACATAGATTTGACATTTTTAAGATTCTGTAACACAATTTTTTATGGTTTTAAATCATAAATATGATGCTCAAATTAAGATTTTTATCAATATTGTAGGTTCCAAAAAGCATTATTTATAAAGATATTACCGAATTACCGAATTTAACATTTCATGTAAATAAAGGGAGGTAATAAAAATTCTATAAAGTTTAAGTCAACTTTTACAATTAGAAATGAATGATTATATTTTAATGATTACATATCATATGCACAAATATTTGCAGTACATATTTTACATATTCTTCGACGTTTGAAAATTGTTTTATTTGCATAATTATGTACATACATATAATTTCACTTAATGTGGTTTTCCACTTTGATCACAACGTACAGATCTTCTTAAAAACTATCGTTCAACACACAAGATTATTGTTGTGTTTGTGGTATTTTAAGCTCTTGCTATTTGGCTTTTTTCTAGTTTGAACATTCCAGTATTCCTACTTGAAAAATGTATAATCAGCCTTAAGATATGTTGCCTACTTTTTTAAATTTGTCTTTTTGCCAATCAGTGATATGCAGGCTTCATAACATCTGATCCATTGTTAATATCCATTTTTTAATTTCGCCTTTTGTTTTCTTGATTAGGTCACAAACATTCCTTTACTTGAGGACCACACGCTTCTTTTCATATAATGACCTAAGCGTTTCATATCGAAAGTACCATGATCACGGCCGTATGAACACAATTGTGAATGTTTCCTAATTCAAAATTCCGCCATAACATGTTTAAATGTTGAATTGCTTAAGTCGGTGCTTGGCGGCGAAAAAGGCTTGCAAATACCACAACTTTACATGGACAGGCTCAATCAAACAGAGTCTGCAACATTTTCAATTTTGCTGTTTTTGGTGATGTTTTTACTCTTTTTACAAGGACACTGTATTGACATTCTGTGAGAAAGTTAATAAGGTCTTTGTTATGGAAATCATGTATAATGTTTATGATTCTTTAACATATCCTAGGAACTTATTTGAGGTGCATTTTTTTGAAAGATCTTTTTTCTGAAAGCATGTACTATTATTCCTATGTATAGGTTGCTTTTATAACGGTTCTTTAATAATGGTATGTATGAAACTTGTATACTTTAATATAGTTATAAAACTGTCATTAAGGATTGTCATAAAATAATACTAATTTTATTAAGTGTGCCTAAGTCAGACAATATTTCAAAATGTGGTTTAAAGACAAAAAATAAAAAATATCAATAATGTTTAAAGAAAATATACTATACTACGATTACTATGTACGATTTAGTTCTATATCGGTATCGTAAACATTCATTATCAAACCATTTTCTTAAGATTTTGAAGACGGTTAATCAATATTTCAAATCTTCACAAAGAAAGGACAAAGAAAAGGGTGCAAAATTTCTTGCACCTATCAAATTTCAGTTAAAGATCGGAGAGGTGAAATGGGGGTTAATTTCATAAATTGTTTCTCAATATAAATAGCTTTTATGTGTTAACGTGTTTTTTATGAAAAACGATACAATTAGTGTATTTTTGGCGCTTTTTACGTAAAGAATAACTTTATTGTCTTCAAGGTTTTATTACATGCCGATTTTTTGTATGTAAATTCAAATACTAAATTTATATTTTCTCTTTAGGACGTTTTCTATATATATTCAATTTCCTCGACTTTTTACCTAAGTTGTCAAAAAAAACAGCAACAAAAAATGTTATAATTTAAATATTAAATGTGAAATATATATAACTAAATAACGTTACGATCATAAATAATAAGTTTATTAACAATATTTTTGTTGTATATACAAATCACAAATAACGGTTTATTCGAACAGTGTAAAAAGTGTGAAATGCAAATTAAACAAGAACAATAAAAAAACTCTTTATAAAGGTCCCTTGCATTTCCAAACATCATATGTTTGCCCTTATAATATAATTAATGACGTGCTCATGCAAAAGTAATAATAAATAATTAAATTTAAATTCTGCTGTTTTTAATGAAATACTAGGACTTTCCTAGATACATTTTATTAGCCATAAACTTAAACCTTTTGCATTTTTTAACTGTTCTTATAGAATCTGTGGGGGAATTGATTAACGAAGTACATGTACATGTAGTAGAAATTATGCAAATATGTAAATATAATGAAACTTTAAGACAACACACTGTGGTGTAGTTTCAGCTAAAATATATGAAGACTAGCCAAAATGTCACAATCAATGATAAAAAGTTAGGCAATAACAGTTCGGTTAATACTATGTCCTATTAATTTTTAAATTAAATATGGTGCGCAATTAGAGTCTGAACGTAAACTTAATTCAATTTAACTGAAAAGTAAATGGTTTTGTTTTTCCATTGATTCCTACGTACTGGTATTCAATTTATTTGAAGAAATCTCCTTGATTTATTCCTGCTTTTCAACATTTGAAGTTAACATGAAGCAATATTTTATCGTCTCGATGCGTAACACATATACTGTTTACAAAACGTGAATACTTTACGCTTTACAAATGATCAACTGCAGGTTTTGTTTGTTTTTTTTTCTTTGTTCTTTTTTGACACTTCAAAAAAAGTGTTTTTTTTATTTTAAATCTCAGCGTACACCAAAACAATAAGTTTCACTATAATGGTAGAGCATTAATATTATGTGTATCAAGCATATTACGTTAACCATTGTCTATTTTTCTGCAAAAGATTACGTCCTTAGCCTCAAGGAAATACTCAAGGCCCTATCATGGTACCCTGACTACTCCCAAAGTAATGTTACAACAGTAGTTTAAGCGTAACATATTATAGGAGAACCTGAACCTTATGTTGACCTATTTGAGCATTGTTCCCATGTTCATCGTGTTGCTAGATATGACATATAACACACGGCAAGCAAAACTGTCACAAGAAAAAACACCCAAAAACAAGTAAAGTCTAAAGCGGAAACAAATTCAGGCCAAGCAGTATCATCTTCTTCAACATCACCATCATCTTCACTTTCCGGTTTAACATTCCTTGCTTCATTTTGAGCTTCAGCGTACCGCTTTTCATCCATCTCATCCTTTATGCACAACATATTATGTTGTAAATTTAGAATCCATTTCGTAAATGAGATAGTACATTGTGGCAATGGTTTATGTTTAGTCTTTAGCTCAATCATCCGAATTTCCAACACCGAAATAATAACAGTTAGGTTACTAAGGCCCGTCATAATCAGCAGGTAGACTGCAAACAGTGAAATTGTATCTGAACTGTCCGGCATTTTTTGAAAAGTAACTATGACGTAGATCAAAAATGACAGGAACACCGTTATCGCAAATCCAGACTTTTCTCCAGCTGATACTGGTAAAGCGAATGTAAGCGCATTTAATAACGAGAGCAAAATAACCGGAACTGTTACATAGAACACAACAAATGCATGATTCCGTATAAGAGTCAGTGTAAACACGGCTGCAAGTTGACCGTTCACCGTTTCATTTCTTTGGGAAATTCCTTCCAGTTTCCATTCTGAGTTCTCTACGAAATTTTCATGCCTTTGCATGCCGGAGGTGCCAATGATAGTTTGCACCTGGGCTGTTGTAGAGGACCATGTACTAAACTGAAAAAGTATCGACACATAATTTAATTACAATAACATTCAGCGGTTCTTTTGTTTAAGATTCTTCAATAAAATTGTCATCATTAATGTTCCTTTTCTTTCGCAAATATAAAAACCAAAGATGATACGTATTTACTTCAATGTCCTTAATTTTCTTTTAATTAAAACTTTAGAACAAAATATGAATTTACAAACCATGAGATCGCAATTTTGTGTATCATATGGATAATTTGTCATGTCGGCCTGACACGTGCTTTCCAGAATCTGGTAAGGCTTCCACGTGCAGAGACCCGTGTTTTCTACCACGATAAACATGAATTTGCTTCCCATCGAGCTCAGCTTGGTAAAACTGTTTAATAAAGCAAGATCTGGTTTCCATAGGTCGTTCTGCAATATGAGAAAATCAAAATAATATTTTGAATCACAAAATTCTTGACATTCAGTAATTGACATTCCAGTATATTTTGTTGTTTTGGGGTTTTTTTTAAATTATACTGCATACATCGGTTCAAGTGAGTTACCTTGTATATTTTGCAAATGCACTTTATAATACCCAATTTTCTTTACATTGAACTGTGATATGGGTTTGTTAGCTTAGATAAACAAAAGTCGCAAACTGCAAAGTTCTTTCAACAGTGTTGACAATGATTGACAAGTTAACTTTCCATATCAGGAGCAAGCAATACTGTGATTTTTTTTCAGGCAACAATAAAAGTATCAAAAAGAACTTGTCATTGATTATAGATTGTCAAATGTCGCCATATGTAGTGAATATAAAATCAATCATATTTGATTATATGTTTATCTGATTGACTTAGGAATCTAGAAAATATACTTCACAAATTGCTTCAATAAGGAACACTTTGTACATTTTTTTTGTACAAAACAGAACATTTTGTAAAAAATATCTTTAGTATTATCTAAGTTTGGTATAAACCTGTGGCATAAGGATTTTCGAGATTCCGGACAATTTGGTAGTCGGCCATTTCATACTGTCATCTGACCACGTAATCTTAAACTGCATTGTCGTCGTCAACTTTTGCTGCACCTGTCAATGTGTGATACATGATTACAATAATGCTAAACAATCAACAATACTAAGGATATTTTTTAAAGGAAAAAGAAAATAATGGATATCAGCTGTGTGTGTGTGTGTGTGTGTGTGTGTGTGTGTGCATGCGTGTGTACGTGCGCGTGTGTGTAATGGTGTTTACTTGTGAAATAAGCAATTCTTTTTTAATGAGATCGCATATGAGTGAATATAAATCAATCATTGATTCATATGTTTATCTGATGACAATTTAGAAATGCCGTGCAAACTGTACTTCAATAAATTGGTCAATAAGGAACATTTTAAAACTGAACATTTGTTGTTAAAAACAATATCTTAGTAATTAACTAAGTTGAATAAATTGGCATAAATTTTCGAGATTCCGGACAATGTAGTCGGACCATTCATATGTATTGACCACTAATCAAATGCATTTCGTGTCAACTTTTTACCTTCATAAAACATATTTAAATCATGTTGGACATAATGATCTTTAAACAGATGGAAATCTTGACAAACAATAAAATCCAACCATAAAACTTACTTAAAATTAAATATTAAGAAATCTATAAGTCTTCCTTCGGACCTACAGATCCCTAAGTTACATATATAAACAGATTGAAAGTGGTACAGTGTCGCAAAGATGAAAAAAGTAACTAACTACATACCTCGTCTAAACTGCTGACCCCTGCCAAGAAAAGATCCACAGTTGCCTCGACAGCATACGAGAGATTTCTGACTGGAAAGTTGGCACTGCTGTAGTTTGTCAGCACATCATTGATGAGATTAACCTCGGCGGAAACTGGCGGTCCTATTGTAGTAGTCGTGGTGGTTGGAGCCCCTGTTGCTGCGGTACCTAGACATAGGTAAATTAATTGGCTAAAATGCATTTGTTTTGGCGTGAAATGAAAACATCATGTCAATTATTGTATGGGGGAGTTGGCGTATAATGTAGATGCATATATACTAGATACAGAATGTAATTAAATGCACTTTGAAAATAAAGCTACCAATGAAAATATCATCTATTACTGCAAATTAGCTATTACTAATTGTAGACGGAAGTGAGGGGTGGTTTCTATATTTGACATTTGACTTCTGTGACTCCTTTCCTATATTCTCATGACAAGTATAATGTAATTGATTGTGCTTTTAAACGAATGCAACTGTAATTAATGAATTGCCGTATATTTAAATCAATGAATGTTACATCATAATGTTGTATAAAAAACAACAACAAAGCCATATAGATTGCAATGAGGATTCTACATTTGATTATAAAAGCTGGATAAACAAATAGGATGCCAATGGGAGGAGAAAACTGAATATAAAGTCGTCGAGATGCATTGCAGGTTTGATTATTCCAACGAGCTTACATATTATGATGACGCATACTTTTAACAGGATTACCTAGAAAATATTGTAAAGTGAATCCGTTCTTATTTATGCTTCCATCAGAATGAAATTGTACGAGATATTCGCTGGAGGTGGCAGCAGTTATTTCCCATCTCTTTAAGAAGGTTCCACAATGTGTGTCTAATATTGTGTCTTTTGTACAGGCACCTATTCCGGAAAAAGAAAACAGAAAATGAAATCAAGGGTTATGATATCAGATAAACAAGATAAATAAGTTATTGGTACATCTCTAAATTACTAGTATTACATGTGAATTGAAAATTTACAAACTAATAAAACATATAAATATTTTTAATGAACGAACGTTGTCTTTGCGGATGATATCAGTATTATAAAGTAAAGACACTTAACCGATCATTGATGACATATATATTCCCTTGCAACAAGTATATTACAAATATGAAAGTTATTCCACTTATTTATTCCATGTTTTTCATGGTTATTACAAATTTATATCATCATTTGGTTTACGTATGAGCCGTGTCACGACAAAACCAATATAATGGGTTTGCGACCAGCATGGATCCGCGCAGTCTGATCAGGATCCATGCTGTTCGCCTACAGACCCTATAACAAGTAAGGAAACTGATAGCGGATGCGCAGTCTGGTCTGGATCCATGTTGGTCGCAAACCCATTATGTTGGTTTTGTCGTGACACGGCACATTTATTATCTTTGAAACCTCTATTGGTTACTGCTCAGGATTTTTATTCTTAATTCTGAAAATGATAATAGCTTGTATCAAGTTCAAATACGCACATGTCCATCACAAATAATATGCGAGGTAAAACGGGATGGTGTGATAAAACGGGATAGTGAGATAAAACGGGATGGTGAGGTGAAATGAAATGGTGGGGTAAAACGGGATTGTAAAGTAAACCGGGATGGTACATAAAACGGGATGGTGAAGTAAACCGGGAAACTGAGGTAAAACGGGATAAATTTACCATTATAAATGATAAGCCTGTCGTAAATACACCCAGATCCTCTCTCCAGGTTCATTTCAGTCAATTGTAGAACAAGTGTACCGCCTGGATTAGTTATAAGGAAATACTCGTCTTGATTGCTGAAGTACAAAAAGGAAATATAATAATATAGAGAGTTGGAAAAAGAAAATGTCATGATATAAGAAGTTGGATGCAGAAAACGTAATGTGATAATAATTGAGCCGCGTCATGACAAAACCAACATAATGGGTTTGCGACCAGCATGGAACCAGACCAGCCTGCGCACCCGCGCAGTCTGATCATGTCCATGCTGTTCCCTATCAGTTTCTTTACTTGTCATATACTAAGTAAGCGAACAGCATGAATCTTGATCAGAAGACGCGGATGCGCAGGCTGGTCTGGATCCATGCTGGTTGCAAACCCATTATGTTGGATTTGTCGTGACGCGGCTCATATTGTAATGTGTTGTGTGTACTTAATACTATGTTCAACCTCTAATGAATGAAATATTTCAGCACTGTTCAGTAATATTATTCACTTTTTTGTGAAATGCATTATTATTGACGTCACGTGACAATGACCTAGTTTTCTTTTTATTGTTTATTATTTATTTATGAACCCTTTAAAAGGCCGAAATGTTGGTATATTGAAGGGAATTTTAAGATTTTGCAGTTGACTACTATTGAAAATTAATTTATCTTTAGTATTTTCCGAAATTGTTTTTGAAAACATGAACAAGTATTTAAAATCTATGGTATCAAATTAAGTATCAGATATTTGTGCAATCAAATCGGTCGGACGTTTCAAAGCACACTTTAAGATTTTAAACAAGACACCCTACCTCAAGTATGGTTTATTCGCATTTGCTATGGTTGGTGCAGTACCCTTTCCTAATGTTGCTGCTGTATATGTAGTATAACCAGACTTACATCCTGGGTAGGCTGAAAAAAAATATGCAGATCTGTTAGAATAAGAACAATTAATAACTAAACAGTTTACGTAAAAATACATAATTATGAGCCGCGCCATGACTAAACCAACATAATGCGTTTGCGACCGCGATGACTGATCAGGATCCATGCTCTTCGCTTACAAACTCTAAAACAAGTAGGGATACTGATAGCAAACAGCATGGATCCTGATCAGACTGCGTTGATATATATAATATAATATTAAAAAGATGCAAGGGGTGAAAGGAGTTACATGCTAAAAACAAAAAGAAGTTCGGTAATAATAATTAAGTGTAAAATTTATAAAACACATTATTAATTCAGTGCAATATCAATATATACAATATCAATTTAGTGCAGTATCAATAAAGTGCAATATCAATTTAATGCAATATTATTAATTTAGTGCAATATCAATTTAGTGCATTATTATCAATTAAGTGCAATATTAATTAAGGGCAATATTAATTAAGTGCAATATTAATTAAGGGCAATATTAATGTAGTGCAATTACAATTTAGTTTAATGCAATGTCAATATAAGGCAATAACAATTCAGTGCAATATTGTCAATTTAATTAATGTAATATCAATTAAGTGCAATAGTGTCACTTTAATACAATATGATCAATTTAATATAATATCACCGTTTAAGTGAAATATCAATGTTGTGAAATATCAATTTAATGCAATATTATCAATTTAAAGGTTAAGATACTATAATGAGTAATTACAACCGTGTTATTTTTCAAAGATAATATATATTTATTAAATATGTAGTAAAAAAAGTTGTAATCCGTGTTGGGCTCCGTTGTTCGATTGGTCGAGGTGAAATCTTTACATGACAATTGAGCGCGGGCTTTGAGTCTTATGGTCAACTGTCCCTTATTTCAAATGGAAAACAGTCGGTCACTTGCGGATGGATTGGTAGTTATCTTAAAAGCTTTAACAGTGGATCGACCGCCGAGATTAGATAAAATATGAGCCGTAGTCTGGTCTGGATCCATGCTGGTCGCAAACCCATTATGTTGGTTTTGTCATGACGCGGCTCATATGTTTTAAAATCGGCAATGTGAATATATTATTACAATGATAATGACTCAATGTTTGAATATTTAAAATGGACATTGCTAAGCATGCAGGTCTTTATTATTTAAATTCCCGAGTTACTGCAAAAAGGCACTCACGAAGTCCTTTTAATATTTTTTTCACATAATTTTGTCGTATGCCACACACAAAAAAAGAAAAGTAAGGACTTCTCAGGAGACTGAATGCCGGCTGCTCATTATTATTATTTCTGATTTCACAAAATGGAAAAAAGCAGAACAAATTACTGCAAACTGAGACAAAATAGTCATACGTATTTTGAAAGCAAATATAAACTGTTTTACTTTTATTTAAACGCAAATATATCAGTGGTATATGGGTCGGACTATCTTATATTGTACATGGAAATTCTGAAGTCAACTTACAATTGTCAACATAATTATAGCCAACATTAGTTCCACTACTTTGAATTGATCCGTCACTGTATATGACAACTTTCATTCCATTGTTTGAACTTTGTATGGTACCCGGTGATGTAGTTCCGCAGTAAGTGCCAATTAGTGTTGTGGAACCATCCGCCGTCGAATCTACAAAAAATTGTCCTCATGTTTTAAAAACCTTACAAATGAAGTCTCTTCATTTTATAATTAACGTGTGCATCATACTGGATGCTTATTCAAAGTCCTTATTTGTATGTCGTCTTCAGAGGACAATGGTGGCTGATTTCTCCAATTTTTTGTCTTTGTTTGTTCGCCCCTCGCACGATAATATGGCCACTTTTCGTGGTTTTTCATTCGACTTTTGACGGCGTCGACACGAACACACGATACATTTCAGTCGAAATAACGATATTTTAACAGACGAAGATACGAGATCTTGTTTTGTAAAATCATCGTGTCGGCGGATAGAAATCTTCATATCGTCGCATTATATTTGTCGTGTCTTAGCCTAAAAAGACGCTAGAGACAAGACGACGCACAAAAGTGTTCTAAATTAGCCACCTTACATAGTTGTGTTCATTTTTATATTTTACTACGAAAAAATAATCAATAATTCTATAAATAAGTTTCAGAAAGTATCAGTAACGCTCAATTCTTAAAAAGAATAGGATTTTTTTATTGTATCATAAACAATTTTTTGTTCAATCACTATTATAACAAGATATGTTTGTAAAACATGTATGCCCCCTACCAGCAGCCAATTAGTCATGTGATAAGGTTATTATGACTTCTGACCCAGTGATCAAACAATTAATAAGGGTTATCAAGTATCTACTGGTCATGACCTAACCTTTGACCCCTTGACCCAAAACTCAATAGGGGTCATCTGCTGGTCACCACCAATCATCATACAAAGTTTGAAGTTCCTAGGCCTAAGCATTTTTAGTTAATTGATCGGAAACCGTTTTAACATACAAGGTCAATGTGACCTTGACCTTTGACCCCTTGACCCCAAAATCAATAGGACATCTGCTGGTCATGACCAATCATCATACCATGTTTGAAGTTCCTAGGCCAAAGGGTTCTTAAGTTATTGATTTGAAAGCATTTTTACCTACAAGGTCAATGTGACCTTGCCCTTTGACCCCTTAACCCCAATATCAATAGGGGTCATCTACTGGTCATGACCAATAATCATACCAAGTTTGAAGTTCCTAGGCCTAAGGGTTCTTTAGTTATTGATGGGAAACCGTTTTTACCTTCAAGGTCAATGTGACCTTGACCTTTGACCCCTTGACCCCAAAATCAATAGGGGTCATCTACTGATCATGACCAATCACCATATCAAGTTTGAAGTCCCTAGGCCTAAGGGTTCTTTCGTTATTGATCGGAAACCGTTTTACCTACAAAGTCAATGTGACCTTGACCTTTGACCCCTTAACCCCAAAATCAATAAGGGTCATCTGCTGGTCATGACCAATTACCATACCAAGTTTGAAGTTCCTAGGCCTAAGGGTTCTTTGTTATTGATCGGAAATCATTTTTACCTACAAGGTCAATGTGACCTTGACCTTTGACCCCTTAACCCCAAAATCAATAGGGGTCATCTGCTGGTCATGACCAATCACCATACCAAGTTTGAAGTTCCTAGGCCTAAGGGTTTTTTTGTTATTGATCAGAAACCGTTTTTACCCAAGAGGTCAATGTGACCTTGACCTTTGACCCCTTGACCCTAAAATCAATAGGGGTCATCTACTGATCATGACAAATCACCATACCAAGTTTGAAGTTCCTAGGCCTTAAAGTTCTTTAGTTATTGATCGGAAACCGTTATTGCTTACAAGGTCAATGTGACCTTGACCTTTGACCCCTTGACCCCAAAATCAATAGGGGTCATCTACTGATCATGACCAATCACCATACCAAGTTTGAAGTTCCTATGCCTTAAAGTTCTCTAGTTATTGATCGGAAACCGTTTTTGCTTACAAGGTCAATGTGACCTTGACCTTTGACCCCTTGACCCTAAAATCAATAGGGATCATCTACTGATCATGACCAATCACCATATCAAGTTTGAAGTTCCTAGGCCTTAGGGTTCTTTAGTTATTGATCGGAAACCGTTTTTACCTACAATGTCAATGTGACCTTGACCTTTGACCCCTTGACCCCAAAATCAATAGGGGTCATCTACTGGTCATGACCAATCACCATACCAAGTTTGAAGGTCCTAGACCTAAGGGTTCTTTAGTTATCACTCGGAAACCATTTGGTCTACGGACCGACGGACCGACAAGTGCAAAGCAATATACCCCCTTTTCTTCGAAATGGGGGCATAATAAGCAATCATTTGAAATATATTACTTATTCAACTTGACTTGACAGTGAAAATAACTGAGCATAATGTCATTTTAAACAATTGATTTTTAACACCAATACAACATATATACATAATATATACTTACACTCATAAACTGCCACATTGTCGTATGTACAATACCTGTCATACTCGAAGCTGAATGCCGAAAATGTCAAAACAATTGCCGTGTCAGTTGGCGAGGTGATCGTTATTTCACAGTTCATATTGCTGTAAAATTAGAGAACAGCGCTGTGTACATGTGTAAAACAACTCCGTTCTTGATGAAATATATGAAATATATCACTGTAGTGAAACATATTTTGCGCATTTTCACTGGTGTCTTGTTCTAAATTCACTCAATACACAAGATTAAAGGGGAAATATTTTGAAAAAAGAGAAAAATTTTACAATAAACAGAAATTTACAGATGTTTTCCACAAGATACGAAAATTATTTTAAAAAAAATATATAGGGCTCGCTCTATAAAGTCGATAGAAGCATATCATGCAACTTGCAATAGCTACGGTGTTCCGTTAGGGTCATCGCCTATGAATAAAGAACTTTGAGCCGCGAAGAATCAAAAACACGAAGGGACGAAGACGGAATACAGAAAGACGAAAACGAAAACGACGAAAACGCGATAGTTATCGATTTGAATTTATCGAGTTTTAATCATGGTGTATTCGCGTTTTCTTTGTCGTACTTTCGGGTCATCGTATTTTCGCGTTTTCGTTATCGATCTTTCACGTTTTCATCCCTTTACGTTTTTCTTATTCGTCCCTTTACGTGTTTTAGTTTTCGTCTCTTCGTGTTTTCGACTTTTTGCGTTTCAAATTTTATGCATAGGCGACAACGTAAATAGCAGACGCATTATCATGACTAAATCAAAAGATGTTCTATTGTTTGCGCTACACCGCCATTTAACGGTCCATCACATACAATACTGAAATATGTAATTGCGGGGCTAATATACCTCTTTTTATAACACAAATCAAATATACAACGTTAAGTTTACCTGTCATAGTTATATGGATAGTTTAGAGACGTGAAATACTGTGTTGTTGCTATAGCTGTTAACGCTTGGTTGCATCCCGGATCAGCGGTTGTTGCAGGACTTGGTGATGGGGAAGGAGACGGGGACGGAGAAGGGGATGGCATAGGAGACGCAGCAGGTGTTGTTGTTGTTGTGTCAGGCGCTGGAGTAGGTGTTGTTGTGGTGGTGTCTGGCGGAGGAGTAGGTGTTGTTGTGGTGGTGTCTGGCGGAGGAGTAGGTGTTGTTGTTGTTGTTGTGTCAGGTGGTGGGGTAGGTGTTGTTGTTGTTGTGTCAGGCGCTGGAGTAGGTGTTGTGGTGGTTGTGAAAGGCGGAGGTGTTAGTAGATGTACAGGTCGCATGATACCTGCAAAAAAAAGTGATGAATGGTATTGTCATTGTTTTATTGTGCCATTTAAATGCCAGTCAGCTTTCAAAAATCCAAAAAGTCATTGTGACAGATGATGTTTAACATTGTTGTTTATTGACGCATTATGCTTCAGGACGAGTAAATATTTTTACTTCTTCGATAAGGACGAATATGAATTTTACTATGTTAATGGTTTTAGAGAATATTTGAAAGAAAGTAGCTATAAATGTGAATGATTTGTCATAAAAGTAGCAAAATATAAATAAAAAAGTATTTTGATTTCCATGCAAAACACTTATTCACTATAACTGTATAGATTCCCAAAAAGCACCAGAAGAAAGAGATCGTTCAGGTAATTTGCAAATGAGTAACTTTTTTTATTCTATGAAAGTACAATAAACAATCAAAGCATTTCCGAGGCATAATGGGCCTTTAATGCATTTATTGATATAGAATTTAATGTTAGATATATTTACTGTACTGCACATATGTATTATAGAAGAAGCTGCTATATGCCTGTATAATGATTAATGGAAGTAAAAAAAACAACTGTACATGATGATTTACTAAGAACACTATTGAAAAACAGTGAAACAAGAAATATTTTCAATAAGAGATATTCGGCCGAAGTAAAACTGGTTTACTTGCATATGTTAGTTCTTAGTTTTTCATGCAAAGTCATATAGAACAGTTAGTATAGCTTGCATAAAAATGAAATGATAATTTGTTGTAGGGTTATTAATCATGACATTATTTACTGGAGAAAAGAATCACTTTTTGTTATAATTTAGGAGAGATATTATTCACTGTAAATTATGGTTTACTGGTGAAAGAAATAAGAACTGAATATTATGCTTTACTGAGAAAAAAATCGAAGATTTACTTAGAACACTATTGAAAAACATAGTGAAACAAGAAATATCTAAAATAAGAGATATTCGGCCGAAGAAGAACTGGTTAACTTACATATGTGTGTTGTCAGTTTTTCATGCAAAGTCATATAGAACAGTTAGCATAGCTTAAATAATCAAAGTGCTGAAAGCACTGATGGGGGCGCAATATGTTGCATACAAAAATTCGAGATTTGTATAGCAATCTACTTTAGGTGTTCCAATCTGATATCATTCTTCTTTCAAAGTTGAATAAGTGCCCATTTTGTACACAATATAATAGTATCGCCTCCAAACTCTTGTCAAAATTGAAAATCATGTACCAAGAACATACTAACAAACCCAGGCAAAATGCATAATTGATATCATATATATATCATGAATAAACATTTTAAATTATGACATTGGATTTTGTTGGGAAACTATAGTTGTTTAACCAATTTTCGTGTAAAGTACTTCCTTATGTGAGTGTATAACACATAAATCAGTGTACTTACTATATTTATTCCAAGAAATGATTATGCAGATAGAAAATAAACAGAAATTTAACTGTCTTTAAAATATTTCTAAAATAAAACCAGGACTGTAAGAACAAACTTGTTTTTTGTAGAAACCTTTCAAGCACAATAGATAATACATGTGAGAATGTAAATTGGAATGGATACATATAATCAAGTTGGCATTGAAAACAAGAGCCACTATCTAGCCTGGGCCATGCTCGGCTTTTTCTTATATTGGAAGTCAAACACATCAGTAGGAGAATATTGTAATATCTATTAGAGTACTCCTAGAAAACATAATATAAATGTATAAAGTAAATTTCAAATTTGAATAGTAAAGGTCATAGTTGAATGATAATTGTTCTTTTGTCCAAGAATGAATCAAATCATAGACAAAAACAAAGTTATGACAATGTGATCGAATTTCAATTGTTTAACCTTGGAGGTAATGGTCATTTAAATGTCAAAGTTATATCAGAAAAATTCAACATGTTGGTTTTGTGTTTGTTTGTCCAAGCATGAATCAAATCTGTAAATAATAACAAAGTAATGACAATTCCAGCTAACTCCAGATATTTTATATCAAACAAGCAATTATCATAGTATTGCAAGCAATCCATAAGTCCCCTACCGGTTAGAACCCCAGCAACTTTCTAATGGGCCATTGGCCAGTCAATTTTACCAGTGAATGAATGACATGAATGAACTTAAATCTTTTGAGTTCTAAGTTTGTCTATATCACAGTAATGTGTTAAGTTTCCCTGCCTAGTAAGGAAATTATGTTTATACAACCTTGTCATATTATTACGATGTGGGATTTGAAAGTAAATCCTATAATGAATGAAGAAGTTGGAGTGAAAAATACCAATTTCTCGAAAAAAATCTAAGTTCAAGGGGGACATAATTCTGGAAATAGTCTTGCTAGAGTATTTAACCTTCTCAAAAATGTTGAGTGAGAATAAGAAACATATATATGAAGTTTGAAGTAGATACATTAGGAAATAAAGAAGTTATTTAAAAAAGACAACATTTTTTTTCATAAAAATTCTAAGTTCAAGGGAGGTAATACTGATAATTTTTGTGCTAGAGTTGTAAACCTTGTCACATATGATGTGGTTGATGACCAGAAACTTATATTTAAAGTTTGAAGTAATCACCTTAAGAAATAAAGAACTTATAGTGAAAAAGCTGAAAAATTTAAATCAGAAATCTTGAAATTCAGGCTATTTGTTGCCATAGCAACCAGAATTTTCAACATAGGAAGAAAAAAAAAGACGTGCATAATCTCCATACTGCCATCTATCCATATATCAAGTTTCATAAAAATATTTTTAGTACTTTTTGCGTTATTGCGGGATCCAGTTTATGTGTTCAATTTGCCATATTTTCAGGCTATTTGTTGCCATAGCAACCAGAATTTTCAACATAGGAAGAAAAAAAAAAGACGTGCATAATCTCCATACTGCCATCTATCCATATATCAAGTTTCATAAAAATATTTTCAGTACTTTTTGCGTTATCGCGGGATCCAGTTTATGTGTTCAATGTGCCATATTTTCAGGCTATTTGTTGCCATAGCAACCAGAATTTTCAACATAGGAAGAAAAAAAAAAGACGTGCATAATCTCCATACTGCCATCTATCCATATATCAAGTTTCATTAAAATATTTTCAGTACATTTTGCGTTATCGCGGGATCCAGTTTTGTGGACGGACGGACTGACAGACAGACAGACGGACAGACAGACGGACGGAGGGTAAACCTAAAGTCCCCTCCGGTTAAACCGGTAGGGGACTAATAAAGGTCAAGGTCATATATGAACTTGAAGGGCTTTTGTCACAAAAACATGTCTCCCAAAACTGTGTATGGTTCTGATCACTCTTTTGAATTTTGGCAGTTTTACATGTGATAGATTTTTCTTTTTTTAACTCTGGGGCCATTTTGTGCAGAGAAACAGAACATGCCATTGTCGGATACCCACGATTGATAAACATGTCACATAACATGCAATCAATGATGAATGTTAATGGTTCGGCCGTGGGTATCTGACGATGAGAACATGCCAACAATGTGCACAACTAAGGATGGCACTGTACACTCCTGTTTAGTCCTGTTTGAAATCTAACCAGCAGTTTGAACATTACTTTTGTACTTTTATATAAGTTAAAGATAGAAAACATTATCAATTTTAATCCTATACTTATTATAGGTATTTATTGGATTCATTATTCAAAATTAAATGAAAGAGCATGGAACAAAATATTTTCAAGATCTAGTAAAATCTAAATGTTTTTAAAATCTAGTAGAATCAAAACTTTACAATAAATATACTATAAAGTACATTATAACAATACATGTATTTTGGATAATACACTCTCAGCTGAAATACTTTAAATGGGTATGGTATTATAAATGTTTGTAAATATTGTAAGTTATCTAATCAATAAGTCTATTCTTAATAAAAGAAACTTGCACCTTGATATTTTCTGTACAAACTAGAACTGCCATTGTCATGGCGTGAATACCCCCACATACCAATTTGTCAGAATCACACCAGTAGTCATTTACAGCTCAGACAACCTCCCAGCCAAATCTGAGGGAAGTAAGCCAGTGCATTGCTAAGTTATGTATTCTACATGTTTTAGTGGAAAAGATCAAAGTGAACTTTACCTTTGACCTACTGACCTCAAAACTGAAACTGCCATTGAATGACTTCAATAACACCCCCCCCCATTTCATGCAGCCTTGCCTGGAGGTGTTTTATGATGAATATATAAGACCATTTGAGCAGACAAGCTAATTGTAATAAAAGCCCCTGTGACCTTGACCTTTGCCCCAGTGACCTCAAAATCAATAGAGGTATTCCACTAATCTTGACTAACCTCCATGCCAAATATGAAGACTACGGGTCAAAGGATTCTTAGGTAATTGGGAGGACAAGCTTTAATTAGCCAAGGCCCCTGTGACCATGACCTTAGACCTGAAAATAAATAGGGGTCATCTACTAATCATGACTAACCTCCATGCCAAAAATGAAGACTGTGGGTCGAAGGATTCTTAAGTTATTGGGCAGAAAAGCTTTCTTCAGTCAAGACCCTGTGACCTTGACCTTTGACTTGGTGTTCTCAAAATTAAAAGAGGTCATCTACTAATCATGACTTATCTCCATGCCAAATATGAAGACTGTGGGTCAAAGGAATCTTAAGTTATTGGACGGACAAGAAAAAACTGACAAACTCCCGACGGCCGGACAAGCTGATTCCAGTATACCCCCCTTACAACTTAGTTGTGCGGGGGTATAACAGATTTCAAACATTGATAAGTTAGCTCATCTTCTTGGAGATGAACTGGCGCCTCTATATACAAATGTGGTTCTGTTCATACATAGGTTATCTCATGTTCTTTGTGATAAACTCTCACCTTGAAGTTGATAGAGTTCTGTTCATACATATTTCAAAAATAGATAAGTGATCTTATTTTCCTGGTGAAAAACTGTTAGCTCATTTAAGTTCTATACATATTATGATATTTCAAATATTGGAAAGTTATCTCATGTTCTTGGTGAAAGACTGGTGACTAGTTTTCTCCTCAATGTCATTTCTTTTTCTTATTAGATTAAGTCAAGTTACTATATTCATGAGGCTTTCGACATCACATCATCCAACATTGCAAAGGGCAAGCAGTCTCCTGGTATTCCAATTTCTTTTAAGTTTTGAAAAACCCAAATATTTCAATTTCTCTAGTAGTGTTTCCGACATGAAGACACATCTACATGCATCTGTCCTTATCACTCCTGCTATTACTGTTCTATCATACAAACGCCACTGTTTCCTGAAATATTTGTTTAGAAAAAGTTAATTGCAAAATAAAAATGCCATTATTTTTGTTGTTTTGTTCGGGGAGGGGGGGGGAGAGCAATTTAAAGCACAATTTCCAGCTTTACTGGTTGAGGAAGACCTTGGTGCACCTATGTGTATGATTTCAGGCACCTGGGTACCATCAATGTTCCATAAATAAGCTGGATAGCTTTCTCACATGAAATAATCCATAAACCCTTGCAGAGCTCGAACCTACAGCAGTGAAAGGCTTAATAGGTTCAAAGTCAACCAATCCACCACAGACACCCCAAGTATTTCATCTATTTGCTAAACAGCAATTTTTTCAAAATTATTTAAATTTATAAATGTGAGTGATTCTGATAACCTATAGATAGCTAAGTGTAGATAAGATAATCATATATGTCAGATATGTCGGAGTGCTTACTGTGAATATTCAATATTTTAATGTGAATTCTCCTGAGGTGAAAAGGAAAGAAAAGCTGAATTCCTAAATACATGTTACATGTCACAATTGTTCTTGCTATTATTTTTGTTCCTAATTTCTAGTATAAGATGATATTTAAATACACTGTAATTCCTTTTTATAAATTTGGATTTTATCCAGTGACAGAAGCTCACTGACTTAAAATAAACTGTCCTGTGTCAGCCTTTAAACAAGTCAAGAAAAAAAGCTATTAGAATATAATAATTAAGAAATATCATATACAACCACTTCTAAATAATCATGTACCGCTTCCTTAAATGCCATGCTACTGAAAGAAACATTTTACCATTTATTCACTGCAAGGTTTGTCAGATTGACAGTCTCACATTTTAGCCTTTATCTCTCTTGATTTCATTCTCATTGACCCTAAAGCATCCTTAAACTCGATATCCTGCCGTTCACATTCACAAATCTGACATGTAGGCCGACCATCTGAAACAGAAAGTTGGAAAGATAAAATATAATTATTATTAGATATACATACATGTATAGTATCCCAATAATTATGTTAGTTGATATCAAATCAATAATTTAAGCAGTGTTCGAAATTAGCAGTAGTCCGAGGGCCTGACTACTAAATTTCTCCTCGGGCTACCAACTTTTCACAGTAACAAGCCGACCAGGCTACTGTATTTTCAGAGGCAATATAAACAACTGTTTTGAACAAATGAATCGTGCCAGTGAAATGTCTTTTGGGCTAGTGAATATTCCAATCTGGTAGTCCGACCAGACTAGTCGATTCAAATCCTAATTTCTTACACTGTTTAAGAAACAATTTGTTCAAAATTGTCCAAGCACAAAGATTTTTATAGTATACTATAGTAGTTATAGTGTATATACAGTATGTACTAAATGTCTTTAATCTACTATACTGTCCTGAAATTTTAAGAAAACAACTATCTTTAAAATCCATTGTCTCAGAAGTTGCAAAACCAAGTAAATGAAATTGTTCTGGGTTTGTATTATTCTGCACAACTTCTCATCACAAAAGCTTCAAGGACATTAATGAGTGAATCAGGTCCTATCCTAAAAGATTGTTGCGTACAAGTTTGAAGACAATCCATTCAAAAATAACAAAGTCATAGCCACTAATAGCAAAAATCAAGAAAATTTAAATATTTTACCTTGAATGTTTATATGGAGGTCAAGTTTAGTCTGGTCTATTTGAAGGGTTGTTGTGGCCAAGTATGAAGACAATACACCAAGATCTGAAAAGTTATGAAAAAGGTTAGTTTGTTGACAGCAACGGGAAAGCCGTCATGACCCTAAAATGCAAACTGAAAGTTCTAGCCTATACACACTGTTGAGGATAGCCGTTCAGCATTTTTCAATAATAAATAAAATCAATGCAATGATAAAATCAGTAACTTGCAAGTCTTCTAACATTTTTTACAAAGAATGAACATATATATTTTTTCCTAATAATTCTATGACGACGTTCAGCCTTTATATTATAACAAGATATCAGAAAGATATATCAGAAATGAATTGGCCCGTGGACTTTAATGTCAATCATAGAGCTCTTATGCAAAATGTAATGGTAAGCAAACATCCAGCATGAAATTTTCAAGTAGCTAAAAGTGAAATAAAATTATTAAAAATACTTTGTCATATAAATTCAACTACTGTTGGAAATTGACCCACATGTTTGATTACAAATGTATTACATCTATATTGTCCATAGAAATAATAAATTAATTTTCAGTCTCTTTCTCTTTGCGCTTTCACACAGATTTAAACTATTCAACTCCATGATTTTCAGAAGGAAAACAAATCTTCTGATCATCAAACACTAACAAGAGCCCGGTTTGAGCCGGGTGATGCTCCCCGAATAGGTTTTGGACACAGGAAAGTACACCTCTTGTAGTTTCAGAGTTATGTCCCTGGAAAAAGTTCAAAGTGCAATAATTCCAAAATTAGGAAAGGCAGAGTTACTGTTCTTTCCACTGCACTTCTAATCACTGTTATCTATCAACTTACAAAGTTTCTTGTTGATATCTCTTATGGTTTCCGAGTTATGTTGCGGACAAATTCAAAAAGTAAAAATAAACAATTGGCAATAACTCCAGAATTAGGCAAGGCAGAGTTATGATTCTCTTGCACTGCATATCTACCCATTGAGATACATCTACCTACAAAGTTTCATGTTGATATCTCTTATAGTTTTACAGCTATGTCCAGTACAAGATTTTTCTAAAAGGGGAGATAATTCAAAAATGAGGCTTAACAGAGTTATTTTTTTTTTGCAATGCACTTCTACTCAATGAGATCTATCTACCTACAATGTTTCATTTTGATATCTCTTATAATTTTAGAGTTATGTTCTGGACAAAGTTCAGTGTTAAAATTAACAAAGGGCAATAACTCCAAAATTAGGACAAAAAGAGTTATTGTTCTTATGCACTGCACATCTACCCATTGAGATCTATTCACCTACAAAGTTTCATGTTGATATCTCTTATAGTTTTAGAGTTATGCCCCGGACAAGATTTTTCTATAAGGGGAGATAATTAAACAAGAACTGTCGGAGGACAGTAAAGCTCGACTATTCGAAAATTTGTCACAAGGGTGTTTCATTGAGTATAATAATGCTTACCTATATGAATACATAAAATTGTCCGAAAAGGTACAAACTCTTCAAGTTTCAATACATTCCCTTCAGTAGTTATGGAGATACAAGCTTACATACAAAAACTTAACCAAGATTTTCTAAGTCGAAAAAGGGGCATAATTATGAAATAAAACAATTCAGAGTTATCGGACTTGTACCAATCACCTTAGATAATCACAGAGACCAAGTGTGTGAAGTTTCAATTCATTCCCTTCAGTAGTTATGGAGATACCAGCTTACACGCAAAAACTTAACCAAAAATTTCTAAGTCGAAAAAGGGGCATAATTATGTTAAAAAGCAAATCAGAGTTATGGGACTTGTGCCAATCATCTAAGATAATCAGAGAGAACAAGTGTGTGAAGTTTCAATCCATTACCTTCAGTAGTTATGGAGATACCAGCTTACATGCAAAAACTTAACCAAGAATTTCTAAGTCAAAAAAGGGGCATAATTATGTAAAAAAGCAAATCAGAGTTATGGGACTTGTGCCAATTATCTTAGATAAACACAGAGAACAAGTGTGTGAAGTTTCAATCAATTCCCTTCAGTAGTTATGGAGATAACAGCTCTTACATACACAAACTTAACCAAGAATTTTCTAAGTCGAAAAAAGGGGCATAATTATGAAAAAAAGCAAACCAGAGTTATGGGACTTGTGCCAATCATCTTAGATAATCACAGAGAACAAGTGTGTGAAGTTTCAATCCATTCCCTTCAGTAGTTATGGAGATACCAGCTTACATACAAAAACTTAACCAAGAATTTCTAAGTCGAAAAGGGGGCATAATTATGAAAAAAAAGCAAATCAGAGTTATAGGACTTGTGCCAATCATCTTAGATAATCACAGAGAACAAGTGTGTGAAGTTTCAATCCATTCCCTTCAGTAGTTATGGAGATACCAGCTTACATACAAAAACTTAACCAAGATTTTCTAAGTCAAAAAAGGGGCATAATTATGAAATAAAACAATTCAGAGTTATGGGACTTGTGCCAATCATCTTAGATAATCACAGAGAACAAGTGTGTGAAGTTTCAATCCATTCCCTTCAGTAGTTATGGAGATACCAGCTTACATACAAAAACTTAACCACAGGGACGCCGACGCCGACGCCGACGCCGACAAATGGGTGACTGCATTAGCTCGATTATTCTGCGAATAGTCGAGCTAAAAATGAGGCTTAACAGAGTTATGGTTCTTTTGCACTGCACTTCTACTCAATGAGATCTATCTACCTACAATGTTTCATCTTGATATCTCTTATAGTTTTAGAGTTATGTTCCGGACAAAGTTCAAAGTGTTGAAATTAACAAAGGGCAATAACTCCAAAATTAGGACAAAAAGAGTTATTGGTCTTATGCACTGCACATCTACCCATTGAGATCTATTCACCTACAAAGTTTCATGTTGATATCTCTTATAATTTTAGAGTTATGCCCCGGACAAGATTTTTCTATAAGGGGAGATAATTCAAAAACCGGGCAAAATAGAGTTATGGTTCTTTGACACTGCACTCCCCCTCAATGCCCTCTACCACTGTATGAAGTTTAAACAAATTATCTCGAAGGGTTTTCAAGTTATGCTCCGGACAAGAAAACGGACGGACAGACGGACGGACGGACGGACAGACGGACAAGGCGCCGACTATATGCTCCCCCGAAATTTTTCGGGGAGCATAAAAATTACTATACCAACTGTAAATTGCAGTCTGTGCGAAAGACTGTCGGTCCTCGGACCTCGCCAACTAAAAATCAGTAGGGCCGAGATAAATTTCGATACAGTCAGTTGTCATGTCCAAATAAAATTTCAGCCAGTTTGAAACAATTTTTGGCCTTCTAAAATATGCAAAGCTTCCAAGATCAATCTATTTTTTTAATTTTTGCTTGTATTCACAGACCAAGATAAACCAAAATCACCGCAGGATACGACCAGTTTTTGCTAAGTAATGTCAGCCACCATCTTGTCTTTGATAATTTCCTTACCAAAACATATTTTTTCTCCAATCTTCAAAATTAAACCTTTGAAAGATGTATTGTTTTCTTGTGAATTATGCTAATGTTTTATTAATTATGTTTCTGTATATTTTTTTTCATAGTATCTTATAGTTGAGTCTGACAATTCATATATGCTAAATATTTTTTCTTTATAATTATGGCAATATCCCTCCCCCATCCCTACAAAAAAACCTTTCAGAGTCCGGGCCGGTAAAAAATCATCAGGGCCGGAAATAAATCTAAGGATTCAAGTCCTTGCGGCAGGAATTTTTTTTTGACTTTCGCATTGACTGAAATTGTATATGATATTCAATAAAATCTTCTTTTAGAAAAACAAGTTTGCACATTATTGTTTTAGGCAACTCATTTTTAAAATGCTGTACAGCTAGCCTCAAACAGTGAGTATATGCTAGGCATACAGCCAGCACTTTTGTCAAACAATACTGGTTCATACTGCTAGCCACTGCCATGATTAATTATTCCTTCCTCTACCAATTCATAAACTTCCATCAACAAAATTTTTGAATTCTATTAGTATAATAATCATATAGATGTTAAAAAATAAAAGTAATGATGACTTAATATGATGTATATAAATTCCACTGCTAAAGACAAGTTGTTTTTATTGATAGTTTATATCAACAAAGGTAATGAGGTCAGTTTCATCAGTGTTTGATGACTTTTAAATTTTTGTTTAAAGTAAAAATCGATAGTCATCAAATTGTTCTAAATATTACCATACTGTTATACAGAGTGCCAGATAATTTTTTTGACACTGGGGTAATTACTTACCCCCACTTTCCAGAATGTGGGGGTAAATTTAAATAGATCAAAAATCTATCGAGTAAAATTTTGTGTGAAAAAAATGTCAATTTGATTAGCCCTTGAAGCAACCATGCACTACATGTGTATTAATAAATCCTTGCAATTATCAAGAAAATAGAACAATTGTTTTATCAAGCACCTAAGCAATAAAGACGTAATTTGACTGGTTTACAGAGAAAAAATAGTTGAAAGTATCTTGACGGGTATTAATTGGAAAGAGATACACAGTCAACTGTTAATGGAAGCCGTCAATCAGCTGTTTCGAAAATGAAAGTACACACCAAAAACGCTTCAAATTTACATTCTTTGCGTAATAAATTTACAGAGTGCGTAAATGAACGCAACAAATTGGTAACGTTGTACGTTTTTAGTTGATTTTAAAGCGTAAAATACGCCGATACTCACATTATCTGGAATCTGTAATATTTAATAATATAATCAGTAATCTTATTATTATTGACCTGTGGTTTTGAATTTTAATACAACTACTTTTTCATATAAATGTCTATAAATTTACAAATAAAAAATCTATAAAATTATGGACTGACCATAAATATGAAATCCTACATCTGATGAAGGCAAAACTGTGGAAATCAGATCTACATGTATGAAATAAGTATATCTGAACTTAAGTCATATTGTATTAAACAATTATTATTATTACCAGTCCTTTAAATTTTGGGACCTCTAGGATAGGATTTTATTCATTACAGGGCTGGGGCAGTACCTCCAGTCGCTTGCAAAAATCATGATCACAAAATTGAAAACTATCATTTTTATTATAACATTTTACCTGTATACCATGACAAGTTTTGGGCCTATTTTGTTTAGCTTAGATAGCTAATACAGTAAATTGGGTTATAGAGATGTGTTCAAAAGTAGTCAAAAATGTAATAATAATTTAAGAAAATATCTTTCCATGTTTCTGAATAAGTCCAGATATTAATTATGTGGTTTCAACAATAAAGAGTGATAAAACAAACCAATATGTTAATAAATTGAAAAGTGGACCGAGTTGAAAAAAGGCCGAGCTGACTCGGGGCCGAGTACGTTTTTAGGGCCGAGTTTGTAATGCACTTAAATTTGCAGTCTATCAAGCGAAATATATCAATAGCTTTACCAGATTGTGAAGAAAACTTGATTATACATACGGAATAGATTGCAACCAAAATATCAACGTAATAGCTGGGACTTCGTAATTGATAGCAAATCTTCTCAGCCTTTTCTCGGAATAACTGACCAAGATAGCGATTTCGGGAAAATGACGTCAGCGGGAATATAGTTCGTATTCATACGCATACAAATTTTTACTCTGTCATTCACACTTTTTAACCATTTTAAGCTTGAAAGTTATCTTATATGAAAATCGTATTCCATTTTTCCTGAATTATTGTGTTCTATGATAGTTAGTTAATTTATGACTTGATAAAATTGGCACCAAATGTATGCAAGTACTTTGGCTCTCGTGCATCGGGAACCAGAAGGTAGAACAAATTAACTGGTACTCATTAAATTTTTATCGACTGCTAGCGTAGTAATATTCAAATCGCGTAAAGCAATGGTATATGTAATTTTGTGATAAAAGGATTTAAAATTTAGTAATAAAATGACCAGTCAATTTCAAAATAGATACAGTATAATGATGATCTGAATATTATGGCAAAATATTGGAACTATTTTTGCTCAGCGCAGCTAGATAGCCTAAACGCGTTCAAAGGGTAGTAAGCTGAATTTATCGTAATTACATTGGCTTATAGTTTTAGAGTTATGCCCCGGACAAGATTTTTCTATAAGGGGAGATAATTAAAAAATGAGGCTTAACAGAGTTATGGTTCTTTTGCACTGCACTTCTACTCAATGAGATCTATCTACCTACAATGTTTCATCTTGATATCTCTTATAGTTTTAGAGTTATGTTCCGGACAAAGTTCAAAGTGTTGAAATTAACAAAGGGCAATAACTCCAAAATTAGGACAAAAAGAGTTATTGGTCTTATGCACTGCACATCTACCCATTGAGATCTATTCACCTACAAAGTTTCATGTTGATATCTCTTATAATTTTAGAGTTATGCCCCGGACAAGATTTTTCTATAAGGGGAGATAATTCAAAAACCGGGCAAAATAGAGTTATGGTTCTTTGACACTGCACTCCCCCTCAATGCCCTCTACCACTGTATGAAGTTTAAACAAATTATCTCGAAGGGTTTTCAAGTTATGCTCCGGACAAGAAAACGGACGGACAGACGGACGGACGGACAGACGGAACGGACAGACGGACAAGGCGCCGACTATATGCTCCCCCGAAATTTTTCGGGGAGCATAAAAATTACTATACCAACTGTAAAATTGCAGTCTGTGCGAAAGACTGTCGGTCCTCGGACCTCGCCAACTAAAAATCAGTAGGGCCGAGATAAATTTCGATACAGTCAGTTGTCATGTCCAAATAAAATTTCAGCCAGTTTGAAACAATTTTTGGCCTTCTAAAATATGCAAAGCTTCCAAGATCAATCTATTTTTTTAATTTTTGCTTGTATTCACAGACCAAGATAACCAAAATCACCGCAGGATACGACCAGTTTTTGCTAAGTAATGTCAGCCACCATCTTGTCTTTGATAATTTCCTTACCAAAACATATTTTTTCTCCAATCTTCAAAATTAAACCTTTGAAAGATGTATTGTTTTCTTGTGAATTATGCTAATGTTTTATTAATTATGTTTCTGTATATTTTTTTCATAGTATCTTATAGTTGAGTCTGACAATTCATATATGCTAAATATTTTTCTTTATAATTATGGCAATATCCCTCCCCCATCCCTACAAAAAAACCTTTCAGAGTCCGGGCCGGTAAAAAATCATCAGGGCCGGAAATAAATCTAAGGATTCAAGTCCTTGCGGCAGGAATTTTTTTTTGACTTTCGCATTGACTGAAATTGTATATGATATTCAATAAAATCTTCTTTTAGAAAAACAAGTTTGCACATTATTGTTTTAGGCAACTCATTTTTAAAATGCTGTACAGCTAGCCTCAACAGTGAGTATATGCTAGGCATACAGCCAGCACTTTTGTCAAACAATACTGGTTCATACTGCTAGCCACTGCCATGATTAATTATTCCTTCCTCTACCAATTCATAAACTTCCATCAACAAAATTTTTGAATTCTATTAGTATAATAATCATATAGATGTTAAAAAATAAAAGTAATGATGACTTAATATGATGTATATAAATTCCACTGCTAAAGACAAGTTGTTTTTATTGATAGTTTATATCAACAAAGGTAATGAGGTCAGTTTCATCAGTGTTTGATGACTTTTAAATTTTTGTTTAAAGTAAAAATCGATAGTCATCAAATTGTTCTAAATATTACCATACTGTTATACAGAGTTCCAGATAATTTTTTGACACTGGGGGTAATTACTTACCCCCACTTTCCAGAATGTGGGGGTAAATTTAAATAGATCAAAAATCTATCGAGTAAAATTTTGTGTGAAAAAAATGTCAATTTGATTAGCCCTTGAAGCAACCATGCACTACATGTGTATTAATAAATCCTTGCAATTATCAAGAAAATAGAACAATTGTTTTATCAAGCGCCTAAGCAATAAAGACGTAATTTGACTGGTTTACAGAGAAAAATAGTTGAAAGTATCTTGACGGGTATTAATTGGAAAGAGATACACAGTCAACTGTTAATGGAAGCCGTCAATCAGCTGTTTCGAAAATGAAAGTACACACCAAAAACGCTTCAAATTTACATTCTTTGCGTAATAAATTTACAGAGTGCGTAAATGAACGCAACAAATTGGTAACGTTGTACGTTTTTAGTTGATTTTAAAGCGTAAAATACGCCGATACTCACATTATCTGGAATCTGTAATATTTAATAATATAATCAGTAATCTTATTATTATTGACCTGTGGTTTTGAATTTTAATACAACTACTTTTTTCATATAAATGTCTATAAATTTACAAATAAAAAATCTATAAAATTATGGACTGACCATAAATATGAAATCCTACATCTGATGAAGGCAAAACTGTGGAAATCAGATCTACATGTATGAAATAAGTATATCTGAACTTAAGTCATATTGTATTTAACAATTATTATTATTACCAGTCCTTTAAAATTTTGGGACCTCTAGGATAGGATTTTATTCATTACAGGGCTGGGGCAGTACCTCCAGTCGCTTGCAAAAATCATGATCACAAAATTGAAAACTATCATTTTTCACCAATTATAACATTTTACCTGTATACCATGACAAGTTTTGGGCCTATTTTGTTTAGCTTAGATAGCTAATACAGTAAATTGAGTTATAGAGATGTGTTCAAAAAGTAGTCAAAAATGTAATAATAATTTAAGAAAATATCTTTCCATGTTTCTGAATAAGTCCAGATATTAATTATGTGGTTTCAACAATAAAGAGTGATAAAACAAACCAATATGTTAATAAATTGAAAAGTGGACCGAGTTGAAAAAAGGCCGAGCTGACTCGGGGCCGAGTACGTTTTAGGGCCGAGTTTGTAATGCACTTAAATTTGCAGTCTATCAAGCGAAATATATCAATAGCTTTACCAGATTGTGAAGAAAACTTGATTATACATACGGAATAGATTGCAACCAAAATATCAACGTAATAGCTGGGACTTCGTAATTGATAGCAAATCTTCTCAGCCTTTTCTCGGAATAACTGACCAAGATGGCGATTTCGGGAAAATGACGTCAGCGGGAATATAGTTCGTATTCATACGCATACAAATTTTTACTCTGTCATTCACACTTTTTAACCATTTTAAGCTTGAAAGTTATCTTATATGAAAATCGTATTCCATTTTTCCTGAATTATTGTGTTCTATGATAGTTAGTTAATTTATGACTTGATAAAATTGGCACCAAATGTATGCAAGTACTTTGGCTCTCGTGCATCGGGAACCAGAAGGTAGAACAAATTAACTGGTACTCATTAAATTTTTATCGACTGCTAGCGTAGTAATATTCAAATCGCGTAAAGCAATGGTATATGTAATTTTGTGATAAAAGGATTTAAAATTTAGTAATAAAATGACCAGTCAATTTCAAAATAGATACGGTATAATGATGATCTGAATATTATGGCAAAATATTGGAACTATTTTTGCTCAGCGCAGCTAGATAGCCTAAACGCGTTCAAAGGGTAGTAAGCTGAATTTATCGTAATTACATTGGCTTATAGTTTTAGAGTTATGCCCCGGACAAGATTTTTCTATAAGGGGAGATAATTAAAAAATGAGGCTTAACAGAGTTATGGTTCTTTTGCACTGCACTTCTACTCAATGAGATCTATCTACCTACAATGTTTCATCTTGATATCTCTTATAGTTTTAGAGTTATGTTCCGGACAAAGTTCAAAGTGTTGAAATTAACAAAGGGCAATAACTCCAAAATTAGGACAAAAAGAGTTATTGGTCTTATGCACTGCACATCTACCCATTGAGATCTATTCACCTACAAAGTTTCATGTTGATATCTCTTATAATTTTAGAGTTATGCCCCGGACAAGATTTTTCTATAAGGGGAGATAATTCAAAAACCGGGCAAAATAGAGTTATGGTTCTTTGACACTGCACTCCCCCTCAATGCCCTCTACCACTGTATGAAGTTTAAACAAATTATCTCGAAGGGTTTTCAAGTTATGCTCCGGACAAGAAAACGGACGGACAGACGGACGGACGGACAGACGGACGGACAGACGGACAAGGCGCCGACTATATGCTCCCCCGAAATTTTTCGGGGAGCATAAAAATTACTATACCAACTGTAAATTGCAGTCTGTGCGAAAGACTGTCGGTCCTCGGACCTCGCCAACTAAAAATCAGTAGGGCCGAGATAAATTTCGATACAGTCAGTTGTCATGTCCAAATAAAATTTCAGCCAGTTTGAAACAATTTTTGGCCTTCTAAAATATGCAAAGCTTCCAAGATCAATCTATTTTTTTAATTTTTGCTTGTATTCACAGACCAAGATAACCAAAATCACCGCAGGATACGACCAGTTTTTGCTAAGTAATGTCAGCCACCATCTTGTCTTTGATAATTTCCTTACCAAAACATATTTTTTCTCCAATCTTCAAAATTAAACCTTTGAAAGATGTATTGTTTTCTTGTGAATTATGCTAATGTTTTATTAATTATGTTTCTGTATATTTTTTTCATAGTATCTTATAGTTGAGTCTGATAATTCATATATGCTAAATATTTTTCTTTATAATTATGGCAATATCCCTCCCCCATCCC